GATGTACGGGGGTGAGGTCCAGGCGCTTCAAGAAATGGCTGTGACAACCCTATCACAGCCTGTCACCTCGTCCGAGGTGGAGCGCTACTGGTCCGCCCTTGCTCGTGTGCAGAGGCGGGACCGGAACCGCCTGGCCGCCACCAAGATGACCGACGTCACCTACGTCGCCTTCACCAGGAGGGCACGTGACGCTTTCGATCGAAGGCAGGGTGTGCGTGAGAAGCTATACCGTGACCTGACCGACGGCACCCTCAAGGAGGGCTGCACCGTCGCCCCGATCGCAGCAGAAGAGGAAGAAGAAGGGCCTGCAGTTGTGGGGGAAGAGGAGGAAGTCTCCACCACCATCAACTGGGAGGAGTTCGGGAGCATTGGCAAGAAGAAGAGGAAGACGAAGGTGGGAGAGTCATCCAAGAGGAAGAGGAAGGGGAAGGGGAAGGGAAACGGTCCATGCAAGGGAAAGGGGAAGGGAAAAGTTGTGGAGGAAGAGGAGGAAGAGGAGGCGGCAGACTGCAGTGGGGGGGAGGAGGAGGATGAGACGGGCAAGAAAACACGTGATGGCAGCGATCCTTGGGATCTCAGCGATGGTGATAGTGGGGAGGAGGAGGAGGAAGAGGAGGAGGAGGACGAGGACGAGGAGGACGAATAGGAGCAGTAGGGTTAAGTGGGTGGGGGGAAACCGTAGAGATGAGGAACATGTAGAGGGGGGGGAGGCTTAGTTAAATAGGGGAAGGTGGTAGGGGAGGACCAGAAGAGTAGGTAGGGAGGGTAGGAATCGTGGGATAGACGGTAGGGGAAGAAGATGTAGAGGTGTTCGTAGTTTAATAAGGGGCAGTCGCCCATTGTAGGCTTGTTTGTTAGTGTTCTTTCTGTGCTGATCATCCCACTGCCACATCTTATGCTTTTTGGACCTTTCTGGAAAAATTCCCCTTGAAAAAAAACTCCAATAAAATACGACCGTATTTTTAGAAAAATGACCGTAAAAAACGGGCCGTTTTTTACGATGACCGTATTTTTGTTCCTTGACCAGGGGAGAGGATGACACAGAGGCATGTATGTATCTAGGCGGATGGATGTGGGCGTGGTTAGATGGGCGGCAGCTCAGAGCAATAAAAGAGCAGCACTGCCTCCCTTCGCCTTCACCAGGGATGAAGGGAGGAGGAGGTTCAGACTCGGGAAATTGAGACGCATCTTTGCTGCCATTCCCAGTGCATGGTGGTGGGTATGAATGAATGACATGAAAGCATGCATGCCGGCTTTATGCGGTAGCAGCTCAGGAGCATTAAACGAGCAGCACTGCCTCCCTTCCCCTTCACTAGCAGTGAAGAACGAGGGGAAGCTTCAGACTCGGGAAATTGAGACGCATCTTTGCTGCCATCCCCAATGCATGGTGGGACGATGGGATGAAAAGAGGAATGTACGAATGGATGACACAACCGCATGTATCATGTATATAAGAACGTGGGCGTGGCTTCACGTGCTTCACGGGACAGCAGCTCAGAGCATTAAACAAGCAGCACTGCCTCCCTTCTCCACTAACAGTGTAAGGAAAGGGGGAGATTCAGACTCGGGAAATTGAAATGCATCTTTGCTGCCGGCCATTTCCATTGATTGATGAGATGATGAGATGATGACACAAAGGCATGTACGTATGGATGGGGCTTTAAGGGGTAGTAGCTGAAGAGCACTGAACGAGCAACGCTGTCTTCTTGGTGTGAAATGACTACACACATGAGCAGCTTCTCTCACATGAGCAGCTTCTCTCACATCAGCAACTTCTCTCACATCAGCAGCTTCTCTCACATCAGCAGCTTCTCTCACATCAGCAGCTTCTCTCACATCAGCAGCTTCTCTCACATCAGCAACTTCTCTCACATCAGCAGCTTCTCTCACATCAGCAGCTTCTCTGCAGTGCAAAACCAAACAGCTTCACCCCTTCCCCACGGATCCGCTCACCGCCTGGACTTGTGGTATTTCTGCAGCAGCGACACGAGCAGCTTGTTTTCTGCCACGGCTCCACCACCTCCAGCCTGTGCCCCTGTGACTACCGACTCACCTCGCCTTCACATATCCTAGCTTCTGCTGCAGTGCGAAACCAAACAGCCCCAGCCCCAGCCCAGCCCCCCGCATGTGCTCACCGCCTGGACTTGTGGTATTTCTCGAGCAGCGAGACCAGCAGCTTGTTCTTCTGCCACGGCTCCACCACCTCCACTATCTGCGTCACATCGTCGTTGGCTGACATGCCCCCCGTGCTCCGACCCACCATAACCTGCCATGCCATGCCAACCCATGCCATGCGATGTCAGCACACACACACGCACACACACACACACACAAAAAAAGAAGAAAACAAAGAAAAGCAAGTTTTGAGGCGCCTCAAAACTAGACTCCACTATCTGAGTCACTTCGTCGTTGGCTGACATGCCCCCCGTGCTCCTCCCTGCCATCACCTGCTGCGCCATGCCAAACCAATGCAAGAAGACGTTGAACATGAAACCTAAAAAAAAAAAAAAGCTCATGCGACATGTCTCACCTTGATGGGGTTCTTGAGGAAATCGCTGGCCAGCTTGGAGATTTCAGGCGGCCACGTGGCACTCAGCATGGCAGTCTGGCGGTCTGACACGTGGCATACGCAGAGCAGAGGGAAAAAAGAGAAGAGACATTGGAGCTGTCAGGAAAGGAGTAAAGATGGTACAGGGAGCATACTCGAGCAGCATGCTTCTAATACAGCCCTGCAACGACGCTACACCGTCCTGCACTGCGCATGACCGGCTCACATCCCCCGCACCTCCCCTGTCCCCTACCACCGTCCCCGTCCCCGACCCCGTCCCCGTCTCGGTCCCTCCCCCAACCCCTCACCCTGCCCATTCCCACCCGTAACCTCTCCCTGCCCTGCCAGTCGCGCTTGCTCTGCTCACCGGCCGGCGTGGCTTGCATAATGGCGCGGATGTCGGGCTCGAAGCCCATGTCAAGCATGCGATCCGCCTCGTCCAACACCTGGGGTTAGTGAGAGGCAGGGACACACATATATTTACGATAATATTTACGAAAGTCGATTCCGCGGATGTCAGGCTCGAAGCCCATGTCCAGCATGCGATCCGCCTCGTCAAATACCTGGGGGTAATGAGGAGAGGCACGTGAGTACAGGCAGGGTTACGAACACATGAAACGATACTATGAAACAGCCCCTTCCTTCCATGTCGGGCTCGAAGCTCATGTGGAGCATGCGATCCGCCTCGTCCAGCACCCGGCGGTGGCGTGAGGAGGCAAATGAGTCAACATCAAAGGGTACGCCACTGAACCGCACAGGTGAACCAAGCACGCGGGCCCAACATCATCGGATCGGGATCCGTTCCGTTCCGTTCAAGCGGTCCGCCTCGTCCAGCGCCTGGCGCCGTTGCGAAGAACCACGCCGCACCGGACCAATCTGCACACCTTTACACCGCTTTGAACGGATACTCACCACGAAGGATGCCGCCGCGAGGGAGATCGTGCCGTCCTGCATGTGGTCTTTAAGGCGCCCCGGCGTCGCCACCACCACACCCGGCGATTGCGCGAGAGCGGCCCGCTGACCGCCTTTCGACGCGCCGCCGAACACGCACACCACCCCCACGCCGCAACGCTTCCCTGCCGCCTCTAGCACCTCCGCGATCTGTCGGGAAACGAGGATCAGACGGGGGAAAACGAGGAGTTTGAGACGGCTAGCGGAAGCGGAGGATGGGGGGAAGAGAGCGAAAGCCTCACCGCACATTCGCGCAGATTCCACTTCCCGCCCAAAAAGCCTCCCCACCTGTTGGGCGAGCTCGCGCGTTGGCGCAACGACCAGCATCGACGGCTGTGCGGACCCATTCCGCTTCCCCTTTCCGCCTCCGCCCGCCTTGCGCACTTCAAGCGCGTGCTTCAGCCCGGGGATTCCAAACGCGAGCGTCTTCCCCGAGCCTGTCGCCGCCACCGCGACGAGATCGCGCCCGCGCAGCAGCACCGGCCACGCCCAGCGCTGAATCGGGGAGGGGGACGCGAAGGACGCGCACGTGGAGAGCAGATCCGCGGGGACCTGCGGCGCGGCTTCCGCGAACGTGGTCAGCGGGCGGAGAGGTTGGCACGCCGCGGAGGACGAATCGCCGTCGATCTCTACACCTTCCACGCGGACGTCCACGTCCGCCCAGCTCTCAAGCTTCGCGTGGACCGGCGCGGGAGGAGCGGCGGGGGAGGCGGCGGGGGGAGAGGAGGCTCTGTCGGCGGGAGAATCGGGGGAAGCGCTTGGCGAAGAGACGCCATCGGCGCGCTGCTTCTTCTTGCTTTTCTTCTCGCGTTTCGCGGGAGCCGGCGCAGCTGCTTCGGGGGCTTCAGTGCTTAATTCCTCCTGTTTCCGCTTCTTCTCGGCTTTAAGTTTCTTCTCTTTTTTGGCCTTCTTCGCCTCTCGCTTGTCGTCCGCAATTCGCGCGTCAGTAATTGCGCCTTCCGTTGAAATCTCCGCATTCTCAGCTAAGAGCTTCTTCCCCATGGCGGATTAAACCCTCGCGCCAGGAACGGAACAAACGGGACAAGCGACGCGACGCGTTAAAGCAAGCTCACGCACGCGAGAGCACAGAGAGACAGAAGCAAAAAGCGATGAGAATGAGACACTCTGACAATGCGAGGTTCCGTGCTCCGCTCTGGCAAGAGGGATGCACTGGAACAGTACACTACGCCAACCAGAAAGGCTGGTTGGAAAAAGAGAACCAAAACGTGGAGTAGCCCCAGCTTTTGTTCATGCTGGTAGCGTGGGAGGGAGAGGAGAGGAGGGAAGAGAGGAGTGGAGAGGGTGGAACAGAGGAGTGAGTGGCTGGGGATGAGAAGATGGGAGGAGGGGAGAGAGGGCTGTGTGACTGGGAAACCCTAGGAACTGCCAGCGCTGCAGGGGTGCATGCAATGGTAGTTGGAAAGGAGTGGGTGTTTGCTTCGTATACTCGTATGCATAAATTACGTACTGCGTGGAAAGAGAGGTTTTCCATAGCAGGGATATGACGCGTGGCGAGTTTGGCTTCGCTGTGCCCCACACGCGCGCACGACAGATGAAGCGCCTCCACGTGGAGATGCGGCCGCAGGAACGACGAATCCCCGAGAGGAAAAGCCTCATCCACTCCACGTGGCCGTGACCTTTCCACCTCATCTGCTGTCAGCTCCAATGTCATTTCAGGCGTCCCTTGGGAATTCCAGGAGTCCAAATTCAACTGCTTATGGATGGTGAAAGTGTTTTCCCGCCTAGAGATTTTTGAGGCACAGCACAGCACAGCCCACCATGGTCATAGAGAGACGCACTTGGAAGACAGATTCAAGGTGATATTTTATCTTCTGGGCCAAGCCATTTTAGTAACCAGCAATCCTGCTTGTTGATAGGCCACCAGGACCAGGTACCACCTGCTTCGATGGTCTGCGTGGTGTGGTGATTTTCATCGGTATTACCGAGGAGAGTAAGCAAGTCCTCGTCGGTTGACGTTGTGAGTGTCGTTTAGTTCTGCTCTCGAAACCGTAAGGCAAAACATTGCTGAGCGGACTTGATTCGATCAGTGTGCTGGCAAGACCATTCCTTGAAGAATAAGGAGAAGAGGAGTTTCTTGGCCTTTAATCTAGGAGACACAGGAAATTAAGGTGTATTTGTGCGTTAGTCGACACCATGGCTGATTATTACGAGAACCGTCCTGTAGAAGACGAGGACAAGGACGATGACGTGGATCCTGACGTGGGCAACGCTGCGAAAGAGGATGCTGAGAAGCTGTCCGAGGGCCTGCCACGTGTCCTGATCGTGTCCCGACGGACGCTTCGCAAGAACAAGTTCGTCGATTTCGTAGGTAAGATGGGTTGCTGCTGCCATTGAGCAGAACATACAGACATCCGCCTAGTCTCTTGGTTCTGGAAAGTTCAGGAACGAGAATCTGATAGTCAGAGACACTTAAGCCCTCCGAAACCTCATTCGAGTAGCCAGCAACAACATCGCTCACCAGAAAACAACTTTCTGCCATCCTTTTTATGATTAGCTTTAAGTCCGACTCACCCAAAGCTTCGGGCTGACGAGAAACCAATCCTTCTTTCATCCGACACTACACCGTCTACCCCTCATTGTGCAGGTGAATATCACCTCGATCTGATCGTCGCGTACGGCGCAGTCCCCGTGATCGTGCCACGTGTCCCGGGCGTGGCGTCCCTGCTGGACGCGTTCGAGCCAATCCACGGCGTGCTGCTGTGCGAGGGAGAGGACATCGACCCGGAGCTCTACGACAGCCAGCTCACTGCTGACCTGTCACCCGAGGAAATCGCGGAGATCCGCGCCGCGCACGCCAGCGACACTGCGATCGACAAGGCCAAGGACTCCATTGAGTTGTCGCTCGCGCGGAGGTGCCTGGAGCGGTCGATTCCGTACCTCGGGATCTGCCGCGGGAGTCAAGTGCTCAACGTGGCGTCTGGAGGGTCTCTTTACCAGGTAATTCATCTTTTGATGTTTCTCAATGTTGTCGATTCCGTACCTTGGGATTTGCCGCGGGAGCCAAGAGCTCAACATGGCATCGGGGGGATCCCTCTATTAGGCAATCTTTCAGGCGCCTCAGCAATCGGAGGTGCCTGGAGCGGTCGATCCCGTACCTCGGGATCTGCCGCGGGAGCCAAGTGCTGAACGTGGCGTATGGAGGGTCCCTCTACCAGGTACCCCATCGTTATCTCTCAGACCGCACACACCTTCGAGACGTCAGCTCAGGCGGATTTGAAACCCTTAGCTCCTTGTCCTCCCCGTCCTCTCCCCCCATCCCCGTCCTTCTTCCCCTGCCTCCCCTCCTCCCCTCCCTCCTGCCCCCCTGCCTCCCCTGCCTTTCTGTTTGCCTCAACATCAGGACGTGGAGACGGAGGTCACATCGCGCAAGGGCCTTGACTTGAAGCACATTGACTACAATGACTATGGTGAGAGACAGAACACAACAGAGAAGAAAAGACAAGGGGTATTTGGGTGTTGAGAATGTGAGGGCCTTCGTGTAGGAATTTGGAATCTCGTTGAATGGATTTTTTTTTTTTTTTTTTTTTTTTTTTTTAATGTGACAGGAAGTAGGGATGGTTTTAGGGGCTTCCTGGTAACGCAAGCTCCATCCGTCTCCCATATCTCTCCTCTCCTCTCCTCTCCCCCACCCCCTCCCACCCTAGATGGACAAAGGCATCCCATCTTTGTGGTGCCAGACACGCCTGGCGGTCTGGCTTGAGGAGCTTCCTTAAGCACCATTCCACCAATCCTCTCCCATCTCTTTCCCCTCCTCTCGTCCCCACCTTTTGAAAACCCAAAACCCCAGACGGGCATCGCCACCCCATCTATGTGGTGCCGGAGACGCCACTGGCGGAGTGGTTTGAGGGGTCGCTGGAGAAGAGCCGTGAGGCCACTGGGGAGAACGAGCTGCTTGTCAACAGCTACCACCACCAGGTGCGACGGCGAGAGGGTATGGGCTGGCAGCTTTAAGTGAGAGGTTGGGAGTGTGGGAGGGTAACGGTTACCAGCAGTGGAGTGGTTTGAGGGGTCGCTGGAGAAGAGCCGTGAGGCCACGGGGGAGAACGAGCTGCTTGTCAACAGCTACCACCACCAGGTGAGTGTGTGCGAAAGTGAGAGGGCACAGGTGATTAGCAGCAGGTGAGTGGGTTGAGAGGGTATTGGTTGCCAAGAGCAAGTGAGATTCGAGGCGCCTCAAAAGTGGTTGCTGGAGAAGAGCCGTGAGGCCACGGGGGAGAAGGAGCTGCTCGTCAACAGCTACCACCACCAGGTGCGAGGGTGAGCGGGTAGCGTTACCAGCAGCAGGTGAGAGAGCGAGAGGCTACAGGTTACCACCACCAGGTGAGAGGCTTGACAGAACGTGGCACTTGACAGAACGTGGCACTTGACAGAACGTGGCACTTGACAGCACGTGGCACTTGACAGCAACACACTGACAACACTCTGTCCGGTTTCCATTCTTTTTCCCTTCTCCAGTTCCCTATCCCACCTCAGGGCGTGAGAGTGCTCGCATCTCAGTTCCGCCCCATGGCATTCGCTGCAGACGGGCTCATAGAAGCCTTCTACGACCTGGACGTGCACTGCCCGTTACTCGTGCAGCCCTTGACCAACCCCTATCTTCCCCTTTCTTCCACTTCTTCCCCCTCCCCAGGGCGTGAGATTCCTGGCATCTCGGTTCCGACCCATGGCGTTTGCAGCAGATGGGCTCATTGAAGCCTTTTACGACCCGGACGTGCACTGCCCGCCCCGAGGAGGCTTCTTTGTGGGGCTGCAGTTCCACCCGGAGCGAATGAGGCGCTTCCAGGACGGGGAGGTGGCGCCTGGGGGAGGGCCCAGCTCCCCTCGCGAGGTCTTTGAGTACCCCGAATGTCCCAGGGCGTACCAGGTGCGTCTTATGCTGATTACTCTAGTAACTCTACCTAAGGGGGGGCACTGCCCGCCCCGAGGGGGCTTTTTTGTGGGGCTGCAGTTCCACCCGGAGCGCATGAGGCGCTTTCAGGACGGGTAGGTTGCGCCTGGGGGAGGGCCCAGCTCGCCCCGAGAAGTGTTTGAGTACCCCGAGTGCCCCAGGGCCTACCAGGTGCGTGCTATGTTACACAATCTGCTGAAGCAGCCTGAAACGCTGAAACCATTACTTTGAGGGTTCGTCTTTGTGGGGCTGCAGTTCCACCCTGGGCACACCAGGTGCGTTCTCTGCTGGATACTCTGCCTAGTGAAGGGTCCAGCTCCTCTGCGAGGGGGCTTCTTTGTGGGGCTGCAGTTCCACCCGGAGCGCATGAGGCGCTTCCAGGACGGGGAGGTGGCGCCTGGGGGAGGGCCCAGCTCGCCCCGAGAAGTTTTCGAGTATCCCGAGTGCCCCAGGGCGTACCAGGTGAGTTCTTTAGTGCTTGCCCTGCTGCCGGTGGTGGTGTCTTTCTGTTGCTCCTTGGGTTCCTCAAACGTGTGCCATTCCAAGCTGTCTTTCCCTGGGGGAGGCTTCAGCTCGCCCCGCGAGGTGTTTGAGTACCCCGAGTGTCCCAGGGCCTACCAGGTGCGTTTTCTGCTGAATATTCTGCATGCTTTTGAGAAGTCTTAAAGGTGTGTGCTTGGGTTGATTACTCTGTTGGCTCTGCTAAATTCTCTGCTGAAGCTCAGCTGCTGCTGGTGCCTCTCCGTTTGGCCCATGGTTCACCAAATGAGTGGCTGTAGTTTTCTTTCCTTGGTGGAGGGCCCAGCTCGCGTTGGGAGGGGTTTGAGTAGACCGAGTTGAGTTCCAACACGGTTGGTTGGTTCTAATTCCGCTGGTTGTAACTGCCTGTCTTGTGTGTTGCAGTGGTCTGCCAGATCTCCCACCCATTTGTTGTCAAAGTCCTGCTCACTGCCTGCATCATTCACTCACTTGCTCACCCATTCACCCACTCACTCCCTCTCTCCCACTCACTTACTCACTCACTCACTACTCACTCACTTACTCCCTCCCTCAGGAGTTTGTGGCAGCAGTGGTGGCATATGAGCGCAAGGTGCGGCCAAGAATCCCCCGCCCAGCCGCCCTCACAGCCCCTCCCACCAGCATTGCTGCCGCTGCTGCTGCCGCCATTGCCGCAGTTGACGCTGCCGCTGACGCCACCGACAGCCTGGCCACTGGCATGGCTGCTCTAGGCCAATCAGGAGCAGGAGAGGCGGGAGCGGCAGGAGGAAGCAGCATGGCAGCAAGGGCAGGGGCAGGGGCAGTGGCAGGGGTGGGTTCAGCCAGCGGGAAAACACCCGGAGCGGCAGCAGCAGCGGCGGCGGCGGCAGCGGCGGCGGCAGAAGCGCAAGAGGAGGAGAGGCAGAAGAAGCAGCAGCAAGGGAGGGAGTGGGAGGAGGAGCTGGAGCGGCGGCGGCTGCGCATTCAAAAGAGCTTCCATGCCGCCAAGGTGGTGTACGAGGAGCGGGTGGTGCTGCGCCGCAACGCCACGGAGAAAGGGGGGACGTCGGCGCTTGCTGCTATTAGAAGAGAGCAGGCGGGCGGGTCGGCTGGTGGGTTTGGAGGGCTGCCGACGCTGCCAGAGGAGAAGCAGGAGCTGGCGATTGGGGCTTCATTCCTCAAGGTGAGAGGCTTTGTTTCTCAAGGAGGGTGAGTGAAATAGTATTGGGACCAATGGTTTGGAGCTTCCACGCGGCCAAGGTGGTGTACGAGGAGCGGGTGGTGCTGCGCCGCAACGCCACGGAGAAAGGCGGAACGTCGGCGCTTGCTGCTATTAGAAGAGAGCAGGCGGGCGGGTCGGCTGGTGGGTTTGGAGGGCTGCCGACGCTGCCAGAGGAGAAGCAGGAGCTGGCGATTGGGGCTTCATTCCTCAAGGTGAGAGGCTTTGTTTCTCAAGGAGGGTGAGTGAAATAGTATTGGGACCAATGGTTTGGAGCTTCCACGCGGCCAAGGTGGTGTACGAGGAGCGGGTGGTGCTGCGCCGCAACGCCACGGAGAAAGGCGGAACGTCGGCGCTTGCTGCTATTAGAAGAGAGCAGGCGGGCGGGTCGGCTGGTGGGTTTGGAGGGCTGCCGACGCTGCCAGAGGAGAAGCAGGAGCTGGCGATTGGGGCTTCATTCCTCAAGGTGAGAGGCTTTGTTTCTCAAGTTGGGTGAGTGAAATAGTATTGGGACCAATGGTTTGGAGCTTCCATGCCGCCAAGGTGGTGTACGAGGAGCGGGTGGTGCTGCGCCGCAACGCCACGGAGAAAGGGGGGACGTCGGCGCTTGCGGCTATTAAAAGAGAGCAGGCGGGCGGGTCGGCGGGTGGACTGGGAGGGTTTGGCGGGCTGCCGACGCTGCCAGAGGAGAAGCAGGAGCTGGCGATTGGCGCTTCGTTCCTCAAGGTGAGAGGCTCGTACTACGGTGTGCAACCCGAGGCTCGGACACTTAGGTAAAAAAAAAAAAAAAAAAACGTTTCGAGTATAACATTTATGTATTTGTACGATATTTCTTCCTCCCTCACCCCTCCTCCCTCCCTCCTCCCCTTCAGGAGCTCACGCCCCTATCAGGGCAGCAGGTGAAACGGCTATCGCAGGTGGGTGCCACAGTGCGCAACGCGTCCCACATCAAGGAGGAGCTTGAACGGCGACGAAACCAGCGGTCGGCAGCGCGGGCGGCGTTAGAGGCGCTGCACACAAGCGAGCTGGAGGAGATGGTTGCGTTCCACAGGCGCATGGCTGCCTCTGCTGAAGAGGTGCTGGATGCGAGGAAGAAGGCGAGAGGAGAGGCATAGTGGATGCATGGGGGCTGGGAGCGGGGGATAAAACAGAAGCAGGGGGCAGTGGCACTGGAGGCGCTGTTTACAAGCGAGCTGGAGGAGATGGTTGCTTTTCACCGGAGGATGGTTGCTTCTGCTGAAGAGGTGCTGGAGGCGAGGAGGAAGGCGAGAGGAGAGGCAAATGGACGCTAGCACAGTAAGACCTTGTCTTGACAAACAGGCTGTGGTACAGTTCAGGAGGGTACCATATCTTAGTGGCACAGGAGGTGAGTTGCAAGAGATGTTCACTGGATTTTCAGGTTCCAAGGCACAAATTTGTACAAGCACACTGTACCAGGCCTGCTGTTGAGTGGAGTGATTTGCTGTTGTTTGTGTCGCCAGTGCTGGTAGTACGAATGGAACTGAACTGGTGGTCTTGCCCTGGCAGGCATCTTTATTGTACTACCGGTATTAGCATTCTTGCAAGGAAGTTCGGAGTCACAGACATGACAGACAGAACACAGTAGGTAGAGATGTATGAGGAAAGAACTGAACTGTTAAAAGTGGCCGGAGTAGATTGGATTGAACTCTGTTTGGTTTGTGTCAATTAGTCTGGTTCGTTTCAACAATAATCGTCCTGCAAAACACAAGCATCCACAGCTCGACATGACAGGGCCTATCGGCAGTAGCGACAAGACATGCCAACAACAAGCCTCCACACCGCATGAGAGGTCCTATTAGTGCGGTAGTTTACTGTACGTAAATGTGCAGAAGCCTGCATTCAAGCATGCCGTAACACTGTTACCACCGTAACTCAACACTAACACACACGACATGGCGTCCAGAGCAGGACAGAGCCAATCGGCAGGAGCGACAAGTCCAACAGAGCCCATCGGTGGTAGCGGTGGCGCTTGAAGTTGATGTGGGACGTGTATGTTGCCGCGCTCGAATGTTCCGTTAGCGTGACACGCACCCCCACCACCATCCCCACCGCCGCCCCCACCTCCACCACCAAAACACAAGCATCCGCAGCCTAACAGAGCCTATCGGCGGTAGCGGTGGCGCTTGAAGTTGATGTACACATGCAGAATGCCGCGTTCGAACGTGCACTTAAAGCCCTTCTTGTGCGAATATTCCCACTCCTTGTTCACTATGCGGAATGCCTGACAGACAGGAAAAGGGGGAGGGGAAAGTGGGGGTGGAAGTGTGGAAGCATGAAAGCCTGCTAGACAGGGTGCAGAATGCGACATGTGGAAAAACGGGAAAGACATGAATACTACGACTGGGATGAAGGGAATGATGACCGTGGCATGATTGAAGTGAATGGAGTAAAATAATAACAATAACAATAATAATTATGGTAGTAATAATAAAAACTCAAAGACAAAGGGAGCCACTCACAATGTCCTCATAGGGCGGTCCGGCATGGAAGCGAATGAGACAAGTCTCGCCGTCCGCACTGCCGTCCTTCTCAATATGATAACTGGGCGGCTTGGAGCGGTCAATCAAATCCGGGTAGAAGATACTGAACTTGTATCCTTGCACGATCTTGGGTGGCGGGTTGTCGTGGTCGTAGTGGGTCTGGTTGTACTTGTTCCACTCGTATCCCGTGTGCACTCGGTTGAAATACTTAGGCTTGCGCGGCCGGTACTTGTCATGCCACCAGTACACCTGCTGCCGAGGAGTGTGGGGAAGGGAAACGGGATTTGAGAAGAGTGAGTGTTGAGCTTAACACCTTGCACGGGCTTGCGCGGCCGGTACTTGTCGTGCCACCAGTACACCTGATGCAGGGAGAGAGCGGGGCGGGAGGGGAGGGAGGGAGGGGAGAGAGGGAAATGGGATTTGAAAGGGGTGGGTGTTAAGCTCAACACCCTACATGGACTTGTGCGGCTGGTACTTGTCGTGTCACCAGTACACCTGATGCACAGGAAAGGGGGAAACAAACAGGAATGAGGAGAAGGGAGAAAGGAAGAGGGGAGGTCGCTCTAGGTGGAAAAAATACTGGCGCCTGAACATGGATTCAACCTGAAGGTTCACCGGAAGACCAACCTGAAGCCTGATCCCGGTTTTAACTCACCTGACTGCGCACCTGAATCTTCACCTGATATCTCACCTGAATCTCCACCTGAACTCTCACCTGAGTCTCGAGGGGAACCTCTGCCCCTGCACCAAATGCCACGTCACCAGGATCCTGCCCCATCATCGTATTGGCTGCGGCCTTATCCGCCGCGCTGAGCTGGCCATCCCCTGCTGCTGCCACGTCAGCAGGCGCCCTCACTACCAGAGCCCTCTCTGCTGCGCTGACATCACCACCACCAGCGCCGGAAGCTTCCAGGACGCTGCGCTGCCGGTCTGCCTGTATCTGTGCCCTCTTTCGCTCCTGGAACGGGGAGAGCAGGAGGACAGGGGGGAGGGGGGGAATGACAGAGAGAAGTGGGTATTGAGAAGTGGGCGTGGGAACCATACTACTTTTTGACGTTATAGTTCCACAAGCAAGCAAAGGCGCTTGGAATCGCACTCATCTGCTCTTCTTACGTATGGAACAACTTCCCGAAACCCTGAATGCCCCTCCCACTTGCACAGTACTCACCAGCTCTCTCTTATCCGCTTCTGGGTCAACACCGTCTGTCCCATCCACCTCATACGTGTGAATGAGCTCCGGTGAAAGAAAGCTCGCATTGCTGCTCAATCAGTTTCCATTCTCTTCCTCACTCACACACCACTCACACCACTCACACACCACTCACACACCACTCACACACCACTCACACACCACTCACACACCACTCACACACCACTCACACACCACTCACACACCACTCACACACCACTCACACACCACTCACACACCACTCACACACCACTCACACACCACTCACACACCACTCACACACCACTCACACACCACTCACACACCACTCACACACCACTCACACACCACTCACACACCACTCACACACCACTCACACACCACTCACACACCACTCACACACCACTCACACACCACTCACACACTGCTAACCAGCTCCCTCTTATCTGCCTCTGGGTCAACCACGTCTGTCCCATCCACCTCATACGTGTGAATCAGCTCGGGCGAAAACCCTCCCTCCCTCGACACACATCCCATGATCAACCTTTTCCGACTCTCTCATTCCCATCCCCTTCCACATCAACTCACCAGCTCCCTCTTATCCGCCTCCGGGTCAACCACGTCTGTCCCATCCACCTCATACGTGTGAATCAGCTCGGGCGAAAACCCTCCCTCGGCGCCTCCTCCTCCTCCTCCCGCTTCTGCTCCCGCTGCTGCCTCTCCGCCCTCCTCATACCCCTCCTTAGCTGCTTCTTCCATTGTCAGCAACTCAGGTGAAAACGACCCAGGCTCTCCCCCTTCTCCTTCTCCCCCTCCTCCACCACCACCACCAGCGCCACCAGCAGCGCCAGCAGCACCAGCACCAGCACCCATCTCCTCCTCTTCCTCCTCCCATCCACGCCCTTCCCCTCCTCTCCCTCCCCCTCTCCCCTCCCCTCCCTCTCTCTCCTCCCCCCCTCCCTCCCCTCTCGCCACCCCTCCCGTTTCCAACAGGGCCAGATGCTGCCGCAGCAGATCAGCATGAATCTCCCTTAGCCGCGCCTTGGCTTTAAAAATCTTCAGCTTTTTCAGCACAGCCTCCCAGTACTCGACAACTTTTGCGCTGCCCGTTTCCATCTGCCCGGCGATCCGCTCCTCCATGCGCGAAAGTTCCTCACTGCCCGCCACAGCGAGAGTTTCTGCCACGTCTGCCCCCACTGCTGAGTGCAGCCCTCTCTCTTCTTCTAGGACGTCCGCTGGTGGCTCCTCTCCCCTCACTCTCGCCCGATCAATGATGTCCCTTCTGGTCGTCTCTGCTATCTCGTGATTGCACACCACCATCATCGCCTGGGAGTACGAGTGTGAGGGAACGGCGAAGGAATACGGCAGAGAAGGGCCGGAGTTTTGAGACGTCTCAAAAGTCGAAGGAATACGGCAGAGAAGGGCCGGCGTGGGCCAAGGAGGAGTGACAGGGAGCAGGATTTAGGGGGGTGCATGGACGATGGTGTAACTCGGCATTGACTGCCGAGTAATTCCATCTAACTCTTGCTTCCACCTCACCCTCCCAATCAAAGGTGTCCCTTCTATTCGTTTCTGCTATCTTATGTTTACACAGCACCATCATTGCCTGGGAAGGGGGGTGAGTGGTGGGATAGCAGGAGGGCGGGAGGCGGGACAGCGGGAGGTGGGAGGTGTGTGGGAGGGTGGAAGGGTGGGAGTGGGAGGGGTGGGTAGAGACATGTTGGCAGATTGAAAGACTTTTGAGACGTCTCAAAAGAGGGTGGAAGGGTGGGAGTGGGAGGGGTGGGTAGAGACATGTTGGCAGATTGAAAGGATCAAGGGTCTGGGGTTCAAGGCGTGTGGTTTCGGGTTTATGCTTGCAGTCTCTGCTATCTCACGGTTGCACACCACCATGCTTGCCTGGGGAGGGGGGGAAGCAGGGGGATGGGGGTTGGTAAGCGGAGGTTTTCAAGGGTTTAAGGGACGTGGGAGATGGATGGGAAGGAGGTAACAGACGCATAATCCACATTGTACGCTACTGGCAGATACCCAGCACAGTTGGTTACATTACACGAACAGCTGTCTGCCAGTTGTGCACCTACAAGCCCCCCTGTACTTTCTACGCCCCCCTCTGTACCTGCCAAAACTTCCCTAAACCTCTCTCTAACTTCCAAACCCCCTTGTACCTGCCAGAACCCCTCCGTACCTTCCAGAACTCCTGGTGCATGGGGTTGTTGCGGTCAAACTCGAGGTGCATCTTGATATCCTCCTTCAGCTCCTCCATCTCCTTCACCGTTAAGCCCTGGAAACGATGAGAATGGACGCACATGCACAATAGAGACATACGGGGCACAGAATTCAATGAGAAGGAGAAGGAGCAACCAACCACACACAAGATTGAGCCTCAAGTCTTGAGGTGCATCTTGATGTCCTCCTTCAGCTCCTCCATGCTCTTCACCGTCAGGCCCTGCAAGCACACATGCATGCATGCACAATGGTACACAACACACATTATAAGACACACACCACAATAAGAAGGTGAGTGCAACCACACACGATGGTGAGTTCAAGGTGTGTGTGAAGGTGTAAACACCTTGAAGATCTTGTAAGGCTCGATGACTTCGATGTCAAAGTCCCCAGAGAGAGTGAGGTTCCTCGCCAGCACTGCACGTCAACGGGCTTCTGAGTCAACCCTCGAGCCAGTCCCACCAGAACCCGCAGAAAGATTTTTTTTTTTTTCAGGCGCCTCAAAAGTCGATGGGCTTCTGAGTGAACCCTCGAGCCAGCCCCACCAGAACCCGCAGAATGATGAATTTTTTTTCAGGCGTCTCAAAAGTCGGTGGGCTTCTGAGTCAACCCTCGAGCCAGTCCCACCAGAACCCGCAGAATGAATTTTTTTTTTGTTTGTTTGTTTGTTTTTTTTTTTTTTTTTTTTTTTTTCAGGTGCCTCAAAGGTCGATGAGCTTCTGAGTCAACCCTCGAGCCAGCCCCACCAACCTTGAACCCGTAGAATGTGTGGCATCTTGAACCAACCTCGAAGAACCCAGAAACCCACCTTGAAGATCTTGTACGGCTCGTTAACTTCAATGTCGAAGTCCCCAGAGAGAGTGAGGTTCCTCGCCAGCACGTCGATGGGCTTTGCTCGCCCCTCCCTCAGACGGATCTCCGAGCGCACTCGGCTTTGCTCAAAGTGGAACTGAGAGGGGTGAAAACGGGTGGGACGGGGTGAGAAGAGGTGAGAAGGGGTGAGAGGAGATGAGAGGGCTTGTGACGCTCTGAATTCCTCCTTGCCAGCATGTGGATGAGCTTCGCTGCTCACCCCTCCCTCAACCGGATCTCCGGGCCACTCGGGTGGAACTGAGAGGGTTAGGGTGGAACTGACAGGGGGAGGAGGGAATGAGAAGGGAAAGGGAAGCGGAACTGTGCAAAAGTGTGCAGGGAGAGAGGGGTTGAATTGCGTGGGTCTGGTTCCTCCCTCGCACGTCAAAAGGCACGACTTGGTTTTTGAGAATTCTCAAAAAGTGCGCAGAGAGAGAGGGGTTGAATTGCGTGGGCCTGGTTCCTCCCTCGCACGTCAAAAGGCACGACTAATAAGTGTCCGAGCGTGAGGGTACTGTCTAGTTTTGAGGCGCCTCAAAACTAGCGTGGGCCTGGTTCCTCCCTCGCACGTCAAAAGGCAAGGCACGACTTTAAGTGTCCGAGCGTGAGGGTACTGCGACTGGAGAATATGGCATAGTGCATGACTGAGTGTGTGCATGCGTGTGAGCGTGTGAGTGTGTGAGTGAGTGAGAGAGGCACAGTACCTCATCTTCCTTCTCTTCCCAGTCTTGGAACTCTGCTCGAGCCCTCTCACGTGCCAGCATGGCCTGCAGCAGCAACGCACAGGCACAGGCACACAAGCACACGCACACAGGCACAGGCACACGCACAAGAAAAAACAGCTATTAGTGCAGTTCAGTTGTTGTAAAAAAAAGAGGGGAAGAAAGATAGAAGCGGCTTGATCATCTAAAAAAACGAAACAAGAAGCCAGGATGCAACTTTTGAGCCAGCTCACCATCTCTCCCTCCCCACCACCCACCATCTCTCCCCACCACCCACCATCTCTCCCCACCACTCACCATCTCCTCATCGTGCTGTGCTTTCTCCAGCATCCTCTCCTCTCTTCGCTTCTTCACCTTCTCAATCTCCTCCTGCTCGCACACACACGGACGGACGTCCCGAAAGAGTCAAATTTATGGGGAAAAAACGAGGAGGAAGTAAGAAAGAACGAAGCAAGAACAGGCGGTAGATGATTCTCTAGTGAGGCACCACAAGACAACAAAACATAGTGGGTTTCCAGCCGCACAGACTGCAATCACGGACAACCCACCATGCGGGCCTCGAGGCGCTTCCTCTCGTTCTGCAGGGTGATCTCCCGCGGGTCCAGCGTGCCTCGCAGCACGTCCTTCTCTATCTTCTTGCGCCACACGAACCTGTGGGCATAGAGTCAGGGGGTGTGTGGGAGCGACGGAGGGAAAACGGAGGGTGGGACGGAAGGACGGAGGGAGGGAGGGCAACACGATAGGGCAAGAGTACACGCATCAGCAGGCTCTTTTTCTGCCAGTTTCGTTCCCTCTCCACATCCTGCCGTAAAATTCTCCTCACAAAAACCTTCACTGCCTTCTCGCACTGCACCAACTAGCAGCTTCCACGTCACCTTAAAACTCATACTCTCAGCGGCGCTTGAGACGCGTCACTCACGTTTCAGTGAGGTTCGTGTCGCCGAACGGGTTACTGTCGTTCGTGTAACCCGACACCGCGTTCGGTTTAAGTTTTTTCGCCAGCTTCTGCGCCTTCTTCTGCGCGCGCTTCGCCAAAAACTCCCTAAGCTCCTCCTCCGACACTTTCTTTCCGCCCCTCCCGCCACGCGACGGACTCCCATCACTACTATCACTCCCGCTACTGCCACCAGAGGTCTCCGATCCTTCCGAATCCGACCGCTCCCGGCGTCGCCGGCGCGAATCCCGCTTGCTCTTCTCTCTTCGTTCTTTTTTGTCCTTTTTACTCTTTTTGCTCCGTCCCCTGCTTCTGCTCCTGCTGCGGCTTCGGCTACGACTGCTATCGTCACTCTCGCTAGAGTCACCCCCTCGCTGCTTCTTTTTCCGGCTTCCGCGGCTCCGTCGTTTGCGGTTGCGGCCGCGATCACCGTCGGAGTCTGACGTGGAGGCATCCTCGCTAGAATCGCCATCGTCGCTGTCCTTCCGCGATTTCCGGGACTTCCTGCTCCGTCTCCTGCGCTCATCTGAATCCTCGCTGTCCGAATCGTCTCGCTTTCGTCGCTTCTTTTCGTCGCGACGCGCCATGGCTACCGTGCGAGTCAAGTCTGATGAATAGCTAAGGAGGTAGTGAGCTAAGACAAGGCAGATGAAACTAATGCGGAGGCCTAGAAACGTCTGAAAGAAGCTACTGAGAGAATTGAACGGCTTTCAGAAACAAGTGGCTGAAACGAGAAAATTCAAGAGGACGAAGTGGAGTGGGTCACAGCGTTACCAACATAAATAAGTTTTGGGTCAAAATGTGCATGTCTGCCGCATCGACATCAAATAAGTGCCAGTGGTCTAGTGGTAGAATAGCACCCTGCCATGTCAGCACGGTGCAGACCCGGGTTCGATTCCCGGCTGGCACATCGGCAGTTTTGCCCACCTAGATTTTGTCATGAGTTCCTAGATTCTGTACAGTTTTCTTCGCAATTGCTGTCGCTTACGTTTTCGTCTTCGTTAGTACAGCCACGTAAACGTCGCACGAATTTGGTTACAAATCCTTGTGCGCTTGATCACGGATGAGCCCCAGCTGGAGCATTGTCATGGAAGTTCATGGAAGTTCACCCTCACTCAAACTCTACTCATACCGTTCTAGAATGTTAAAAAACCGTTCTGCCTCGCAAAGCATCTCATCAAGCCGCAATAGACTTGAATCTCATTGACACTCATCAAGCATCTCATCTTGCTCAACTCACGCATAATCCACCTGCAAAACAACCGCAGCACAAGTGCTGCCGCCATGGCTGCTGTAGTTCGCCTGCACGAGCAGGTGATCGCGTCGCTCCAATCCGCCATTTCGAAGCAACCTCGTTCCGTATCTGATTCGCCGATCGAGTCGTCCTCACCCGTGATTCTCGGCTGGTTAGTTGGCCCGACAGCGTCTTACTTCCCATCTCGCGACCCACGCCCTTCCTGCTCCGTCCTCTCTTGCACACTCGTAGACCCGCGATTCAGGGACGTCGCAGTCCAGCAGCGTGGCGACAAAGGCGACGTCGCCAAGTCCGAGGCGCGAGCTCTTTTGCCGCTGATTCCTGGAGGACTCACAGTTGTCGGGGTTGCGGTGAGAGGGGAGTTTACCCTGGAAAGTCAGGCGCTTATAAGGAAGCCAATTACCGAATTTCGGCGAATCTTCCACGACGTTGCTTTGGCGCGCCGGCCGTTCATTGTGACGTGGACGAGTGACGCATTAGCGTCGGGTGAAATCCCTCCGAGGATATCCATATTGGCGGGAATTGAGTTGAGAAGAGGTGACGTGGCAGTTGCTGATTGGTGGGGTCAGGATATTACAGAAAACACGTGGAAAGATGAGGAACGGGAACAGAGCGGGGGAGACGAAGAGGACGGCGGCGAGGAGGGAAGGAGAGACGAGAAGCAAACAGGAGAGTGTGAAGCTGACGTGGCATGGGAGATTAAAGCGGATGAGGAGGGTGAGAATGCTGACGTGGAGGTAGAAGTGGTGAAGGGTGAAGGGGGTAAGCGAGATGGTGCTACTGGTGGGGAGAATAATCGGCTGGAGGAGGAGTTTTGGGCGGCGCACTGCCCGCTGGTGTGTGACGTGGCAGCCGCCCTGCCACTGTACACCCACGACAAGCAGAGTGAGTGAGCATCGCCCCGCTGCTCTTCATCCCACCGCTCAGCAGTTTCATTCATCCTTCCGCCACTTCTCCCTCCTTCGCTCCTCCCACACATGTTTTGAGACGTCTCAAAACACTTCTCCCTCCTTCGCTCCTCCCACACATGTCCTCAGCCCCATTTTTTCAAATTTTCAAGTCACTGTTTACTCTCCTCCGCTCCCCCTTTCTTCCGTCCCCCTTCTCTTTTCAACATGCCCTCCGGACCTCCCTCTCACCGACTCCCTCTCCCTTCATACTCCAATCCATTCCAATTGCACCAATTCCCCGCTGTTCTCTTAACCCCCTTTCCTCTCTTCCCCTCCCCCCACCTCCCACTCCTTCACCTCTTCCGGTTCCCCTTTGCCCCCTGCATATCCTCCCCTCCGTCTCACCCTCCCCTCCTTCCCTCCCCCTTTTCAAATTCCCCCTAACCCCTCCATATACATTTTTTTTCCGCCCTATCGTCGTCAACATCTTAGGCACCTCATAGTATCCCTCTCTCTCTTTCTGCCCAACCCTTCTCCATATACATGATTCTCCAGCTCTGTCGTCGTCGATATCCGCATCTCTCTCTGCCATCGAAGCTGACGTCATCAGCCCTCACGCCCTCTGGTTGCTGCACCCACCACAACCACCTTCCGCTGCCACGTCATCAGCTGCCAGCTCAGCATCAGCCGCCAGCGCTGCTGCAGGAGCCGCGCGTCCGATCCTGATTGGCTCTCTGCCAAATGGAAGAGCCTCAGGAGCCAATGGCAGCGTGACACGTGGCAGGGACGGTGGGGTGACCGCAGAGCGGATGGTGTGTGGTGATCTGCTGACGTCAGCAGAAGGGGGAGGGGGAAAGGGGGGAGGCGGAGGAGGAGACGGGGGAGGAAAAGGGGGAGGTGCGAGAGGGAAAGGGGGAAAAGGAGCGACTGGTGGTGGGGGAGGAGGAGGAGGAAGAGGAGACACTTTAGCTTCAAAAAGGGTATGTTAGTACTCGTGCTCGTGCTCGTGCTCGTGCTGGTGCTGGTGCTGGTGCTGGTGCTGGTGCTGGTGCTGGTGCTGGTGCTGGTGCTGGTGCTGGTGCTGGTGCTGGTGCTGGTGCTGGTGCTGGTGCTGGTGCTGGTGCTGGTGCTGGTGCTGATGTTGGTGCTGGTGCTGATGCTGGTGCTGATGCTGATGCTGGTGCTGATGCTGATGCTGGTTCTGTTGACTCTTGAGTTGACTCAAAGAGAGGAAGATGTTGCTAATGACAGTGTATTCTGGTTCTTGACTCTATGAGTATAGCGCTAGTTTGGGTTCAAACATGTGACTTTCATCCCCTCATATCCAGTCCAGGTGACTTTTGAGTCGACTCAAACGTCACCTTGGCACTAATCTGGGTTCATACAAGTGACCTTGATCCCCTCTCTCACATCTATGTCTCCTCTCTCACCTCTTCACCGCCTTCATCTGGGCTCGCTTTGCCTTGGTTTCAACGCCCCTCTTCCCACCCACTCTCCTCCTCTGCCCCCTCCTGCCCGCTCACTTCCTGCCCTCCTCCCATCCCTCCCAACCCAACGACTGTCCCACCTCCCCGCTTTCCTCTTCCCCTCATGCTCGCTCTGCCTTGGTCTCGTGATCTGCGTTCTCGCCCATTCCTCACAGCTGGCGTCAACCACACGTGTCTCTCTGCTGCTCAACCAATCGCCACCCGCCACGTCAGCATCCGCAGGGAAAAACGGTGCACCTGTTGGCCTCAGCTACACCCCAGGTGAGGACGACCACTCTCTTCCCATTCTCTCCCAGCCGGCCCCAGTATCCACCTGCACCAGATATGCCTGTCCCCTCAGCAGCCTAGTCTTCGACTTGTGCGGTACTCGCTCAACATCCTCTCACTCGCTCCCCATCCCCTGTTGCCCCCCCCAGCCGCCCCCGGTATCCACCTGCACCAGATAAGCCTGTCGTGGAGCAGCCTCATCTTACGTATTTTGAGTTGTATAAAAATCTTCTCATTTGCTTCCCCATTCTCCCCCCAGCCGCCCCCAGCATCCGCCTGCACCAGATAAGCCTGTCCCTGAGCACCCTCGTCTTCGCCCCTCAGCACCTATCTCTGCGGGCGGCGGTGCGTCGTCTCGTAGTGCCGGGGCTGTTGCGGCAAGTCAAGGCGATCGAGTGGATGGTGGGCGGCAGGGGAGAAGAAAGACAGAAGGGTGAAGGGGGGAAGGGAGGCGGTGAGGAGGGAAAGCGGGGGGAAGGGGCAAGAGCAACAAGTGCGGATAGGAGAGGAGCTGCAGGGGGTACGGCACAGGAAGCAGCTTCTGCCGTTTCGCTCCAGCTAGGACTCAAGGTGCGCCCATTCCTGAGACGTCTTTAAAAATGTTTTTTTTTTCAGTCCATTCTTGATTTTTAAAATTTTGTCTTTCCAGCCCATTCTTGATTCTTAATAATCGTCTGAAGGTGGGCCCATTCCGTCAACCTCCCCTCAACCCCCCACCCCTCCTCCTCCATCCTCCATCCCAGCACTCCCGCCCTCTGTCACTATCCCCGTCCCCCTCCCCTTCTCAATCATTACGTTTCTTTCCAACCACGAATCAAGGTCGCCAACCACTCCCCTTTCCCTTCTACTCCTCCTCCCCCACTAGCTCACCGATGCTCTTCTCACACCCCCACTCCGACCTCCCCTCCCTCTCCCCCCTCATCTGCATCTCTCCCTACCCTCTCTCCCTCTCCTCCTGCATTTCTTTGTTCCTGCCCCTCTCTCTCCCTCCCTGTGCCGGCCTCTCCCCCACATGCTTCAGTTCGGAGCATACCACTTCCTGCTGCCGGCCTGCCCACACCCTCTCACTGTCATATACCCTCTCACGTACGGAGAGGGGCAGCAGAGCCTGGGTGAGTGGAACCCAGGCGAGCAACAATTCCCTTCCTTTCTGCCCTCATGTGCTGCCGGCCTGCCCACACCCTCTCACTGTCATCACCCTCCCTCTCCCACCCCTTCTGGACCGGACCTACCTCACTACACTTCAGTGGACATGCGCTTGACACTGCACCACCGCCTGGGCCTGCCTCTCGACCGCCCCATGCTGTGTACTGCCTATCCCCTCCCCTCCTTACCCCTTCCCACCCCGCATTAACCCCCTGACTCCCCCCCACCGCAGTGGACATGCGCATGGCACTGCACCACCGCCTGGGCCTGCCTCTCGACCGCCCCATGCTGCACATTGCCTCGTCACTCTCCCTCGCTGCCCCTACTGCTGCACCAGACGCCACCCAAGCATCCGCCAAAGGTGGGTGCTGGGCCAGTTCTTGCCATGCCTTGTCATGTCACCTCTGAAAACCTCTGAAGAAATTTTGCCTTTTCTTGCGTGCTGATGTCCCATGCCGCAGCCCACACCCTCTCCCCCCCCTCCCCCTTCCCACCCCCTCCTTTCACCACCCACCACCTGTTGCTGTTGCTGTTGCTGTTGCTGTTGCTGTTGCTGCTGCTGCTGCTGCTGTTGCTGTTGCTGTTGCTGTTGCTGTTGCTGTTGCTGTTGTTGTTGTCGTTGTCATCGTCTCTCTCTCTCTCTCTCTCTCTCTCTCTCTCTCTCTCTCTCTCTCTCTCTCTCTCTCTCTGTGTGTGTGTTGTGTGTGTGTGTGTGTGTGTGTGCGTGCGTGCGTGCGTGCGTGCGTGCGTGCGTGCGTGCGTGCGTGTGTGTGTGTGTGTTTGTTCTTCTTTCTTTCTTTCTTTCTTTCTTTCTTTCTTTCTTTCTTTCTTTCTTTCTTTTTAATTATTAAATATATATTTTTTTCCTCCACTCCCGCCTCTCCACCTCTGACAGGTCTGCGTCTCTGGGATGTGCACGTGGGCCTTCCTCGTCTGCCACATTCTGCAGGTAGAAGATCCACAGTTCATACTGGATTGAATTCCTCTGTGACAAATATATACATATATATATATAGTGTACACATTTATACATTTACGTATGTATATACGATGCTTATGGGAAGTATATCCAAGTTTCATGTGTCCCACTCATATCAGTTTTGTATGCAACGCGCCTGTTTCAGACTCGACTGCTTATCTCTCCTTCCTTTCCCCCCCTCACCAACTCTCCCTCTCCGCGCAGGGTCGAAGCAGTACCTGGTGCAGGGCTCATATGAGTATTACCACTACATGCAAGACCGGATCGACGACAGCGTGAGTCTTCTATAGTCAAGACAATGGCAATCAAATCACCACGAGTCTATCTGTTTGTTGTTCTTCGTTTCCCTTTTTTCCCATTTTTTGCGACTGTTAGAAACGTTAGCCGCTATGCCTATCACTCATTCTTCTCAACTATTCCCTTTGACTCAACCACTGTGTTTTTCCCTGCTGCCATGCAGGGCTGGGGCTGTGCCTATCGCTCGATGCAGACCCTCGTGTCATGGTTCCGCATTCAGCAGCACACATCACCTTCCTCTCCCTTAACCTCTCCCTTAGCTTCTTTCTTCACTCCCCCTTAATCCACCTCTCCATCCTCCCATGTGTCATCAGGGCTGGGGCTGTGCCTATCGCTCCCTGCAGACCATTGTGTCGTGGTTCCGCATTCAGCAATACACCTCAGTACCCGTGCCAACCCACAGGTAAACTAAGCGATAAAACGGCTCAAAGCGCATTCGGTAGCACACCCCACTCGCCATGCTGACACACAGCACAGGTGCACCTCTCTCACTCATGCCAGCCCACAGGTGCACCTCACTCACTCTTGCCACCAAAGACGTGCACCGCACTCACTCAGTCATGCCAGCTCACAAAAGCACCATGTTTGTAGACACCTCAACCCGCATTCAGCAGTTCACACCAATCGCTGCGCCAGCCTGCACGCACAAAGCTTTGATACATCCCCGCATCTCAATCCCAAAGCCTCCCCGCATCTCAAATTCCTACCAATGGGTTCAACAAGCCAACTGAGGTAATACTCCCCTCTTCCCCTCCCCCTCTCTTCCACTCTCTTCCTCCTCTCCCCTTTCCCTCACCTTCCCATTCCATTCCCCCAGGCGCATTCAGCAGGCGCTGGTGGAGATAGGCGACAATGATGCGGCGTTTGTGGGGTCCAGCCAGTGGATCGCATCGAGCTCAGCTACATGCATCCCTATCCCCCCCTCCTCCCCGTCGCTCCCCCCCCATCCCGTTCCCCCCGTCCCCATTCCCCCGTCCCTCCCCTTCTCCCTGTCCCATGCCCCCCAGGCGCATCCAGCAGGCGCTGGTGGAGGTAGGAGATAAGGACGCGGCGTTTGTGGAGTCCAGCCAGTGGATCGGAGCGATCAAGCTCAGCTACATGCATCCCTTCCCCTCTTCCTCCCCCCGCCCTCTCGCCGCTGTCCACCTTCCTCCACCGCCCCCCCCCCCTCCTCCCACAGGCGCATTCAGCAGGCGCTGGTGGAAATAGGCGACAAGGAGGCGGCGTTTGTGGGATCCAGCCAGTGGATCGGCGCCATTGAGCTCAGCTTCATTCTGGACCACCTGCTGGGGGTGAGCGGACGGGAGGAGGGGAGGGAAGAGGGCGTGGGACAGTGGTGAGGGGGGTCCAGTCAGTGGATAGGCGCCATTGAGCTCAACTTCATTCTGGACCACCTGCTGGGGGTGAGCTACTTACCTGCTGTGACTGTTCTATTGTGTGATGTAGAGGAGAGGAGCGGAGAGGGATTGGGGCAGTGGTGAGGGGGAGTTGAGCCAGTGGATAGGCGCCATTGAGCTCAGCTTCATTTTCGACCACCTGCTGGGGGTGAGCTACTTACCTGCTGTGACTGTTCTATTGTGTGATGTAGAGGAGAGGAGCGGAGAGGGATTGGGGCAGTGGTGAGGGGGAGTTGAGCCAGTGGATAGGCGCCATTGAGCTCAGCTTCATTTTCAACCACCTGCTGGGGGTGAGTCTCTAGGGAAGAGGGACAATGGTGGGAAAGTGAGAGAGAGCAGGGCAGTGGAAAGTGATCAGTGCAATTGAGCTGTTTGGTTGTGCGATGGAGAGGAGAGGAGAGGGGACAAGAGGGGACGAGAGGGCATCAACTAGCGCAACAGTCATCACTCAATGTACCCCTTCTTGTGCACCCCTCTCAACCCACATGCACCCATCCCCCCAGGTCACGTTTAAAGTCCTCACAGTGTCATTTGGAGCATGCACGCCCTTTAAGGGCCGGCAATTAGCCCACTACTTCACCACTTAACACACCCCTTCTTGTGCTCCTTTCCCTTCTTGCCCCACACGCACCATACTCCCCCAGGTCACATGTAAAGTCCGCACATGATAAAAGAGATGTTTTGAGACGTCTCAAAACCCTTCTTGCCCCACACGCACCATATTTCCCCAGGTCACATGTAACGTCCTCACAGTATCATCTGGAGCAGATATGCCCTCTAAAGGCCGGCAACTAGCCCACCATTTCACCACGCAAGGCACCCCAGTAATGATAGGAGGCGGGGTTCTCGCGTACACTCTATTGGGTGAAGACTATGACGAGGCGACGAGGGAGTGCTCACCTCTTCCAAACTCACCTCTCAACCCACCTGCTCCCACCCGCCCCCTCCCTCGCCCCCCCTCTCCTCCCCTCCCGCCCCCCACCAGGTCACATGTAAAGTCCTCACAGTATCATCTGGAGCAGACATGCCCTCTAAAGGCCGGCAACTAGCCCACCACTTTTCCACCCAAGGCACCCCGGTAATGATAGGAGGCGGAGTTCTCGCATACACTTTATTAGGTGTAGACTATGACGAGGCGACGGGGGAGTGCGCGTTTCTGATTCTAGATCCGCATTATACAGGAGGGGAGGATTTGAAGGCGATAAGGAGTGGCGGGTGGGTTGCTTGGCGGAAGGCCAAGACGGACGGTGGGGCAGATTTTTTCGTCCGTGATGCGTTTTACAACCTCTTGTTGCCGCAAAGGCCAGCAACTGTTTGAGCTATACGTATAGAGCCCCCCCCCCCCCTAATGCTAATGGCTTTGTTTAGAATGGCATTGCATATGCCTTGTAGTACATTTGCATGTTTTGGATCCCGGTAGAGCCCGATTCCACGGTTGCGCTGATTCTCGCTATTGCGTTTCATCACACCCCTGTCCCAGAATTGGGGACTGGTTTCATGGGTTTGAACTTGAAGTGAACTGCGAGGATCGCCAGGCGATTTTCAATTCGTTGCTTTTTTCACGCCCTTCAAAATTCAAAACGAGGACTTCAAATCGGTTTCAGCCACTCTGCTCCGCGTCCGCTGGACCTCCTTAGCAGCCGCTACTAAAGCTGACTCTCAGAAAGTGGTACGGACCCGGGCGGCAAGCGCTAGTTTCCATTTAGTGTTTTCAGTTTAAAGGTCTTCATTACAGCAGTAGCAGCATCAGGTACAACAGCCGTCGCCATGCCACAGCCGCAGCAACAGCCGCATTCGCAATCGCAGCCACAACCGCTCCTCCGTCCGCCTTCGCTTCAGCTCCCGCTCTTCCCGCAACAGTCTGCTCCCCCATCGAATCCGCCAATGGCGGAACAGCCAGCACAAAAGCCGCAACAGCGACCAGCGCAGGGTGAACAGCAAATCGCGGCGCCGCCGAAGGCGAAGTCGCAATCGCCGTCGCCGTCGCCGGCGCCGTCGCAGCCCTTCGCGACGCAGATTCGCGCGGGTTTCGCGAAGCTCCTTGGCGAAGATTTCGAGTTTTTCATGCAGTCGTATTCGGTCTTGCTCGGTCGCAACAGCAAAAAGTCGTCCGTCGACCTCGATCTCTCCGCGCTCGGCGGCGGGATGAACGTGTCGCGAAACCATGCGAGGATTTTTTACGATTTCGCCGCTCGCGAATTTCGCCTGGAGGTGCTCGGGAAGAACGGCGTGTACGTGGACGGGCAGTCGAAACCTTCTGGATCTGACCCGATCCCGCTAAAATCCCAGCAGCTGCTGCAGGTGGGGGATAAACGGTTCTATTTCCTTCTTCCCGCCAAAAAGTCCCAACCTCGTGTCAAACTCGAGCCACCTCTGGTTCGGCCACCTCCAGGCTCGGCAGGAGAAATCAGCCAACCAGGCGCTCCTGCAGCAGGTTCAGCACCTGGACCTCTGGCTCGTGCTTTGGGTTCAGGCTCGGATCCAGGTCCTGGAGCGAGTTTTACTAATGGAGCAGTCACAAACGGAGCAAATACTGCAGTTGGGTGTGCACCTGCAAGCACCGAGGTTGCTGCTGCTGCTGCTGCTGCTGCTGCGTCTGCTGGCGCTAAAGTTATACCAACCCCTTCCCCTTCTTTTCTGCACCACCCGCCTCCTCCTGTTAACCGCTTCCCTCTTATCCCTAATCAACCACTTAATATCCCTCCGTATTCCACTCCTTCTAACAGCATTCCCAATCCTCCTGGGAACTGTTTGTCACTTAGCCAAGGTTCAGATGGCAGTGGGGGAGGGGTTGGAAGAGGCAGAGAAGCGGTTGGGGACGGTAAGAGAGGGTTGGAAGGCAGTGGGGGAGGGGGTGGAAGAGGGAGAGGAGCGGCTGGGGAGGGTAAGAGGGGCCGCAGTCGAGCTAGAGGGGGTGGGGGCCGTGGGTCTAAGAGTAACACCACCCCCCCTGCGAACAGTAACCATCCTACTGGTAACCAGATCGCCAGTAACACCAGCAACAGTAACCCTACTGGTAATCAGCCCGCCACTGGCAGCACCAGCAACAGCATCAGCATAAGCAACAGCGTCAACATCAGCAACACGCCTAGTTCATCAAACCGGCTTCCCACGCTGCAAGCCAATCCACTTCCAGCACAGGGTTCCCACATGTGGTTACCGTTACCGCAGCAAGGCAGTGTGTCGGTGCTGTCCCAGCGAGGCCCGGTGCTCTCAGCACAGCTAGCCACGGCACCGGTCGTGCAGCGAGACGCATCGTCTGTAGTGCAGGGCGAGAGGTGGCCGAGGGATCAGGTTGAGCAGAGTGCAAGGCCCTTGGTAGCACTGGGACGCAGGGTTTGCAGGGATTGCAGAGGACGCAGGGGGGGCAGGGGACGCAGGGGACGCAGGGGGTGCATGTGACGCAGGGGGTGCAGGGGACGCAGGGGGTGCAGGGGGTGCAGGGGGTGCAGGGGACGCAGGGGGTGCATGTGACGCAGGGGGTGCAGGGGACGCAGGGGGTGCAGGGGGTGCAGGGCGAGCAGAGTGCAAGACTGGTAGGTGTCGGAGCGGGTGGTGAGGATAATGGGAGGGCGGCCGGCGGAAGGGGCAGGGGCGGCAGGAGGAGTGCGCAGGGGGGAACGGGAAGGGGGAGGAGAGGAGGGAGGGGGAGGCAGGGAGGTGTGGTGGAAGGGACGAGTGGAGTGCTGGGTGGGGCTGAAGCTGCTGCCACAGGCAGAGGGGTGGGTGGTGAGGAGGGCGGTGGGGTGGTGGGGGTTAGGGAGGGTGGAGGGATGGTGATGTGTGGTCAGATGGGGAGTGGCATAAGCAGTGGTATGGGCGGTGGCATGGGCAGTGGCATGGGCAGTGGCATGGGAAATGGCATGGGCAGTGGTGGTGGAGTGATGCGTATGGACGGAAACGGGGCAGCGGAAACTGGGGAAGGCGACCGAGAGGAGAGGGGAAAGAAGAGGAAAGGCGTGGACAGGGGGAGTGGGGGGGTACTGGGGTTTTGGGCAGCACAGGTGTTTTGGGCAGCTCTGATGGGGTTATGGTTACTGGAGATGTTGGCATGACTACAGGTGTGAGTGGTTCTGGGCAGGTGAAACGGGTTTGGAGACCAGGAGAAGGGGCAGGAGAAAGGCAGCACTAGGAGCAGCAGGAGCAGCAGCAGGAGCTGAAGCGGGCCCTGCAGTCGCAAACGCGTTTCGAGTCGTCTCGAAACTCTTAAAAACCCGTTGGCCAAGCTCAGGAGCAGCAGCGGGGACAGCAGCAGGAGCAGCAGCAGGAGCAGCAGCAGGAGCAGCAGCAGGGGCAGCAGCAGGGGCAGCAGCAGGGCCCCAGGCTGGGCTAGATTGGCCTGGGCTGGGGTAGTGACAGGCAAGGCTAGCTAGCCACCTGACGCCTGCATCTGCACAAGCTGCATATAACTGGACTGGACTTACCGTTATCAATGGGTCAATAAAAACCCATCCAGATGGATTGGAGGTGGTTCAAACACTGTACTAGTGGTAGTGTGATGTTGTAGTCCTATCGGTACCGTACTCTAGACATTCAAGCCTTGAACCTTCCATGTGAGCTGTACGGTACCTTGAAGGTTTGAATCACACCAGTATTCTTTTATCTGTTCTCGGATGATTGGTACGTAGCCCTCTGTGCGTGGGCTGGGCTGGACTATTGATGGTTCAAGCGCCACACCACAGTACAGGAAGTGCAGAAAGATCCTAACCGTCTACACTACGGCATTTGCCTATAGGGTAAATATTGCTCAAGCTACAGGTAATAATCACTGCACCAACTAAGGTACACCAATCTGGTTGTGCCAAGAAATCAGCAAACCCTACACCCTAGCGACGTCTCAAAAACCCCACAGCTGTCAAAGCAGCTCTTAATATGACCGCAACACGTTACACGGGCCCAGCCAGCCCAGCACACACAGCACAAGCCTTAATTCCTACCTACCAGTTGTGCCGACCTGGCGACAAGTCAAACCCTGCAGTTACCAAAGGAGCTTTCACCGTGGATCAGGGCCAGCCATGTTTCAGGTGCCTCTAAGCTCGTCTCATCTTCAGGCACGTACCAGAACAAGTCAAACCCTGCCTACGAGAACATGTTCCCCCTCTGCGTTTTCACCCAGTGCCTCATCCACCCAGTCCCCCTCATAGCCCCCCCCACATTTCCCCTCACTCCTCCCCCCATAGTTACCCAAACACTTCCTCCCACCCACTATCCCCCCCATCCCCTAAACCCCCCCCCCGTCTTGGAGATTGACGTTTCATGATGCTACTCTTGTGGAGCCTCAGAAGATGCTACTCAGCAGTGCCAATCTCACTCCTGTCTTGAAACGTGGCTCGAAACGTCACCCACAGCACATGAATTTTGGCTTTGGCTTCCCCAGTGCCCCAAGCTTCGATTCCAAACCCCCCTCGCCTCGAATCGTGGCTCGCAGTGTCACCCCAGCGCAACGTTATGAATCGCGAATTCGGCTTCCGCAGTGCCCCGATCCTGGACTGACTGCGGCAGCTGCTGCTGATTTCCTAGTCGGCACAAACCTTTCCCGCCTCAGGAATTGTGGCTCGAGATGTTACCGCTGCGTTACGAATCTCGACTTTGGCTTCTTCAGTGCCCCGATTCTCGACTGCGGCTGCTGCTGCAGATGGTGATGCGGCCTCAGGGGTGCGCCTTGCGCCACCCGCTCACCCTGCCCCTGATTCTGATTCTGGTTTTGATTTTTACTTTGCTGCTGCGGCTGCTGTGCTGCGAATGACAGGTGAAGGCTATCAGTCGACACGTTTCTCGGAAACTGCTGCACCGGCTCCCCTTGCAACCCAGCCTGCTGCTGCTGCTGCTGCTGCTGCTGTTGCTGCTGTTGCTGCTTCAGAACAAAGGACGAGGAAGGTGAAGTCCACGCATACCTCCTCATGCTCGACTGTTTCTCCGGGCGCCGGAACGTGGGATCCAGCAGCTGCAGCATGTGCCCCGCCCAGAACTGCGCCTCCGACGGGCCTTCCTTGTACACCTTATACACTATCTCGAGCCCATCATTAGCGAGGATGAACGATGCGGGGACTGAGTCCGAGGAGAGGACGTAGAGGGTCCAGGTGCAGGTCTTGGCGGTGGCGGCAGGGAGCGGGGGAGAGGCGGCGGAGGAGGAAGGGGAGAGGAAGGGCGGAAGCGGGGCTCCTGCTTGCCCTGTTTGCCCCGCATCACCACCAGCAGCAGCACCACCACCACCACCACTACCAGCAGCAGCAGAAGCAGTGTTAGCAGCAGCAGCAGCAGCAGCAGCAACGGAGTGGAAGAGGAGGTCGAGCAGCAGAGGCACGGCGCCGGCAGCCGCGATGGCGAGCTTGTTGTCGCTGCTGTTCACTGCCAGCGTGCCCACCGCTAAAGCTGCTCGCTCCTGCTCGCCTGCGCTGCCGTCCCTCAGCATGGTTACCAGCGCTGGGATGGCCCCTGCCTCTGCCACTGCCATCTGGACCGGGGGTGGGGGGACAGGGGGAGAAATAGTGGGAAGGGCGGAGAAGAGTGGGGAGAGATGAGAGAGGGTATGTGCACGGAAGGAATTTTGAGGCGCCTCAAAAGGGTATGTGCACGGAAGGGGGAGAGAGAGAGGGAGTGAGGAAGAAAGCAGCGATGGCGAGCTTGTTGTCGCTGCTGTTCACTGCCAGCGTGCCCACGGCTAAAGCTGCTCGCTCCTGCTCGCCGGTGCTGCTGTCCCTCAGCATGGTTACCACCAGCGCCGGAATAGCCCCTGCCTCCGCCACTGCTATCTGGGGGGCGATAAGGGGAGAGGGGGGAGATGGGGAGAGTAGGGAGAGACGTGAGAAGGTACGTGCATGGAAAGGTGAGATGAGAACGAGGGTAGTACGAGGGAGGGGGGAGGAAGGGAGGGGGGATGGCGAGCTTGTTGTCGCTGCTGTTCACTGCCAGCGTGCCCACGGCTAAAGCTGCTCACTCCTGCTCGCCTGCGCTGCCGTCTCGTAACATGGTTACCAGCGCTAGGATGGCCCCTGCCTCTGCCACTGCCATCTGGGGTGGGGATGGGGATGGGGATGGGGAAAAGTGGGGGTGTGTGTGCAGTGGTAAACAGCAACAGCAGCCGAAGCAGTCCCTCAGCATACCCACCAGCGCTGGGATGGCACCTGCATCTGAAAGGGAAACAGGAATCTGTCAATCTCACAATCGATGTCTCGAATTTGTCCTCTTCCTCCCCCTACCCAACCCCCTCGCTTACCCTCTCCTTTCCCTCCTCTCCAGTTTTGAGGCGCCTCAAAACTAGCCCCCTCACCCACCCTCTCCTTTCCCTCCTCTCTCCACTCTGCACACCCTCAATCGATGCTCTCCCCCACACCCAATTCTTTTTGACGTTCAGCATAGATCCCCCCTCTTTCGGGCCCCTCTCCCCCTCTCTCCCCCCCCCTCCGTCACCCATCTCTCGACCACACAGTTCACTGCTCTTCTCATTGTAAACCGTGTGAGGTGTGCTATCAGATCTGCTTCTTCCATCCACTCATTGTCCACTCCAGCCCCCCCACACTCTCCCCCCCTCTCCTCTCCCCCTTCCTCTCTCTCAGCCTCACACCTGGTTCTTCTCGTTTGGGAGGTGAAAAATCACATCTGCACAATGCCCAAGCCCCCTCCACGCACACACTGTCACACCCCCATCCACAACTGCCCAACCGTCCCTCCTCTCGCACCCTCACCTGATTCTTCTCGTTGTTGGCTGTGAGGTGAGCAATCGAATCTGCACACTGCTCAAACCCCCTCCACGCACACACTTTCACACCACCCTCCACGACCACGACTGCCCAACCCTCCCTCCTCTCGCACCCTCACCTGGTTCTTCTCCTTGTTGGCTATGAGGCGCGCAATCGCAGTCACACATTGCCCAAACTCCTTCCACGCATTGCCCAGACTCAAGCCCAAACCCAGTCACCCACTGGCGACGAAATCGCCTCACTCACCGCAATTGTCGCCCTGGAGTTGTCGTCCCCAGGGAGGGTGGGTGCCATTCCCTATATCCTTCTTCCATGCTTGCATTGACACTCAAAATCCCCTTTGTTGCTTTGCTCTCTTTTCACCCGCTGCCCACGCACTGCCCAGCCCAGCCCCCCCTCCTCTCCCCCCTTCTTCTTCCTCCTCCTCCCCTCTCGCCCTCACCTGGTTCTTCTCGTTGTTGGCTGTGAGGTGCGCAATGGCATCAGCCGCATCCTGCTTCACGGCAGCATCTGTCTGCGACTGCAGAATCGCCACCAGCGACGGAATCGCCTCACTCGCAGCAATCACCGCCCTGGAGTTGTCGCCACCACCGCCCACTCCCCCTCCCCCTCCCCCTCCCCCTCCCCCTCCCCCCACTGCCACCTTCCAAAGCACCCGCGCAGCCACAGCGCGCAGGTCCGGCGCTCCGGTTCGGAGGATGCTGACTAGGATAGCCACGCACCCAGCTTTCACCACCACTGCTCGGTTCTCGTCAAGAGACACGAGGGATAGGAGAAGTCGCAGAGAGACTAGCTTAAGCTCCTCCCCTATGCTCGACGTTCTAGCACTCCTGGTAGTAGTACCACTCCCAGTCCTGCTCGCGCTACCAGCACCACCTGCACCACCTATCCCCGCTGCCCCCCCGCTGCTTCCGAAGCTGCTGCTGCCGAAGCTGGCTCCCAGGTCCGGGATATTGAGCAGCACAGCAATCACAGGAACAACCCCTGCTGCAGTCACGTGCAGTTTCCCCGCATTCGACGACTCAGATAAATCCAAAAACGCCGTCAGCGCCGTCCGTTTTTCCAGCGCGGATCCCCGGGAGAGTGAGACGACCAGCTGGCGGGCGGCAGCCGGGCCGGCAGTAAAGAGAGAAGTGCCAGTGGCGGTGGAACTACGAGGGGAAGAGGCGGCTGAGAGGGGAAGGCGGGTGGGCTGGTGTGGGGGGGTTGTGGGGCGGGAGATGGGGAGAGGGGGGGGGGAGCGAGGGGGGGGCAACCCTGGTTGGGCGGTTGCTAGGGGGGGATTGGAGGTTCTAGTGCCGCTGTGAGTGCGGCTGTTCCTGGAACCTTGCCTACTGGGGGTTTGCTTACTGGAAGCCGAGGGAGCAGTCGCTGCAGCAGCCGCTGAGGCTGAGGCAGCAGCGCGACCCCTTCCTTCATCATCATCACTAGTGCCAACCCCTGCAGCAGCGGTGGTGGCGGCGGCCGCGGAGGCCTTGGGGGATGTGGGAGCGCGCGCAGGTCCAGCACAGCTGCTCGCGCCCCTGCTACCGCTCTGCTCACCTCTACCCGCCCCAGTAGCCGCCGCACTGCTTCGGCCACCACCATAAATAATGATTTATCAACCATGGAACTTGAAGGAAAGGGAACGTCCTCCAAGCTCCTCCGCCTGCTGCTGCTGTGGCTGCTGCTGCTGCTGCTGCTGCTGCTGCTGCTGCTGCTGCTGCTGCTGCTGCTGATGATGATGATAACCATACTCTTCACCTGTTTCTCCTCGTCCTCCTCCAGAATCTGCCCCTTCCACTGCTCCCCCTCGCACTGCTCCCCCTCCATATCCGCCTTCCCCTGTTCCGCCCCCACCTGTGCCGCCTCCTCCGTCAACTTCCCCCCCGTCCAGTGAGCTTCTCCCCCCAACACTCTGAGTGCGCCTGTAAACGGTGGAACCCTGTCCGAGTAGGAGTAGGCATTCCGTGTGACACTGACGAATCTCAGCTAAGCACGCTTTTAGCTGAGAGGCAAGAGCAGAGGATGAGGAACCGGAGGAGGAGGAGGAGGTGAAAGGAATGGAGCAGGTCGAGGCTGAGGATGCGGCTCGGGAGAGAGGGGTTGGGTCGTCCAAACCAACCGGATTAGGTCCGGCAAGAGGTTTGGCATGGGTACCAGTACGGGGTTTGGAAGAGAAGGCGGATAAAGACAAATGCTGCCTGCCAAAGAAGCGGAACAGGCCTGCCAGTGGAGATTTGCTGGATCTGTTACACGCCTCGAGGGCAGCTACAGTGGTTTCTAGCTCCGTTAACAGCCGTTGGATGATAAATGACGCTCGAGGGTCGGAAACGAGGTTCGCGGCTGCCGGGCCTTGCAGTTGAATCAGGATCGGCAGGAGCTGCTTGGTTCGTTTCGAAACACGTTCGGCAGCTATACGGAGGGCGGCGTTCCGAATGGGGGGAAGAGGGGGGCCGGTCGCGCGGAAAGGGGAGGCGGAGGGGGAAGTGGGGAGGGATGCGGAGTGCCGGTGAGGGGAAGTAGAGGTAGGGTAAGGGCCTGAGAGATGGACGATGCGGTTGCAGAGAGCAATGGCGGAAGAGAGATCGGTGAGGACGGAATCGGACGGTCTACCTGAGGGGGAAGCAATGGGGCCGGGGAACGCGTTTTCCGAGGAAGCCCTTAGCGAGGACGCCCTTAATGGGTTGCGAATGGCTGTTTCGGGACCGGGGGGGGGCACGCCTCTGTTCGGATGCGAAGGGGAGTGCATTCGAAAAGAAATTTCTGCGGGTTCAGTTACAGCAGCGGGCTGGCATTGACGGTCAGCGTCATGAAGACGGTGACCGTTTAATCCCCGACGGCCGTCGTTCCGTTCTGATTCGCGGCCGTTACCATTCTGACGGCCGAATTCTGTTTCTAAGGTGCGGTGAACCGTAGATTGAGATGGACGCTGAGCTAATAACGGGGATGCAGAACCGGGACTAATATCGGACGGCGGAGTTTGAAACCCGCTGCTGCTGCCGTCGATGCTGTTTCCAGGACTCCTGCAGCTCGTACCATTCGCTTCCCCCGGTATACTCCGCTCCGTTTGTGGCATGTAATCCCGCTGTGGTGCAGAATCATTGTCATGTCTGACCTTATCAACCCGCGTAGTACGGCCTTGGGTTTGCCGATCTTCACTCTGCTGTGATCGCGCTGGGTGGGAAGACTCGTTATAACGTGACTCGACAATGTTACTGTAAGGAGGCTCGGAGTGCGGACCGTGTGAGCGGAGCGTCGGACGTAGAGGCTCGGGAGAGGAAGCGAGAGGATTCGGAGAGGAATGGCGATGTTCAAAAGGATAGTCTGGAGGCGAGGAGGAGGCGGGGAACTGGGGTCGGGCGGTTTTTGAGGTGTTCTGAGCGGTGCGGTAGAATGACGGAGGTTCCTGAATTTGACGCTGCTGCTTCTGCTGCTGTTGCTGGGACTTGGAAGTCTTCGGCGACCTCAACACCTGCGGTCCTGATAGCTTAATTAGTTTCTTGAAATGAACGAAAAAAAAAAAGAGACGAAAAAGAAGGAACATGAAGAATACCATACTGGGAGTTCGAAGGTAGATGCGGAACAGGAACGGATTCAGGGAAAGTAAGGGCGGGACAATGCGCGGAAGATACGCACCACTGCTGTCTGGACCCGCGCTCGAGGCATCAGATGACGAGGTGAGAATGATTGTGGCAGCGAGATGTGCGATATCGAGGATCGTATGCTGGTTTTATAAAGGTTTTATATACTCGTTGCTGCATGGGCAAGTAAACACGAAGATGACGTGCGGTGCCCTCGCGTTAGGGTTGCGAAGGTTGCCCTGTCATGGCAAAAACAGACGCTACTCTGTCGGGGTGGTAAGTGCCGGATGGTGACAATATCGGGGCGTGACAATGTCGCGTCACAGCCGCAAGGAATAACAAGACGGAAGAACGTGTGGGACGGGGTTGAGGTCTAAACCGCAAGCAAAACAGCGGCGGAAAAGAGCGTCAGTCGTGCGTCTTCTAGCAATGAGTACATACTACGGTCACCACCTATGCTTGCAGCTAGAGAAAGACCTAGTGCGAAGAGGACTGCAGCTGCAGACCGTACATTAGGAATAAACATCTGGCTGTGCCAGAAGCTACTGCTGACGGCAACAATTTAGAATGAACGAACGGTTCTCCTCTACTGGAGGTTGTGGGGGTGGGTTGCGGTCTTGTCCCCCTCAAGCACTACAGGGACAGCATCAGCAACAGTGAACAAAGAGGTTGAATGCGGTTCCTTCCCTCAACAGCCTTGGGAATTGTTCTGCATTGAAAGCACGCGATGAATTCCCGATGTGGTCCTTGACCTTGCCGATGATGGCCAATCAGCAGCCGTGCGAAAAGCAAGGAATAGGATGAGGTCAGGAGGAGCAGGGCAGTGGTGGCTACCATGCCAAATGTCAACGCCCCCAGGATGGGTCATACACCTTATTGTTCTGGCTTCGTTTCAAAAGGTTTATCCTGGTGTGCAATAGTACACAGAATTGAGAACCTCCACCACATCCTAACCAGATTACGGTACCAGTATTATACCACACCATGTCAAACGAAATCCTACTGAATCTTCTTGTGATTGTGCATATCATGACCTTAGGTTGCGTTACACGTGCAAATCAAATTTTCGTTGCAACAGGATCACTTCAGCATAGCACAACAAGCATGCTCTACCAAAATTTGCCACCACCCTTCACTAGAGTTGCCTCCTCTTCCCTGACAGATTTACCCAATCCCAAGAAAACCCTACCACAAGTAAAATCCCACATACACATCCATCTGGCTTCAACCTCCTCCTCCACCACCGCTTGGTGTATCCTCCTCCCGTTTACATCCCTCCTGCGATACATCGCAAAGGTGGCAACCACCACACCCCCACAGGCATGCATGCTCTCCACTACGACTCGTTTGGTATCACGCAAGGCTGAAGCATCACCCTGGCTTGTGCCGGCAGCCGCAGCACCGGCTGAAGCACTGCCTTCCCCTACACGGTAACCACCTCCTGTTGCATACCTGTGGTTACCATCAGCCCCATGGTTACCACCATCCATATGGTTACCAACGCCACCACCACCACCACCACCACCACCACCATCACCGTCACCGTCATCGTCATCATCATCATCACCATCATCATCACCATCACCATCACCCTCATCACTTGCTTCACCATGCAGCGACCAATCGGGAGTCTCCAATGTGCGAATCTCCTCACCAGTCTCCACATCCCACACACACAGCACTCCACCCCCTCGGCTTCCACTAATGCACTTAAAGCCGTCCATGTGCAATAAATCCACTGCACTCTCATGCGCTTTGGCGCACGTGAGTAGCTTGAACTTAGGCAAGTCTGACGGTGAAACCTGCCCTCCTGCCGCAACTACCCGTGCAACGTCCGCCCTTCCTCCTACCCCCCTTTCCTCCTGTTGCCCCACACGTGCCACTCTTTCGTGCCTCTCCTCAGCCTTATCGGACCTTCTGTAATCCGCTGAACCTCTCCCTGCTGCTCCCCCCTCCTGTGCCTGCTCCACGTGCCACATTCTCACACAGCCGTCCTCCGAGCCTGCTGCTATGGTGCAGCGCGATGGGGAGGACGCAAAGGAGGAGAGCGGGGAGGACCCGCAAGGGAGGGCGAGTACCTGAAAGGGGAGGAGAGCAGGGTGGAGCAGGAGGAAGGGAAAGGAATAAAGGGAAGGTGAGGGATTGGGGAGGGGGAAGGAAGTGGGGCAGGGGGGAAGGGAAAGGAAGCGTTAGCAATAAGGGTGGGCGGAAGGATAGTGCGCGTTTTTTTTCTCACGCACTTGTTCGAGTCGTGTTACATAGAGACACACTTTCTGCACAACTCAGCTTCTGATTTTGGAAGCAGCCGAAGAAGTGTCTCACGTTCGATTCGAGGTGCCTAAATTAATATTTGCGGCCTTGTTTGGTGCGCCTTACAAAAGACAAACGTCGTCCACAGCCCAGTTTTGAGTTATGCACAACCAAATTTCGAGTTATGAACAACCCAGATTGACGCTGTGCAGTGAGCACAACCCCATTGGCAGATGGGTCCAAATTGAATTTTGAGTCGACTCAAAAGTCAACCCCATTGGCAGATGGTCCAAAGTCACTTTTGACTTTTCAAAAAGATTTTCCATGTTGTGGCTCCCCTACTGTTTGGATGACAACAGATCCAGTGTTTTGAGCCTTCTCCATCCCTAATTTTGAGACGTCTCAATCCCAAAGCTGTTTCACTTCCCCTCACCTACCTGTTTCATTGTCAGCAGATCCACGGCTGCAATGCCGCCTCTGCCCACCGCCAGGCACAGCGCATGGTTGGGTTGAGGCGGGAGGGGGAGCAGCGCGAAGGGGCCTGCGGGGGTGCGGCACGCGCCGAGGCAGAGCGCGGAAGACTTTTGAGACGTCTTTTGAGACGGGAATGAGGGAGAAGTTGAGGAGGCGGCGCGGGAAGAAGAGGAGGAGGAAGAGGAGGAAGAAGAGGAGGAGGAAGCGGGGGAAGAGAGGAGGAGGAGGAAGAGGAGGAGGAGGAAGAGGAGGAGGAAGAGGAGGCGGTGGGGTTGAGGGTGGATGGCACTATGTGACGACAGTCCCACAGGCGCAACTGCTTGGGGTGAGAAACAAGGAAATGGACTTTAGACGCGGTTAGTAAACGACGTTTGAGACGTCTCAAAAAGGTGGTGGGGTTGAGGTAGGAAGGGATTGATATTAACCTGGTAACGTAGATGAAAGGATTGATTGTAGCATTGTAACATAGATGATGAGATTGATTGTAACAATGTAAGATAAAGGGATTAATGTTACAATTGTAACGTAGATGAAGGGATTGATTGTAACATCGTAATGTAGATGAAGAGATACATTATAAAAATCCTTACCTTGGCATCGCGAGCGACACTGGCCAGGAGGAAAGGGTTGTGACTGCCGGTGTGAGAGGGAAGATCGAGGGGAGGAAACAGTGAGAGGGAGGAGATAAGGGGAGGGAACAGTGAGAGGAAGAGATCATTAACACGGCAGCAGCCAGCACAGTTAAAGGTCGCTTTTGAGAAGAGCACACTTACAGGTCACTAATGAGAATTCTCCAAAGCTAGTCAAGGCCGCTTATGATGAATCTAAAAAGCGACTCCAATATTGGGTCAAGATACAGCGCCGCTTTTGAGAATTCTTAGAAGGAGAGGACGATTCTGGTACATGGTGTAAGCATGTGAGAAGAAGAGCGAGGAGAGCATTTGAGAAGAAGAGCGAGAGCATGTGAGAAGAAGAGCGAGAGCATGTGATTGAGAAGGCAGGAAAGAGAGAGGGAGAGTTTTGAGTCGACTCAAAACTTGAGTCGACTCAAAACTCGACTTATCACACATGGTGTAAGCATGTGAGAAGAAGAGCGAGAGCATGTGATTGAGAAGGCAGGAAAGAGAGAGGGAGAGCATGTGATTGAGAAGGCAGGAAAGAGAGAGGGAGAGCATGTGATTGAGAAGGCAGGAAAGAGAGAGGGAGAGCATGTGATTGAGAAGGCAGGAAAGAGAGAGGAGAGCGAGCACCCACACGGCAACAGCCAGAGCAGTTATCGGCCCCTCATGGCCCTTGAGTGTGGCGACACATGCTGACCGCCCCTTCCCTGCAAGAAGGGGCAAGGGGGATCAAGGGGGGGTGCAGAGGAGAGGCAGAGGAGAGGCAGAGGAGAGGAAGAGGAGAGGAAGAGAGGTAAGTGCGGAGGTGAGCGTTCCTATGTGAAGAGGGAATATATGAAGAGAGACTATGTGAAGAGGAAAAGAGACCATGAGGGTTTGATGCAGCGCGGGCTGAGGTAGAAAGGCAGGAAAACAGAGGAAGATGGGAACAGAATCAATCCAGGCACATAAAAAAACAAGGACTAAGGTTTAAAATTATTCAAGGAATAAGGAAGTACTCGAAACAGTAATTATCACCAAGGAAGGAAGGACACCCGGAATGACTTTTGAGTCGACTCAGAGTCGACTCAGTACTCAGAACAGTATCCATCACAACGGAAGGAAGGGCACTCGAAAGAGAATAAAGGAGAGAGAGAGAGAGAGAGGCAATTCAGGGAAACATACCTGGCGGGAGGAGGGACCACACGCGAACAGTGCTGTCGCTGCTTCCGGTGGCGACACACGGAAGGAAAGAGTAAGAGGAGGGCGAGAGAGCAGCCCGAGAATCAGCACCGCTGCTGCTGCTGCTGCTGCTGCTGCTGCTGCTGCTGCTCCGTGTGCGCGCGTGCGTGCGTGTGTGAGGCTCTGAGAGGGAGGTGCCGATGATGCGGTCTGAGAGGCAGAGGATGGGCCCAGTGTGCCCTGAGAAGGTGCGCAGGGGGGAAAAGGGGGGCGCCGGCTGGGGAATAGGAGAGAGGAGAGAGGAAAGAGAGAAAGCAGGAGTTTGAGACAGGATAGAAGCATCTCTTTTTGAGTCGACTCAAAAACAGGTTTGAGACAGGATAGAAGCATCTCAGGATGGAACCATCTCACCTTGCCCTCCCCATTTTTGAGTCGACTAAAAAATTACCCAACCTCGCCCTCTCACATTGTCCTCCCCCCTACCCAACCTCGCCCTCTCACATTGTCCTTCCCCCTACCCAACCTCGCCCTCTCACATTGTCCTCCCCCCTACCCAACCTCGCCCTCTCACCTCGCCCCAGAGGCGCAGCGTGCGGTCGAGGCTGGCGGAGAGGAGGAAGGTGCGGCTGGTGTAGGGGAAAAGAGACGTGAGGCGGGCAGCGGCAGGGAAGGGCGAGAGGTCCACTGGGAGCACCGCTGTGACGCGGCCCTTGTGATGCGTCATTGCTGGAATCAACCGGAGATCATAAATGCAGTTTCTGCACCGTTTGGCAACCCACAGGTGAATGTCGGATCCCTGCATCAGCAGTGCGTGGGTGGGTCGCGAGGGGAAGAGGGAAGGGGGAGAGGTCCACTGGGAGCGCTCATCAGTGCTGTGTTGTGGCCCTTGTGAGCGCTCATCAGTGCTGTGTTGTGGCCCTTGTGAGCGCTCATCAGTGCTGTGTTGTGGCCCTTGTGAGCGCTCATCAGTGCGTGTGCGTGTGTGTGTGTGTGTGTGTGTGTGTGTGTGTGTGTGTGCTTCCAGGAAAAAAGAAAACCAGGAAAAGCAAGAGAGTGAAGGCAGAGCGAGGCAGCATACCTTCACAGCCAACACGTAATGCCACACGAATGTGGATGGAGGTGGAAGGGCGGATAAACCCTGTCCCCCCGCAAACACCAAAACCTCGTTCACAGGCTTCGGTGGTTCCCCCTCCCCTGCATGACCCCATACTTCCACGGCAGGGTCGGAGAACTGCAGCTTCTGTACTGCCACGTGGCGCTCTATGAAGGCCTGGCGGAGGCCTAGACCAAATCCCAAGAGCCACGCGGCCTGGTGCAGAAAGACATGCGGCATGGATAGGGGGAAGAAAGGGAAGGGGAAGAACTGCAGCTTCTGTACTGCCACGTGGCGCTCTATGAATGCCTGGCGGAATCCCGCGAGGGACGTGGCCTGGTGCGTAGAAAGACGCGGCATGGAGTAGGGAAGAAAGGGAAGGGGAAGGAAGGGAAGGGGAAGTGGAGACGACTTTTGAGTAGACTCGAAAATTGTTGGCGACCAGATTACTCTAACAGAAAAAAAAAAAAACGGCCGTAAAAAAAAAAAAAAAAAAAAAAAAAAAAGAGGAAAAAACGACCGAAAATTACGGACCTTATGGTACGGAAACCGTATTTTTAATCTTTCATAGAAAGGCGGTGCTATTGGGTAGGGGAAGAAAGGAAAGGGAAGAGGAGACGATTTTTGAGTCGACTCAATGCATAGAAACACGCGGATAGGGGAAGTAAAGGAAGGGAAAGACGAGAAGTACTTTGAGTCGACTAAAATAATGGTGCAGAACGACGGGGCATGGAATAGGGGAAGAAAGGGAAGGCCAAGGGGAGGGTCACCGGGAAGGGAAGCGACAGCAATAGGATGGGAGGGGGAAGGGGGAGGGGATGTGGAAGGGGTACGGAGGTAATGGGGAAGCGGAGGGGGAACGGGAAGGGGAAGGGAAAGGGAAAGGGAAAGAGAAGAAACGGAAGCGGAAGCGGTTAATCACGAGGCGCAACGTGAGAGACTATGTTGAAATCACTTTTGAGCATTCTCAAAAGTGGTTCCAGAACCGAACTTCCTCCTGGGTTCACCCAAAAGCCCCCCCCCCCAAAAAATAATAATAAATAAATGAAAAATTTTCAAGAACGGAAACTGTAGAGCGCTAGCGTGCTGACTCCGCGCAAGAGTTTAAGACGAACCTGGCGGGATCGCGCCTCCTGATGTGCCACGTGGCAAGCCCACGCCGCATCGCTATTGGCCAGCAGGCGGAGCGACGAGCAGCAAAGGGAGAGGTTCACGAGGTCCCGGGGAGAGAGCCATCGGCAGCAGTGCGCAAAGCAGTCCGCCGTGAGATCCGCTAAGGACGTTTGGGCCGCCATGGCACGAGGCAGCGTGTCTCTAGCCGTGTTTGAAGGGCGAAAAAAAGAAAAAAAAAACAATTGTTAGTTATAGAATTTACATTTAACTCACAAACATGTGTTCATGCCGGAGTGGTTAACGGGACAGACTAGAAATCTGTTGGGCTCTGCCCGCGCAGGTTCGAGTCCTGCTGAACACGATAATCTGTTTTCACTTCCATGGAGATTTTACAGTGATGATGCCACTTTGCTTAGAGCTGCCAAGGCTTTGGGTTGCCACTAGTTGCATCCATCCACGCTAAACACCAGCCCCAGTCTCAGCCTCTGTTTTCAGGACAGATATTATACAGGGTAAGTTACTGCACATGTGATGTTCCCAGCATTCCTCAGATGTCACCCAATTCAGTACATTACTGTACATGTCTTACTATCTCCCTAGTTCCCAACATACGTCAGAGGCTTAAAGACATCTTCCAACGATAATCGGATGTCCTCCTGGGTCAATTACTTACGGTACGGATGTCATCTTACAGCTGTCATTACATGTCATCCCAGTACAGTTACATGTCATCCCAGTACAGTTACATGTCATCTTCGAGCAGCGGCTTCGACGGCAGACAAGGCTGCACGCTGAACGAGACAAGGCAGACACGGCAAGGAGAAGGCAAGGCAAAGACCTCAAAGACACGGTTAATGAACCGTGAGCTGTGACAGTGACAGGCTCACCATGACCATAGCATAAACCACATTTGACATGGCCCAAGCTATTCAGTTGTGAGACGTATTGAGTTATGTATTAGCCGTGACCGGCTCACCATGCCTTGGGGATCATGATCCAAAACCCCCCATACCGAGTTGACTTTTGAGTCGACTCAAAAGTCAACTCTGTATTAGCCGTGACCGGCTCACCATGCCTTGGGAATCATGATCCAAAACCCCCCATACCTCACCCCACCATCCCCCAAGTCACCATGTCTTGGCGTGCTGCAGCAGGGAGTGAGTGCGGAAGAAGGCCCCAAAAGCCGCTGGACCAATGCAGGCTGCCTGCCTTATAGAGCCAACACACTTACACCCCGCATCACATTGTCCCGAGCTCCCCCTGATTACCCCACAATGCCTCTTCTCACCATGTCTTGGCGCGGTGCAGCACGGAGTGGGTGCGGAAGAATGCCCAGAACCCGCCTCACCATGCCGCGGGCTCCCAGTAATTTCCTCATCATGCCCCAACTCACCATGCCCCAACTCACCATGTCTTGGCGCGGTGCAGCACGGAGTGGGTGCGGAAGAAGGCCCAGAAGCCCCGCGACCAGTGCAGGCTGCCCGCCTCCGCCACCGCTGCCGACCGCATCAATGCCACCACGTCCCTCAGCACCTGCTGGTCCTCCGCCTCACTGGAGTTACAAGAGGTAGAGGGCGGGGAGGAAGGGAAGAAAATAAGTGGGGATAGAGGCATGTCACCTTCCACTGCCTGCCTCCGCCACCGCTGCTGCCGACCACATTATTGCCACCACGTCCCTCAGCACCTGCTGGTCCTCCGCCTCGGGGGGAAAGGAGGGGAGGAGAGAGAGAGTGGGAATAGAGACGCGCGTCACCTTCCACTGACTGCCTCCGCCACCGCTGCCGATCGCATCATTGCCACCACGTCCCTCAGCACCTGCTGGTCCTCCGCCTCACTGGTTGGGGAGAGGGGGAGAGAAGTAGGGGTGAGAAGGTGGAGGAAAGGTAAGAAGCACAGCTGATTGCATCATTGCCACCACGTCCCTCAGCACCTGCTGATCCTCTCGAGTCAAGCCAAAGCACCCGAGCCTACCACCGCCAGGGACTACCAGAACCCGAACCTCCAGTGGAGGTGAGCCAGCCAGCAGGCGGAATGGATTCCTCGCAGCAGCAGGCGCAGCGAGGTGGCGCGGCAGCCTCCGCACATGGCGCTCAGCCTCCGCCATGTTCATCCTCGCCTCCACGTACCCTCCCTCCCCTCCGTCTCCGCCTTGCCCCTCCACGTACCCGCCCCCTGCACTGCCCTCCCCTCCGGCCTCTCCGCCTCTCTTCTCCCCCCCTCCCGCCCTCTCTGGTCTCCCTGTACCCCCCCCCTCCCTCCCTGCCCTCCATGTACCCGCCTCCATAACCCCCTTGCCCACGCTGCTCCCTCTGCGCCTCTGCTCTCTCCTCTAAATCTGCCTCATCCTCCTCCTCATCCTCACACTCCTCATCCTCACCCTCTTCCCCGTCTTCCCCCTCCTCCTCCCCACGCCACCCATTCCTCTCCAGTTCCTCCCCGTCTTCTTCCTCCCCCTCCCCATTCACCAGCACATCCGCTCCGCTACCAGACAAACCCCGCCGCTCGAGCTCGCCGCCCGCGGCATTGGTTGCCGTCCAGCTGACGTGGTGGTCCAGCCTGGGCGGCCACTCCAGCAGCATTCTCTCCTCATCCTCCTCATCTGGATCCCATCCCACCGCTCCCACTCCCATTTCCACCCCTCCAACCGCTCCCAATCCCCCCATCCCTCCCCCTCCTCCTCCCCCTCCTTCTCCCCCTATCCCTTCCCCTATACCTCTAGACGGATCACCCTTAAACGGAGCACCATTGAATGGGTCACCTCTAGACACATCACCTCTACTCCCCTCGCCTCGACTCAACTCAGGCTGTATCCACCGTTCACGTCTCGACAGGCTGCGAGACCCAAATCGGGCCACACCGCGCCCGGGTGTGCCTCCCCCAGGTGTGCCTCCCCCTGGTGTGCCTCCCCCAGGTGTGCCCCTCCCAGGTGTACCCATGCCTGTCACATCCAACCTCCCTGATGCAGAAAAGAACACTGGCATTGGTGATGCACCTCCCCCTGTTGCTCCTCCACCTCCTGCTGCTGCTCTTTCCGCTGCCGCATCTAAGTCTACCAACCGTGTCTCTCCCCCTTCCACTGAAACCGAAGCTGCCACTCTTCTCGCCGAACCTAGCTCCGGCGTTCCAAGCCTCCTCGACACGGCCCTCGAGCCAGCTTCGGGAGTGCTGAGCCCCCGCGAGCCTGCCTCAGGTGTCCCAAGCCTCCTGGAGCCAGCCTCAGGAGTGCCGAGCCTCCGTGAACCAGCTTCGGGGGTGCCGAGCCTCCTGGAGCCAGCTTCGGAGGAGCTGAGCCTATTAGGGGGAGTGGAAGTGCCAGTAAGGCGGCTGCTATCCCCTACCAGCCTGCCACTAAACCCATAGCCCCGCGCAACACTGTCGCCCCCTGCAGCAGTAGCAGAAACCCCCAATGGGCTATTCTGATACCCACCAGCAACACCACCACCAGCTGCAACAATATTACAACCGCTGCCAACACCACCATCAGCATCAGCAGCAGCACCACCGGCACCACCACCAGCAGTGGCAGCAGCAGCACCACCTTCCAGCAGCCCTTCACTCCCACTACTCACAGGCATTCTCGCAACAGTCACCTCCCCCACCGCTGCTCCCAGCAGCGCTTGAGACAGCACCCCGTACATCTGACTCTTACTTAAGTGCTTCATCCACTGCGCGTCCCCCGGCCCCGCCAGCCGAATCCGCTCAAACCGGTCCCGCAGCCGCAGCAGCAGCCGCCGCCGCTGCCGCATTTCCGCCGTTCCCACGTGTTGAAACTCCCCAGCACCAGCACCACCAGCACCACCAGCACCAGCAGCACCAGCAGCACCGGCAGTGCCGCTTTCCAAGCCGACCTCGTCGGAGAGGGTTTTGCGGCGGGCGGCGTGGTAGGCGGGGGAGGCGGAGGAGTAGTGGAAGAGGAAGGCCGAGAGCACGTGGGGGCGGAACCAGCGCGCCACGTCGGAGGGATGCACGAGGTCGTCCACTGACAGCGCTGCCAGGCGCCTGCGAGAACGCAGGGATTTCCGAGCCTTGTCCATCTGCCACATGGAATTCAGCTCCCGGCAGTTGCAGCGCGTGATGTACCTGTGGGTGGGGCGGAAGGGGAAAGGGAGGGGGAAGGCCAGTGAAAACGGGAAGGGAAAATGGTGGGGAGGCGGACCGGAGGAGTAGTGGAAGACGTAGGCGGAGAGCACGTGGGGGTGGAACCAGCGCGCCACGTCGGAGGGGAAGGTGGGGAAAGGAAAGGGGAAGGGAGACATCGGAGGGGAAGGTGGGGAAAGGAAGGGGGAAGGGAGACGTCGGAGGGATGCACGAGGTCGTCCACTGACAGCGCTGCCAGGCGCCTGCGCAAACGGAGAGACTTTCTGGCTTTGTCGGTCTGCCACATTGAGTTGAGCTCGCGACAGTTGCAGCGTGTGATGTACCTGTTGGGGGAGGAGGAGGGACAGGGGAAGGGGGAAGGAGACGTCGGAGGGATACACCCGGTCGTCCTCTGGAGCGCTGCTAGGTGCTTGCGCGAACGGAGAGATTTCCAAGCTTTGTCCGTTTGCCACATGGTGTTGAGCTCACGACAGTTGCAGCGCGTGATGTACCTGTTGGGGGAGGAGGAGAGGAGAGGGAGAGAGAGGAAGAGGGGGATGGGGAGGGGGAGAGGGGAAGGCCAAGGAGAAGGGAGGGTGAATGGTGGGGAGGTGGAGGGTTAGTTAAAAGAGTAAGGCCTAACCGGCAGCAACTAGTCACCAGTTAACCAGATCGTAGCAGAGGACGAGGAGCGTGGGCAGAAAGACGGGGGCAAAATTTGGATATAAGTTTTGTTTTGTTCTTTCTTTCGTTTCAGGATTCCCACAAATGCCTCTCACCAATTGACGAGCTCATAGCAGAGGATGAGCAGCGTGGGCAGGAAGACGGAAGCGAACCTTGGAGCCTGGTTTTGCAGTTCTTTTGTTTCAGAATTCTCAAGAGCGCCTCTCACCAGTTGACGAGCTCGTAGCAGAGGATGAGCAGTGTGGGCAGGAAGACGAGCGCGAAGGAAGGCGCCAGTCCCTATAAGGCAGCCCAAACCAGGCCCTGCCTGCCTCCCCTCCCTCCCCTCCCCGCCTGGGAAAGACCGGCAGCAGCTACTCACCAGTTGATGAGCTCGTAGCAGAGGATGAGCAGCGTGGGCAAGAAGACGAGGGCGAAGGAGAAGGCAAAGAGGACGTTGGCACCAGTGGTGATGCCGATGTAGTTAAAGCCCGTGAGCGCCACCGTGAAGAGCAGCTCTGCCAGCGCCAGCAGCGAGTTGAGCACGTCGTGAGAGAAGGCTGCGAAGGGGGACGCGCCGTACTGCAGGCCGATGCGAATGGCTTGCAGAGGGAGAGTTACTGACACCTGATGGGGGGGAAGAGAAAGGGAGGGAGGGAGAGGGGTGGAGAGAGGGGGGGTTGGTAAGAGGAATGAGGAAGAAAAGAGAGGGATGTGCCTGCTGCAGTGAAGGCAGGCTCGCACTCCCAGAAGTTAAAGCCCGTGAGGGTCATTGTGAAGAGCAGCTGTGCTGTGCGAGCGCGAGCAGCGAGTTGAGCACGTCGTGAGAGAAGGGTGCCAAGGGGGACGCCCTGTACTCAGGCCGATGCGGATGGCTTGCAGGGATAGTGTGACTGATACCTGATGGGGGTGCGTGTGGGTGCTTTGAGTCGACTCAAAACTATGGCTTGCAGGGATAGTGTGACTGATACCTGATGGGGGTGCGTGTGGGTGTGGGATAGTGTGACTGCAGGTATGAGTTCCATGCGTACCTGCGTCTGGGGCGACTGCACGCCAAAGACAGTGATGGAGACGAGGATGATGCGACGCGCGTAGCAGGTGAGGTGCCACCAGAAGTAGTCGTACTCGTACCTGCAGCATGGGAGGGGGGCGGAGGGAGGGGGGGAGCAGGTAAACACATAATACACATCATGTGAGGTGCTACCAGAAGTAGTCGTACTCGTACCTGTGCCATGCACCATGCACGTGCCATGCCATGCAATGCAGTACACATGTTCGGTTCAGGGGAGACAGAATGAACAAGAGAGCATATCACAAGGTGCCGATCAATGTACTTGTGTAACTGCAACAAACAGAGAGAAAAGCAGTGCATGCCATGCCATGCCATGCAATGCAATAGAGCACACATGATGCTTGTGCCACTAGGGTCATGGAGGAAGCACTCGCACTCATACGGTCATACCTACGCGATAAAAGTTATCTTTTGAGATGACCATATGGAGGCATATGGAGTACGAGTCTCAAAACATGGAGGATGCACTCGCACTCATACGGTCATAATTACACCAGGCCACACGTGGGGCATACATGATACATACATACATGTTACGCACATGTGAGCGTGTGTGTGTGTGTGTGTGTGCATGCGTGTGTACATGTGTGTGTGCATGCGTGTGTGCATGCGTGTGTGCATGCGTGTGTACATGCGCGTCTGCATGTGTGTGTGCATGCGTGTGTGCATGCGTGTGTGCATGCGTGTGTGCATGCGTGTGTGCATGCGTGTGTGCATGCGTGTGTGCATGCGTGTGTGCATGCGTGTGTGCATGCGTGTGTGCATGCGTGTGTGCATGCGTGTGTGCATGCGTGTGTGCATGCGTGTGTGCATGCGTGTGTGCATGCGTGTGTGCATGCGTGTGTGCATGCGTGTGTGCATGCGTGTGTGCATGCGTGTGTGCATGCGTGTGTGCATGCGTGTGTGCATGCGTGTGTGCATGCGTGTGTGCATGCGTGTGTGCATGCGTGTGTGCATGCGTGTGTGCATGCGTGTGTGCATGCGTGTGTGCATGCGTGTGTGCATGCGTGTGTGCATGCGTGTGTGCATGCGTGTGTGCATGCGTGTGTGCATGCGTGTGTGCATGCGTGTGTGCATGCGTGTGTGCATGCGTGTGTGCATGCGTGTGTGCATGCGTGTGTGCATGCGTGTGTGCATGCGTGTGTGCATGCGTGTGTGCATGCGTGTGTGCATGTGTGTGTGCATGTGTGTGTGCATGCGTGTGTGCATGCGTGTGTGCATGCGTGTGTGCATGCGTGTGTGCATGCGTGTGTGCATGCGTGTGTGCATGCGTGTGTGCATGCGTGTGTGCATGCGTGTGTGCATGCGTGTGTGCATGTGTGTGTGCATGTGTGTGTGCATGCGTGTGTGCATGCGTGTGTGCATGCGTGTGTGCATGCGTGTGTGCATGCGTGTGTGCATGCGTGTGTGCATGCGTGTGTGCATGCGTGTGTGCATGCGTGTGTGCATGCGTGTGTGCATGCGTGTGTGCATGCGTGTGTGCATGCGTGTGTGCATGCATATGTGCATGCGTGTGTGCATGGATGTATGCATGCGTGTGTGCATGCGTGTGTGCATGCGTGTGTGCATGCGTGTGTGCATGCGTGTGTGCATGCGTGTGTGCATGCGTGTGTGCATGCGTGTGTGCATGCGTGTGTGCATGCGTGTGTGCATGCGTGTGTGCACTGAACTGAACCACTCACCGGCTGACCATCCACCCCCAGCGCATCTTGTACGTATGACTCGCCAGCAGCCCCTTGGACTTCCCCAGCCACAGCACCAGCGCGTAGCACACCGGCGCACCCGCCACATACACCACCGCAATCACCACCGACAGCGCAAACACCACCGTGTGAGTCTCCGAGAACCACCCGATGTACGGCGCCGCACCCATCACATCCGCGCCGTACCAGTGCCGGTAGAAAGCCTGGAAGCACCGGAAGGTTACAGCCGCGTAGCTCAGATCAAGCCAGTTGGTGACCCCGTGGATCAGAGTGTTTTCGTACTTGTCCAACATTTCGCGTTTGGTCGTCACGTGCACGCCCAAGTCGTCTGCTCGAGAGCCGATGCCGCTTGGAGCTCGCGAGAAACCGGTGCCATTGGTATCGGTGCGAAGAGAGGGAGCAGACGCAGCAGCAGCAGCAGCAGCAGCAGCGGAGGCGGCAGCAGAAGGGGTGAAACTGGAGGTGCTGGTGATGGGGTGGTTCTTAGGGGGGCCATAGATGCGGATGATGGTGTGGGAGTAGAGGCGGTGCGTGAGGTAGAGGCAGGCGTAAACGAGGACGCCTAAAACGGGGATGACCATCGTGACTGCCCACTGCTGCACGAATGAGTAGGTGACTGTGCAGCCTGGCCCTATGACGTCCTGTGGATGTGAGGGAGGAAAGGAGAGGAAAGGAGACGAAAGGAGTTGAAAGGAGACGAAAGTGTGAGAGAAACACATGTGGAATGATTGTGGGGATGATTGTAACTGACTGCCCTGCCCATTGCTGCACGAAGGAACAGCTGACCCGTGTAGCCTAGCCAGATCATGTCCTAAAGAGGAACGGGTAAGAGAAAGGGGGAGGAGAATAAGGGTGGGCGATGGATGAAGATTGAGAGCGATGGATTAAGATTGAGAGCGATGGATGAAGATTGAGAGCGATGGATGAAGATTGAGAGCGATGGATGAAGATTGAGAGCGATGGATGAAGATTGAGAGCGGCCGAGAAGAACGCCTTACAAAGACAGCAGCTGGGTTGGGAGCGGTGCTTACCGGTACAAAGAGCGCGATCTGGATGGAAGTACTGCACGATGGTGTTCACCCAGGAGGGCAAAGGAAGGAAGCCCCCACAAGCACAGGACTCAATATACATGGGCACCGAGGCGAGTTTTTCGCCTCGGCTCGTACGAGGCACTCGTTCGAGGGCGAGTGACGAGTTTCATTTTCCTTGAAAAAAACTCGTCCGAGCCGAGGCGAGTTTAACTCGGCGAGTTTTTAAAACTCGCCGAGCACTCGTTGCGATGACGAGCTTTTTGAAAAGCTCGTGCATGTATATGGCAACGAGCCGAGCTTCCCTCGGCTCGACCGAGCTTTCCTTGAAACTCGGACGAGCTTCTGAAAAGCTCGTGGTATTTAGCCGAGTCACGAGCTTGCATTTGCCTGGAAAAAACTCGTACGAGCAAAACTCGGCTCGGAACAAAGCTCGTACGAGTGTGCCTGGGGACGAGCCGAGTAAAACTCGGCTCGGCTCGTTGCCCATGTATAGGACTCAACAAGGACGCCTTATAATGACAACAGCTAGGTCAAGAGCGGTTCTTACCGGTACGAAAAGGGCAATTTGGAAGTACCGCACGATGGTAATCACCCAGGAGGGCAGCGGCAGGTTGTATGACCAGGAGCTGGAAGGTGAGTGACGGGCTGAGCGAGGTTGAGAGCGGTGCTTACCGGTACGAAGAGTGCGACTTGAAAGTACTGCACGATGGTGTTCACCCAGTAGGGCAGCGGCAGGTTGTACGACCCGATAAACGTCAGCATCTGCAGCTCTATAGCGAGTATAGCAATGGTGTGAAACGAGTCCGAGAGCACACCCATGGCCACCCAGGCGAGCACGATGAGCACGAGCAGCAGCGGGAAGAGGCGCTGGAAGGTGGGCGAGCACTGGTAGCAGAACTTGAGCACTGAGTAGTAGCCGGGCGCACAGCTGGAGCACAGCCGATTCTCCTTGTACCCTGCCTTGCACTGCGGCTGATTCACAGTTGAATTTGCTGCCGCCTGCTGCTGCTGCTGCTGCTGCTGCTGCTGTTGGGTGGTATTTGCAGAGGAAGCGGGGGAGGAGGGGGGGTAGGCCAAGCCTGCGCATCCATCCTTCACGTCGCAGGCATACACAGCAGGGATGCCAGTGGTGATACTGTTGAAGTCAAACCAGAACCCCTCCTCTACTGTCATGCTCCCTTGCTCGCATGTCACTGCCGGCGTGTCTTGTAACACGTCCCGTGTCGTCGGGCAGGGTAAACAATCCGTGAGCAACGCCGTGCCCGGGAAAAAACTAAAGCTGCCCGTCGGGCAGAACTCCGCGCCCCGCCCGGACCCGCACCAGCTCCCGATTGGGCAGACCTCGCAGGTCATCCAAGGGCGGGTGTAAAACTGCCCGGGCGGGCAGAAGACGATCTCGACCGTCCGTGCGATGGGCGGAAACGCATCCAACGACGAGGAGACCGACAGCGTAAGCGAGAGATTCCCGGATTCGGGCGGCTCAACGATGGATATAGGAGGGATGGTGGCGCGGCCGTTGACTGCAATGGCTTGAAGGAGCCCGCTGATGGATGGCGTGGGGAGGATGGAGGCCTTGGCTCGGAAGTCGTTGACTGGGATGAGGCCTGCTGCGTCGAGCACTGTGACGTGCAGCCCTGTGACTGGGTTGGCCCTGTCCCCCTTCACCTGGAATACTGTGCCCGTCGAGGTGGTGCTTCCACCTGCTGCGTCGCTCTGACCTGCCCACCTGGTGGGGGGGAAAGGGGGGAGGGAAGGGGAACGGGGGGAAAGGGGGGAGGGAAGGGGAACGGGGGGAAAGGGGGGTGGACAAGGCATAAGGAAGGGGGTGGGACGGAGAGCAGGAGTGGGGAGGACGGAGGCCTTGGCTCGGAAGTTGTTGACTGGGTTGGCCCTGTCGCCCTTCACCTGGAATGGCGTGCCAGTGGTGGTGGCGCCTGCTGCTGAGTCGCTCTGCCCTGCCCATCTGGGGGGAAGAGGATGGGGGAAAGGGAACAGGGGGAAAGGAGGAGTCATTCTGACCAGAGCAGCTAGGAGGTGGGGATGGGGAGGACATGAGGGTGAGCGAGGGTGAGTGAGTGAGTGAGTGAGTGAGTGGATGAGTGAGTGAGTAAGGGTGAGTGCGTGAGTGAGGGTGAGCGAGTGAGTGAGGGTGAGTGAGAGAGTGAGTGAGGGTGAGTGAGCGAGTGAGTGAGGGTGAGTGAGTGAGTGAGGGTGAGTGAGTGAGCGAGTGAGCGAGGGTGAGTGAGTGAGTGAGTAAGTGAGTGAGTGAGTGAGTGAGTGAGTGAGCGAGTGAGTGAGTGAGTGAGTGAGTGTAAGGATGAACGAGACTCACAGGAGCCGGAAGCAGAAAAGGAGAGTGCCGATGGTGTCCTGCTTATCGATGCTCTCACACGCCACGCACGCCGACCGCATGGCAGGGAGGAACTTTCCTAAATCGTAAATTGCTATTGGGACGCATCAAAACAGATTGAGACTCACAGGAGGCGGAAGGAGGAAGGGAGAGTGCCGATGGTGTCCTGCTTGTCCATGCTCTCACACGCCACGCACGTCGACCGCATCGAAGGGAGGAACGTCGCGTCAAGAAACGCCGACCCAAGCCCACCAGCTGCCATCGCTATCCCCCCTCCCCCTGCCCCCCCTGCTTCACCTGCATCACCCCCACCGCCACTGCGAGCACCAGTGCCACCAGTGTCAAGAGCGGGCAGGCTGCTGTTACCAGTGACTCGGTTGCGATAGAACGACAGCCCAGTCACGTTCAGAGGCAGTAACCCCCCACTCAGACCCAGATTCCCACCACCGCTGCCGCTGCCACTTCCGCCGCTGCTGCCGCTGCCGCTGCTGTTGGTGTTGGTGTTGCTGTTACTGTTGGTGCTAGCGCTGGCACCACCAGCAGTGGCATTGGCAGCAGCACCAAGGTTGCTCCCTGCCTGTAGCAACCCGGCAATATCAGAAACCATCACCACCGCCCCCACCGCTGCCTTGCTGAACCCCATTCCCCCCGGCCTCCCACTTACCCCACTCCCCCCCGTCCCCCCTGCACCCCCGCTTTCCTCCCCGCCACCCGCTCCTCCCGAACCTCCCCCCATGCCTCCCCGATCCAGGTACACAGCCGATCCGTCCGAGCCTGCCTCGTTGCTTCGGAAAACGCAGTCCCGCAGGTCCCCGTGCGCGTAGTCGAGCACTAGGATCGCGCCACCTGTCCCCGTCGCCGCCTGGTTGGACTCGAAGATCGAATCGGAGATCTGCAGGGACGTGTTGCCGGCCACAAAGATTGCCCCGCCTGCTTCCTGTGCCTGGTTGTTTGAAAACAGGGGTCCTTGCAGGGAGGGTGCTGGGTTATTAGCTGATGCTGTAGCAGAAGCAGCTGCGACTGTAGCACTCTCATCATAACCAGCAGCAGCAGTAGAAGCAGCAGCAGAGCCACCAGCACCAGCAGCAACAGCAGCAGCATCCACCTGCGCGCTGACACTCAAAGAACTCTCCGAATCACAAAAGATCGCACCACCTCTATGCCCCCTGTTGCCCTCGAACCCCACTCCACCGCCCACCACCACTACCGTCGAATCAGTGGCGAAAATCGCCCCTCCATCCCCCACGTCCATCGTGCTCCCCCCCACATTCCCCCGGAAGAGAACGGGTCCATAGAACAACCCCACTGCCTGCCCCTGCAGCACCACCGCATGCTGCGAGTTCCCTTCAAACACTGCGGGCTTTTTGCTGCCTGCTTCGCCTCCTCCTGACCCACCTATTGTTCCGCCTGCGACCAGCAGATGGACTCCCCCTTCGGCGAGAATGGCCCCGCCGCGCACCGCAGTATTGGCGCGCAGGGAGGAGGCGAGCAGCGTGAGGCGCGCGCTCTGAATGCAGTACAGCGCTCCGCCTTGGATGGTGGCGGTGTTGCGTGCGATGACTGATGAGGCGATGTGCACCTGGTTGAGAGGCATGGGCATGGGCATGGGCATGGGAATGGGCATGGGCATGGTGAGCAGGCGAGTTGTTGAAGAAAAGGGATTGGCGAGTTGATGAAAAGCCAGGCCTGCCTGCCCCGTGGCTTGGATGGCGCCGCCCTTGTTGCCGCCCTTGGGCGGCGCAGCAAGTGCCAAGGAGACAAACACGCAAGGGACGGAGGAAAGGAGAGCGGGGGGGGAAGGGAAGGAGAGCCGCGAGTCCATCTCGGACCAAAGCATGCCGCCATCCATGGCAGAGCATGCCGCCATCCATGGCAGAGCATGCCTCCATCCATGGCAGAGCATGCCGCCATCCATGGCAGAGCATGCCTCCATCCAAGGCAGAACATGCCGCCATCCATGGCAGAGCATGCCTCCATCCATGGCAGAGCATGCCGCCATCCATGGCAGAGCATGCCGCCATCCATGGCAGAACATGCCGCCATCCATGGCAGAACATGCCGCCATCCATGGCAGAACATGCCGCCATCCATGGCAGAACATGCCTCCCTCCATGGCAGAACATGCCGCCATCCATGGCAGAGCATGCCGCCATCCATGGCAGAACATGCCGCCATCCATGGCAGAGCATGCCGCCATCCATGGCAGAGCATGCCGCCGTCCATGGCAGAACACGCTGCCATCCATGGCAGAGCATGCCGCCATCCATGGCAGAGCATGCCGCCATCCATGGCAGAACATACCGCCATCCATGGCAGAACATGCCGCCATCCATGGCAGAGCATGCCGCCATCCATGGCAGAACATGCCGCCATCCATGGCAGAACATGCCGCCATCCATGGCAGAGCATGCCGCCATCCATGGCAGAGCATGCCGCCATCCATGGCAGAGCATGCCGCCATCCATGGCAGAGCATGCCGCCATCCATGGCAGAGCATGCCGCCATCCATGGCAGAGCATGCCGCCATCCATGGCAGAGCATGCTGCCATCCATGGCAGAACATGCCGCCATCCATGGCAGAACATGCCGCCATCCATGGCAGAACATGCCGCCATCCATGGCAGAACATGCCGCCATCCATGGCAGAACATGCCGCCATCCATGGCAGAACATGCCGCCATCCATGGCAGAACATGCCGCCATCCATGGCAGAACATGCTGCCATCCATGGCAGAACATGCCGCCATCCATGGCAGAGCATGCCGCCATCCATGGCAGAACATGCCGCCATCCATGGCAGAGCATGCCGCCATCCATGGCAGAGCATGCCGCCATCCATGGCAGAACATGCCGCCATCCATGGCAGAACATGCCGCCATCCATGGCAGAACATGCCTCCCTCCATGGCAGAACATGCCGCCATCCATGGCAGAGCATGCCGCCATCCATGGCAGAGCATGCCGCCATCCATGGCAGAGCATGCCGCCATCCATGGCAGAACAAGCCGCCATCCATGGCAGAGCATGCCGCCATCCATGGCAGAACATGCCGCCATCCATGGCAGAACATGCCTCCCTCCATGGCAGAACATGCCGCCATCCATGGCAGAGCATGCCGCCATCCATGGCAGAACATGCCGCCATCCATGGCAGAGCATGCCGCCATCCATGGCAGAGCATGCCGCCATCCATGGAAGAACATGCCGCCATCCATGGCAGAACATGCCGCCATCCATGGCAGAACATGCCTCCCTCCATGGCAAAACATGCCGCCATCCATGGCAGAGCATGCCGCCATCCATGGCAGAACATGCCGCCATCCATGGCAGAGCATGCCGCCATCCATGGCAGAGCATGCCGCCATCCATGGCAGAGCATGCCGCCATCCATGGCAAAACATGCCGCCATCCATGGCAGAGCATGCCGCCATCCATGGCAGAACATGCCGCCATCCATGGCAGAACATGCCGCCATCCATGGCAGAACATGCCTCCATCCATGGCAGAACATGCCTCCCTCCATGGCAGAGCATGCCGCCATCCATGGCAGAGCATGCCGCCATCCATGGCAGAACATGCCGCCATCCATGGCAGAGCATGCCGCCATCCATGGCAGAGCATGCCGCCATCCATGGCAGAACATGCCGCCATCCATGGCAGAGCATGCCGCCATCCATGGCAGAGCATGCCGCCATCCATGGCAGAACATGCCGCCATCCATGGCAGAACATGCCGCCATCCATTGCAGAACATGCCGCCATCCATGGCAGAACATGCCGCCATCCATGGCAGAACATGCCGCCATCCATGGCAGAACATGCCGCCATCCATGGCAGAACATGCCGCCATCCATGGCAGAACATGCCTCCCTCCATGGCAGATTATGCCGCCATCCATGGCAGAGCATGCCGCCATCCATGGCAGAACATGCCGCCATCCATGGCAGAACATGCCGCCATCCATGGCAGAACATGCCGCCATCCATGGCAGAACATGCCTCCCTCCATGGCAGACTATGCCGCCATCCATGGCAGAGCATGCCGCCATCCATGGCAGAACATGCCGCCATCCATGGCAGAGCATGCCGCCATCCATGGCAGAACATGCCGCCATCCTTGTTGAAGAAGGGCGACTCCCTTCCCTGATGACCATCCGGCGGGTCCGCCCCATGGCTTGGGCGCTTGATGCCGTTCACAACAGGTGCCAAGAGGTCAAACGAACAAAGGAAGGAGGGAAGGGGAAGGGAGCGCCGCATTGCACATACCTGCGAGTCCATCTCGGCCCAGAGCATGCCACCATCCATGGCTGAGTTGTTGAAGAAATGGGAGTCCGTGATGGCCAGGCGGGTCTGCCCCCCGTGGCCTGGATGGCGCCTGTGCAATAGGTGCTAAGGGGTCCAGCGAACAAAGGAAGTAGGGACGGAAAGAGAGCCGCACATACCTGAGTATCCATCTCGGCCCAGAGCATGCCGCCATCCATGGCCGAGTTGTTGAAGAAATGGGAATCCGAGATGGTCAAGCGGGTCTGCCCCGTGGACTGGATGGCGCCGCCCTTGTTGCCGCCCTGGTTGGACGTGACGTTGCTGGATGTGATTGTAACGGAGGCCAGCTCGCTCATGGAGATGCACCCTCCCCCGGAGGGGGCGCTGGAGAGGAGGGGAGGAGACGGAGAGCAAGAGAGGCAGAACAAAAGCGGAAAGCACTTATGTTGATTCAGGATTGATTGTAACGGACGCCAGCTCGCTCATGGAGATGCACCCTCCCCCGGAGGGGGCGCTGGAAAGTGGGAAAGCATGGGAAGGAAGGTGGTAGAAAAGGGCAGCAGAACAAGAGGGACTTCTTATTATAAGTTTTTTTTTTTTCCCCATTTTTATAGAAATCTAAATAAATGACAATGGGCTATTTCCGAGGAAAAAAAAAAAAAAAGGACCAACCACCAAGTCCCCAATCTCTCACCTGTTCCCAGTGCACACAGACCGGACCATCTTGAGCTGCGCAAACTCCTCCAGCATCACACCACTGTACCCTCACACCCTCACCACTCAACCTCCAGCCTCACAGATGCGCCACCGACCCACCCCACCAGCCCCTCCTCCTCACCTGTTCCCAGTGCACTCGGATCGAACCATCCGCAGCAGTGCAAACTTCCTCCAGCATCACACCGCCGCTGTTGCTCGCCTGCCCTCTAACCAACCATGCAGCACCCGCCTCACCCAATCCACCTCCCTACGAACAGCCCCCAGTCTCGCTCACGCACAAACCAACCCAGCCCCAACCTCACCCAACTCAAAACGCAGTCAAGCCCCACCCCAGACCTCCCCTCACCTGTTGCCAGTGCACACGGATCGAACCATCCGCAGCTCTGCAAACTCCTCCAGCATCACTCCGCCGCCGTTGCTCGCCTGCCCGCCCCCCAGGCGGCACCCCATGAGGGCAGCGCGTGCCGCCATGCCCAGATGCACCGCTGCTCCCCCCAGCGTGGCACTGTTGCCCTCAAAGGTCACGTTGGAGAAGTGGGCCATGGGGAGGGGAGAAGTGGTGGTGTTGTTGCTGTCGGTGGGAGGAGAAGTTGGGTGTGAAACTGCCAGTGGGAGGGAGGGGAGGGCAGGCAAGAAGACAGTGAGAGCAAGAACGAGGAAGGGAGATGAGATGAGATGAGAGGCCACTCCTCCTCGCCCGCCCCCCAGGCGGCACCCCATGAGTGCAGCGCGTGCCGCCATGCCCAGATGCAGCGCTGCTCCCCCCAGCGTGGCGCTGTTGCCCTCAAAGGTCACGTTGGAGAAGTGCGCCATGGGGAGAGAGGGAGAAGTGGTGGTGGTGGTGCTGCCGGTGGTGGTGGTGGTGGTGTTGCCGTCGGTGGGAGGAGAAGTGGGGTGGGAAACTGCCAGTGGAGGGAGCGGGAGGGGAGGGAGGAAGGCAGGGCAGACAAGGAGCGAGTGAGAGCAAGAACGAGGAAGGGAGATGAGAAGAACAGAGGCATTTCCCTCCCCCGCTCAAGGCAGCAGCCCATCAGTGCAGTGCGTGCCGCCATACCCAGGTGTGGTGCTGCTCCACCATCAGGCCTCAGAGCTCAGTATTGCCCTAAAAACAAAACTGTAGTGGAAGATGGTGCAGGCTACGGCGACCATAGTATCAGCATTCCAACCTTCCAGCCAACCCACCGGCAACAGCACCACCCTTCACGAGGGCATGGTTGTTGTGGAAGGTGGTATGGGCGAGGGTGAGGCGGGCAGAGGCAGCAGAAATGGCTCCTCCCTTGGATGCCGGTGCTGTGTTTCCCTCAAAGCGACTCCCCTCCACTTCCACTGCTCCCTCCGTGCCCTGTTGCTCACATGAGGCGAGAGGGGCGAGGGTAGAGGAGACAGGAGAGAGGAGACAGGAAAATGGGGAGAGGGCAGAGGGGAACATGGTTGTTGTGGAAGGTGTTGCTCTCAAAGCGACTCCCCTCCACTTCCACTGCTCCCTCCGTGCCCTGTTGCTCACATGAGGGAGGCGAGCGGAGGGAGAGGGGAGAGGGGAGAGGGGAGAGGGGAGAGGGGAGAGGGGAGAGGGGAGAGGGGAGAGGAGAGAGGAGAGCATGGTTGTGGCGGAAGGTGGTGTGGGCGAGGGTGAGGCGGGCAGAGGCAGCAGAGAGAATCATGAGAAATGTGAAAAGGGCAGGTCGTGGCATAGTACGGTACAGATGACTCTTTTGAAAAGGGCCCGTCAATGACTCTTTTGACTCTTATGCTTGACTCACTCGACTCATCCTGACTCACATCGAGCACAAAGATGGCGCCCCCCTCCCCAGAGATGGCAGTGTTGTTGCGAAACACACACCCGCGCACCACCGTGGCCATTAGCCCCGCTATGACAATCGCCCCGCCGTCCTGCAAGACTGTGTTGTGCGCGAAGAGAGAATCCTCTATGGTGGTGCTCATCATGGCGTAGTCTGGAGGGGTTGGAAAGGGGACGGGGGGGGAGTGGAGAACGGCGAGAGGGGTTTAGAGCGGTGCATGGGGGCATAGGGGAGAAGGGTGCAGCACAAGGGGCAGAGAGGTTTAGAGCGGTGGAAGAGACAACCGTCCATGGTGGTGTGGTGCTCATGGTGGCATAGTTTGGAGAGGAGGTGGTGGGGGAGAGAGAGGGGAGATGTGGATGGGAGTAGAAGTGGGGGGGGGGGAGATGGATTGGGAAAGAAGAGAGGCTGGGGAGATGGTAGAGATGTTTCACCAGGGTGCATGGGGTAAGGCAGAGGGGTCTAGAGCGGTGCATGGAGCAGTGATGGATGGAGAGAGAGGAGACGCAAGGTACTGCGAGGGGGAGGGATTTGAAGTGTTGACAATGAGTGTCGTAACAAGCAGAGAAGCTGCAAGGGCAGCAGTGTAGTGAATAACTTCGGTGAGAGGGCGAGCGATGGAGTGTCCTGTGGGGAGGGGAGAGAGAGTTCGGCAGATGGGAGAAAGGGAGAGAGACGGTTGAAGTGTAGGCAATGAATGATGTAACACGCAGAGAAGCCGCAAGGGCAGTGGCGCAGTGAGGAGCTTCGTGTTACATCATTCATTGTCAACACTTCAATTGTCTCCCCTCCCTTTCTCCCATCTGCCGAACTCTCTCTCCCCTCCCCCACAGGACACTCCATCACTCGCCCTCTCACCGAAGTTATTTACTACGCTGCTGCCCTTGCAACTTCTCTGCTTGTTACGGCATTCGTTGTCAACACTTCAAATCACTCTCCTCCCTTTGTTCCCACACTTATAACCTTCACCCTCACCCCCCTCACCCTCACACCCCACACGCTCACACCCACCACAATAACACGCCCCTCCTTCATACCCCAACACTCCCACCTCCACACATTCACGCCCCCCCATATACTCACACGCGCCTCCGTATCTAAATTGCGCCTCGTTCCTCTCATGCCGGCACCTCCGTACAGTCACATGCCCCTCAAAGTACCCCACCGCTCCGAAATCCGCCACATTCCTCTCAAACGCACAGTCCTCCATCAGCAGCGGAATCACCACATCCCGCCTCGTCCATGCCTGGTTTATCACCCCCCCTTGACCCAGCAACCCGTACAAATGCCCGTACGCAATGTTCTCCCGGAAAGTCGAGTTGAAAATCCCCATTTCCGTATCCATGATAGAGATAGCCGCGCCGAAGCCAACCATACTGCTGTTCACCCAATTCTTCTCCATCAGAGTCCCCCGCACGGTGATGTTTCCGCCGCGGGCCGACACGCCCCCCCCCTCTCCGCTGGCCGTATCGTGCGCGGAGCACAAGCGGAAAGTGGAGGAGCTTATAGTGAGGTTTCCGGGGTCTAGAGCGTCGAGACCGCCGCCGTCCATAACGGCGAAGCAGCGGGAGAAAGAGCAGTTGTGGATGGTGAAAGCGGCGGTTGCGTTCAGAGCAACCCCCCCGCCGTTCACCTTGCTGTAAATATCCCCTTCTTTGGTCACATCCGCGTTGCATCGGAGGAAGGAGGAGGAGGAGATGGAGACGAGCGGGGAGGAATCGTCCGAGAAGCATCCTCCCCGCATGGCCCGCGAGTCGCGGAACTCGCAGCTCGTTACAGTCACGTTGGAGGAAAAAGACGAGACCGCGCCACCCAGGTTCTGCGCGAAACAGCCCGAGAAGCGGACAGCTGTCAGCGCGGCGTTGGAGGAGACGATGGCAAGGCCGCCGCCATTGGTGGAGGAGGAGGTGCAGTCGAGAACGGACGAATCAGAGACCGCCACGTGGGCGACATTGTACAGGGCAACGGCTCCTCCTCCTTTGCTAACAGTTTCTGCTGCACCAGCACCAGCACCACCACCACCGGCACCACCGGCACCAGCAGCAGCAGCAGCAGCAGCAGCGGCAGTGGGGCCGCCAAGTGCTTTACAGCCTTCAAAGCGAGAGCCAGTGATAGTCACATTAGGAGAAGCAGCAGCGAAGATTGCCCCACCACCGTCAGCAGCAGTGCAGTTGAGAAAGGAGGAGTTTGTCACCTCCACTGCCTGTCCCTGTACTAGCAGACAACCCCCACTGCCCACAGCACCAGCAGCACTGCTGCTGCCAGTGCCAGCACTGGTGGTGGTGGTATCGGTGGTGTTATCCGCCCAGCCATTGGCCACTACCAATCCCCGCAGCACCAGATTCGCCTGCTCCTCACTGCACATGCTCCCTCCCCCTGCTGCCCCCCCTGCTGCCCCCCCTGCTGCCCCCCCTGCTGCTCCCCCTGCTCCCCCTGCTCCCCCGGCTCCTGCTCCACAGATGGCAGTTAAACATGACACGCTGCTGCTGCTGCTGCTTTTGCCGCTCTGACACTGGATCACTGGCGGGGGAGGCAAAGGGTCAGCATTGCCACCAGCAGGAGCGGCAGCAGTAGCAGCAGCAGCAGTGATGGTGAGGGGACGACCCCCCAGGTGCAGCCCTTGAGGAGGGACGGAGTGAGTGCCTGGGGAGAGGAGGATGGTCCCCCCTGTTGGATGGATACTGGTGGGGTGAGGATGGGAAGGGGATGGGGAAGGGAAGGGGATGGCGAAGGGTATGGGGAAGGGGATGGGGAAGGGGATGGGGGAAGGGTATGGGGGAAGGGTATGGGGGAAGGGTATGGGGGAGGGGATGAGGGGGAAGTGAAGCAGTAGTTATGGTGAGGGAGGGGACCACCCCCCAGTTGCAGGCCGAGGGGAGGGATGGATAGGGTGAGTGTTTGGGGACAGCAGGATGGCGCCGCCTGTGGGAGGGATGCTGGTGGGGTGGAGGGGGGGGGAGAGAAGGAGAGCGGATGGGTGAACGGTTGACGTGACAGGGACGGGGAATTTGGAGTGAGTGTGGGGAAAAGCGAGCGTGGCGTAGTGAGTATGGGGCAGTGCAGGCGCTCGAAGGGGCGTGGGTGGAGAGGACACTAAAGGAAGGGAGGGCGAAGGGAGGGAGGGGAAGAGGGAGGGAAGGAGGAGTTAGGGAAGGAGGAGTTAGGGAAGGAGGAGTTAGGGAAGGAGGAGTTAGGGAAGGAGGAGTTAGGGAAGCAAGGAAGCAAGGGAGAAAGGAGGGAGCTTCTTCCAAGACTTGGAGATAGGGAGAGGGGGGCTTACACTGTAAGAGCTTGTTCGATTGTGGCTGAAAGGCGTTGGGTGGACGTGGACGCAAGGCAGGGAACACAAGGCATGTGACACGGGAAGGGCACGGAAGGAAGTTGGGTCGGGGTGAGAACGGAGCGAGAGTGAGCAAGTTTCAGTTTCGAAAAGCGTCAAAAGTGAATTCGAGAAAGCGAGAAAGACGTGGCTAAACGGACAAACGGAGGGCCATGAAACGTGACGTCAGCATGGAATTCCATTTGCCTGCTCCCTTCGGTTTACTTGTGGCACACCGTGCAAGACGTCTCCCTGTCTCCCTGTATCTTGAGACGTCTCAAAACACCGTGCAAGACGTCTCCCTCTCCCTGTCTGTCTCCCTGTATCCGTGCTTCCTTTGTGTTGCCTCCAATCCAAGTTGCCTGTCCGTCATGACTCATCACATTTCACTCCAAACTCTCCAGTAGGCTGTAGCTCACCACAGGAATTGCCGGGTTTACTTTTGAGTCGACTCAAAAGTCAATCCAAGTTGTCTGTCCGTCATCACATTTCACTCAAGCTCTACACTCCAAACTCTCCTCTCCAAACTCTCCAGTAGGCTGTAGCTCACCACAGGGATTGCCGGGGTCCCCACAGCATTGAGCGGGCTGGCTGCTTACTGCCGCGTCCACATGCACCTCTGGCAGCAGCGGGCACGCGGCTGGTGGGAAGGCGTGGGAAGGGGTGTGAAGCGGTGGAGGAGAGGGACGGAAAGAGGGACGGGGGAGTGGGGAGGGGAGGGCGGGTGCAGGGGAATGAAAAGAAAGGGAGGGAGGGGAGGGGAAAGGGATGGGAAGGGCGGGAACGAGGGGTGGGGAGAGAGGCAAAGGGAGGGAAAGGGAGGGAGGGGAGTGGGGAGGGAGGCAAAGCGAGGGAATGGGACAGGCTGAGGCTGAGGCTGAGGGTGAAGGTGGATTAAAATAACAAGGTGAGAAGGGGATGACAAGAAGGGGATAACAAGAAAGGGAATATCTGTAGACAGACTAGCAGTCGACCCTGAAACCGGAATCTTTCCATAATGGTCTTGAATCTTGAACATGGAGTGGCATGGTATGGGACCATTCCTTGTATTGGTCTTTAACCGAAGCTCTTGGCGCCGCGTACCTTCCACTAGACCGGCTCCCAGTGCGAGCAGCAGCAGCAACGGAAACATCGGGAGGCGCTCCGTGAAAAGCGGCCGCTGCTTTCGCTGTGAGCCGCAGCGAGAGACGATGCTTCCGGGTCGGCTCTTTCGGCGACAGCAACGGAAACTCCAAAGCTGTTGCCGTGAATCGCGGGGAGAGCAACGGGACGGTGAAGTATGGCTGGAAGCCACGACGACGACAGTTGCGGGTAACAATGTCGCCATGGCTCCGCAATATTCGCTGTCTAACGCCTGACCTGACCTTGAAAGTATCACGAACCCTACAAGATCATCGAATGGCGAGGCTAGCACGTGCTGATCTGTATGCCACGTGGCGAGCTCTCAGAACGATACAGATAAGGCTACCTGAGCAGGATATATATAGGGAATGTCTGCGCCATTACAACCAGCGCCGCTACCACACGATAATTTCATGAAAAATGTCGTCGGGTCAACCCGCCATTACTACTCAACCTCTCGTCATCATTCACGCTTCTTGAGGGTACTCAAAACTCGTCTCACGCTACATGGAAGCTCATCCAGGCGTCACCGTCAGGGGGGAGATAACTTATTGCTGCGCGCCGAGGAAGAATGTAAAGATTTCGTGGGCACGAACCGCTGGAGCTAGTTGGAAAGTCGAGTTCAGTACCGTGTGCAAAAAAATCGCTGTCTTTCGTTCCGCACCTCACAAACAATCACACATCCTCCGCGAGCTAGCTAACAGAAATGTTGATGCACAACTGTATGGAATGGTTTCTGTTCCAGCCATGTGTCTCTCGGTGATGTTTTCTACTAGAAGCTAAAAAAGCAGCAGAGTTGTTCTGTTGAGGTGAGTGCCTTCAGCAGGATGAGGCGGCACGGTTCGGCCATCTCAACACAAGGTGCGGGAAGGGGAAGGATCTCAACACGAGGTGCGGGAAGGGGAAGGATTGTAATGGAGATATTCACCCAAGAATATTAAAAAATATACTGTGTTTGTGCGTAGATCGCCACTAGCTCGACGTCGAGGGATGTCGGTGAATGTCAACCCTCGGATCGACGGTTCCAACCGTCAGGATTCACCGACATCCCTGACGTCGAGCTGGTGCAGCACTCTTTGAACACCCTTTAAAGTTTCTCAGGTTATGGTACGAGTTGAGTAAAAAATGAATTATTGTGAGTAGGTTGCTGGACCGGCTTTTGCTTTCGTTTGGCTAGTTTGTCAACGACAAAACACCACGCTGGTGAAACTGCCCGAATTGGTTCCACTTTCCTCCACAGCCCCTCCCTCACACTTTCGCTGCGTCGTCCAGCCTCCCAAACCTGCCATCACGGTGCACTTTCCGTTACTCTACCCACCCAATTGCCTAAACAACCAGCAACACCGAAAACTAGAGTGTCCTGCTGCACAATAACGAAACATGTTTTCAAACAGGTGACCCGTTACAAAGTCATCACAACGTTGTCGTGAAGCTACCCGTACAACGCTGTTCCCAACGAACTCTGGCACAGGCGCATCCAACGGCAACTTGAGCTCCGCCAAATCTGTTGTTGCTGCCTAAAGTTTGAAACTCCCAAGACGCGTTTGTGTCACAAGTTCATACTTGTTTCTGGCCATACACAGCCATCACAAGCAGTACGCATTTCTATGAATTAACACATCTTGGAACTCGTTATGGTTATTAAATTTAAAACACAAAGCATTAATCAAAGTTAGTCAAAGCAAACATGCAAAATGGGAACAAGAATGAAAAACTACATGGGTTCTCAGGTCATGAGCGAATGGCCGTTGGTCAGTCAAAGAGCCTCTCGCCTTTGGACAAAACATGGTCCATGGGTAAGTTGTTAGAAGGGCGCCTCTTCCAGGTCACAACTATTGCTTGTGGGCCCTGCACGACCTGGAAACGGAAATCAAGCAAGAGCAGTAGATAGGAAATTGAAGCTCCATTGCGTTATGTGTGGTGGAAAGATAGCCTTAGGTCGTTCACTAGAAAAAACAAAACTAGTAGATGGTCACTTACAGGGAATATCGCATTGATCCGTTGCTATGCACAGACCTGATCTTGCTACTTTTCTCACCTGACAGTGCTGGCCGCCTTGCTTTGTTGCTGCTGCTGCTGTGGCTGTGGTGATTGCGGCTTTTGCTTGCACAGCTGCCTCAAGCTTCCACCAGGGCTCGATGAAGGATGAACACTGAACTGCCACATTGGTCGCTTCTGCAGCTGCTGCTGGTGCTGATGCTGCTGCTGTTGCTTCCTGTGGTGTGGCTGCTTCTGCTCCTGATGTCCCTCCTGCTTGTGCTTCTGCAGCTGTGTCTGCTCTTTCTCTGTTTGCTCTTTCTCCGAGGCCTGCCGCTCACCCTTGGATTTCTTTCCAAAATCGTGACTTCTCGTGACCTTATCTGTTGCTGCCTCCTCATCCCTGGTGCACCTTTCTTCCCAGTCCACCTTATCATTTGATTCCACTTTCTTGTCTTCTTTCTCTTCCACCTGCCCGTCCTCCTGCAACTGTTTCCTCATCTGCCCGTCCTCCTGCAACTGTTTCCTCATCTGCCCGTCCTCCTGCAACTGTTTCCTCATCTGCCCGTCCTCCTCCTCCTCCTCTTTGCCCGTTTCCTCTGACTCCTCCGCACGCCTACATCCCTGTTCACTTAACCTGGAAGGTTTCTGCCCATTCAAACGCTGCCCCTCCTGAAACGATGCCACGTCATCGTACGATTTCCGCAAGACCGTTTCAACTCTCCCCCGGCGCTGATTCGTCCACTTTTGCTGCCACGCCGCCTGCTGCTGCTCCTGCTGGTGCTGCTCCGCTACTGGATCCAAAAGCGGGATGATCTTCGCCGTCCATTCCTTCGTATCTAACGGCCCATCCTCGTCCGCGCGTTTCACAACATCCAACCCACCAGATGCGACAATGTACGAAGCAGACAGACGATGCGAGCTCAACGCAAACAGCGCCCACGCCGCCCGCCGCGAAACGCGCTCCTGCAGGCTGATATCTGCCGGCCCGCACAGGAGGAGATCTAGCAGCGGCGGCACGGCTCCCGTCCCAGCAATCATTACTTTGTTTTCGTCGTTATCTTCCGCGATCGAGCCCAGCGCAAATGCCGCCTTTTCCTGTACCAGCAGCGAGCCTTCTCTTAACGCTTCTGTCAATATCGGGATCGCGCCGGCTCGTGCCGCGGCGTCTTGATTCTCCTTCGCCTTCGCGACGACGTGTGCGAGGGCCTCCATCGCCTGACGCCGGACTTTCGCCTCGCCCGCTGATTGGACGATGGCGACGAGCGACGGGATCGCCTCGCCTGCGACGATCGCGGGCGATTTGCTGTCGCGATCGCTGTCGCAGCCCGTCGCAAGGTTCAGCAGCAGGTTCACCGCGACCGCCTGCGCCTCGGGGTTGCCGCCGCGAAGCATGGCGATTAGCGACGGCACGCAGCCCGCCTTCGCGATGACCTGGCAATTGGCGGGAAGCGCGGAGAGCTGCACCAAAGCGCGTGCCACGAGAAGATTCAGCGATTCGCGCGGAGGGGGCTCTGGAAGCGGCGGGAGCGGAAGTAACGCCGCCACCGCGCCCCTTCCGCAACTTATCCCCCTGGTTTTCCCCGTTCCCCACCCCCGCCACTCCCGCTTGTATTCCCAGTTCCCCGGCTACCCGCACTCCCCCCTCCGCTCCCACCTCCGCTTCCCCCGGCGGAAAGCACCCCCCCTCCTTGGAGCCAATCATCGTCGTCCACGCAACTGGGTAACACCGACTCGTCGTCCAATAGGAAGTCGTCTTCAGGCAGCGACAACAGCACCGACAGAACAGGCACCACCCCAGCCGCCGCGGCTTGGAGCTTCCCTTCATCCGTTACAGTCACATCCATTAGCGAAGCCAGAGCCGCGCGCTTCTCTTCCGCCGATCCTTCCGCCAGTGCGTCCACGAGCCGGCACACGTTCGCGCTCGCCGCAGCGGCGGCGGAGATGCTCGACCGGTTGAGCGCGGAGGGCAGCGGGGACGACGCGCGGGGGCGCCGGGGGGAGAACATCCTCGGCGCGGCAAACGCGGCGGCAGCGGCGGCGGCGGCGGCGGTCGCGGGGCTGAGCGGACGAGGCGAGACGGCGATCGAGCCGTAATACGGCTGTATCCTACCGGAGGAAGCGGAGGAGACGGTGTAGGTTCGGCCAGGGCACGCGAAACGGCTCCCTCCACCACCGCCGCCTCCACCGCCGCCGGCGCCGCTGCCGTTAGCTGCTATCAATGCGAGTGCAGCGGAGGCCGCAGCATCTGCCGCGCTGCTATCGCGCTCCCTCCGCTCCCCGCCAAGAAGCGCCAGCGGCGGCGCTCCCGTTAACACCCCCGGTCGTTGCCGCCCCGCGGACCCGCCCCGCCCGTACAGTCCCCCCGCTGGCGGCGCGCCAAACCCGGACGCGGCGGAGGCGGAGATCGACCTCGGGGGGATCCCGCGCACCTGCATCTGCTGCCACGTCATCATCCCTGGGGGCCTTGCGGAGTCTTTGGCGGAGAAAGTAGCGGCGGAAGGGCCGATCATGGGGCTTTGCGGAAACATTTCCGCCACCTGCTGCAGCACCCGCGCGGGCTGTTCCGCTCCCCCGCCGCCGGGGAACATCATCGAGGTTCCGCTTCCGCCAGTGATACCGCTCCCGCTGTACGACTCCAGGAAAGTGGAAGGTTCCTTGCTTGACCCGCTAGTGTGACTGCATGAGACGGTTCGCAACGGGAAGTAGTTCTGCGGCATCGGCGGTGGCGCTTGTGACACTAACGAGGTCGACAGTGGCCCGTGATCGGCGGCGATTTTGGCATTGGTGGTAGAGGAGGCCTGTCCCAGAAGCATCGAGCAGACGGTGTGACAATGTCGAATTTCGGTCACGCACGCGTCTGCTTTTCGCGCCAGCCCTTTATGATGATGCCCCAGGCTAAAAAACATTCCCGGTATAGTCAGCTTGCACGCCTTGAGCAACGCGATAACGTCTTTCAGCTCCGACGCGAGGCGGCGCAGAACGAACGCAGAGCGCGGGTCGAAAGAGAGCGACGCGGTGGAGTTTTTCAGAAGATGGAGCGTCGGCAGCAGCTGTCGCACGCACACCGCGACTTTCTCCACGCTGCTGCGATGCACGTAAAGGTGCGGAGTCGCAGTCAGGTGTGCCACGTGTTCGGCCAGGGAGAGCGCTGACGTCAGATCCGCGCTGGCAAGGATGCTGTACGAGTCAGTGGTTAGAGATGCCGCCGTCGCCGCGATTACGCTCAAGCTGGGGCTTCCAGGTGGCACGATGGCATTCGCTGGCTCGTTTCGGTCTAATCTGTCCTGTTCGGGATAAACTGTTCCTACGGCCATGTTCGCGCGCATCCGGCCCGAAGCGCCAGCTACTAGAAGGCTTCGTCGTTGCGATAAGAAGCCAAGGGGATCAGGAAATTAGAGGAATCTGGTTAGAACGCAACTGGGTGGGCAGTCGAAGCGCACAGTGCCATGGTCTGAAGAACCAACCACGCACGAATATCGTTGCTATACGTGATGCTGTAGGAGCCAACTAAGGATGAGTGTGGGCAATGGCTGCGTGCAAGTGATGCCGCGTTGCCTAGCTTATTAGACCACACCGCCTGAAGCAAGTTGCGACGAAAGAAACCAGTGGCACCAGCCCAAAGTTTCAAGTGATAGATAGCAGGTTGTTGGCAGCAACCTCGCGGCATGTCCTTGTGTGGGCCTACTTCTCCGCTCCGCTAGTGAGTTCGCAAGTTTCAAGCACACTCAAATTTGGATAGCAAGGAACAGAGAGACCTAGCGGCGGTAGAGTGGCGTGTGACGCTTTCGTGCCTCTTAGGTCCCTTGGCAAATGTGCGGGATGGCGGCACGAGGGTCACAACAAACAGGACTAGTCTCGTTTCGACTAGGAGGTAGAAACAAGGGATGTGGGATTGTATCGAGGGAAAGTACAGGCCGGGGATAGGGGTAGGGAAAAGGCGGGAGCGGGCTGGGTTGGACCAACCAAAACTGGGCTGAGACGGAACAGTGGAGTTTCACGGACCCATAAACCACCAACAGCAAGGGAACAAGCACGCTGGGTGTGTGTGTGCAGCACCTGGTTCTTCGCTTCATGCCCAGTCCAGAAAATCTCCTCCTCTCCTCACCGCAAGGGTTCACAGCAAGCAACTGCATCAGTGTACTGTTCGGTTGCAGCCGTACAGAACAAGATCAACAGCAGCAAAGTACACGCCTACAAACAAGCTCGTGCTGTGCTGCAGTGAAACTGCTGCCATGTCCAAGGGCTCTTCACGAACCAGAGCTCTCTACAATCTCATCTCATCACATGTCACATTTTCGAAGGGATGTGCAATTTTCTACGTGCAAATGCGATGGGCCGACACGGTAAAACCAGAAATGCGGCTCGCACAAAGGATTCGCGGTTCGCTGACATGGCATGCCTAGCCTAGTCAGTTACCTGGACCCCGCCCAATTCATGACAGGCAGGTTTCGCTAACGGCCAGGCTCGCCTCAACTGGAGTGGCGTGCGGGGTTTGAGACGCGGGACCGCTCAGAATGTTTACCCATTTTCTTTCAAAGCAAGTTTCGCAATACCCCGTGAACCTCGCCGAAGCAACAATCTTGCCGACGAAAGAAAAGAATGGGGCGAGTTACTTTCCGTTTGTGATTTTATTTTTCGAAATTCGCAACTCTCACATGTGCGACAAAAGAGCAGCTGCATTCACCCACGTGAAAAAAATTCCCCCACAAGGCCTGGTTATTCAGTTGCACAAAAGCCTACTGTACAGTATTTCCTAGAACCGTTGGTTCGCTCGCAAAAGGAAGTCCCTTCAGTTGAGAAGATTATAGATAACGACCCTGTCATTTTCTCTGTAAATGACACCCTGTAAGCATCAACGAACACCCTGACGTGGCAGGGTGAACATGGTTCGCGACTCCAATCTGGAAGAGTCCCCAAAACACAGCACACTGTGCGTATCAAGGGGGACCCTGGTGGTGACGCGACGGGGGGAGTGAACCCTGCCAGTGTCGGATACAAATGGTCCTTTTCTACAAACGGACAACACTTTCGTCTAGCAGACTGCTGCTGAACCCAGTCCCAAATGCCACGCGCAGATGCAAAGTCTGGTTGGTTAGGGCGTGTGTCTTTTGCAAATCAGGGAGACGTTCATGTTTTTTCTCGAGTTTTCACATTCGAACATCGGTCGACCTGTGGTCGACCATCTCGACTTTTGATGGTCGAGGAGCAGCGTCAACAAGTCCGAGTCGCACATGGAACAACAAAGTTCGACTATCAAGCTCAGCTTTGAATAGTAAATCCCGAGTCCCGCTAACTTTCGTATGTTACCTGGTTGGGCGGTGCAGTTCGTTACCGTATCAGGCTTCGGTAACCTGGTAAAATGTACCTCGATTTTGTCGTGAACCTCGTGAATTTCCTAGCACACGCACAAGAACACACGATTAGATAAATGAAAACATCAGGGCGTGTGTGATTTTATTCTAGGTTCGAAAAACAGGTCGAACTTTGTCTGGTTACCTGTTTCGTCAAATTCGCAAAAGCCGAGTAACGAGAGTCATAACTTTTCCGAGCTCGACTCGAGTCATGCATAAATGTGGGCGCGTACAGTGAGCCGAACGTGTGTTGTTTTGCGCACGTACGACGAGTGGCGAATTTGGCGGAACCCTGCAACGCAATAAAACCTCCGCCGAAAACCACAGTCAGAATGTTGACGTGGCGCGATGTCTACGGAATTAGACCTGGTAACCTACATCCCCTACGAGCGGCTCGGCGCACCCCCTATAAGGTCGAACATTCAAATTCGACTTTGGGTGTGTGATTTGACTACCTGAAAATGTTTTGTGCTGTTCAAACTTCACGTTCAGCGGAAGTCGAACACTGTTCGGCTCTGGTTCAAATGCTACATTCGACCAAAAAAAAAAATGTAAACTTAGCCAATTTCCAGAATCACACAGGCCCTAAAAATGCGAACGCATGTCGACTTAAAGCCCGGGTATCACATGGTTTTTGCCACAATTTTGGAAGGGCTTTAAACGTATTGACGAAAGCAAAAAAGTTCATTTCGAGAATATGGGCGTGGCGAAAGCGAGATTAGGCAACGAGGACATTCTGTATTCGTCACTCGACATCGGTTGGAGCGTGCGACAAACCAACCCAGCCGTACGAGGGAAAACCAAGCGTGTAAGCCCAACCTCACTATTCTTGGGTTAGTAATTTTTGAACAGAAATCATCTCGACAGCGCATCGCAGCATGAAATACGCAGGAACGCATTGTGGTCGCGAGGGTGAGTGAAGCCACCTCACCATGCCTGCCCACGCACCTCTGAGTGGCTCCTCCCCTTCCCTCATCGAGCTCCTCCCCTCGTCGCGCCTCTGCTCGCCTCGCCGCGCCTCCGCACGCCTCGCCGCGCCTCCTCTCGCCTCGCCGCGCCTCCGCTCGCCGCGACAAGCCTGCGCTTGCCATGCCGCGCCTCCGCTCGCCGCGCCGCGCCCCCGCTCGCCTCGCCGCGCCTCCGTTCGCATCGCCGCGCCTCCGCTCGCATCGCCGCGCCTCCGCTCGCCGCGCCTCCCCTGCTTCCCCTCACTCCCCGTCTGCTTCCCCTCATTCCCCCCTCTGCTTCCCCTCATTTACTCCCCTGCTTGCTCTCGTTTCCCCCCCTGCTTCCCCTCATTTACTCCCCTGCTTGCTCTCGTTTCCCCCCCTGCTTCCCCTCATTTACTCCCCTGCTTGCTCTCGTTTCCCCCCCTGCTTCCCCTGGTTTGCCCCCTGCTTCCACTACCCCCCCCCCCTGATCTCCCTAGTTTTAACCTCCTGCTTCCCCTCATTTCCTCCTCTGCTTTCCGTCATTCCCCCCTTTGCTTCCCCTCATTTCTCCTCCTTCCCCTCATTTACCCTGCTGCTTCACCTCATTTCCCCCGCTGCTTCCCCTCATCCCCCACCCCCCCCCCCCCTCTTCCTCTCATGTCCCCCCTTTCCCCTCATTCTCCTTCCTGCTTCCCCTCGTTTCCCCCTCTGCTCTCATTGTTTCCCCCTCTGCTCTCATTGTTTCCCCCTCTGCTCTCATTGTTTCCCCCTCTGCTTCCCCTAATTTCTCCCCCTCCTTCCCCCTTCCCCTCATTTTCCCCACTCTTTCCCCTCATCTTCCCCCCTGCTTCCCTCTTCCCCCTCTGCTTCCCCTCGTTTCCCCTCTTTCCCCTCGTTTCCCCCTCTTCTTCCCCTCTTCTTCCCCTCGTTTTATCTCCCTATCTCCCCACCCTGCTTCCCCTTTCCCTCGCTTCCCTCTCCCCTTCTTCCCTATCTTCCCTCTTCCCCACCCTCCTTCCTTCGGTATTGTCTTCTTTCCCTCTCACCCTCTTCCTATCTCCTCCTTTCCCTCACCCCCCCTCTTCCTATCCCCTTTCCCTCTCATGTCGTCATATTTCCCCCTTTGTCTTCCCCCTTGCTTCCCTCTTCCCCCTCCTCCCTGTCCCCCCTATCTCCCCTCTTCTCATCTCTATCTGTTTGTCTTTCTTTCTTGTTCCCCCTCCCAATCCCTCGTATTCTCCACCTCCCTGGCTGTGGCAGTTGCTACACTGAAGGTTTTTCTGGTACTTCAAATTGCCTCAGCCCATCATCCCATCCCATGCCATGCTCGTAGAATAACAGTTCCCCTCATGTTTTTTTCAAGGCCTTGAGAAAGGTCAGTCGTATTGCTCCCCTTGATCTTTGCCTACAACCAAAAGGAAGTATTAGGAACATGCCTATTTCCCTTCTGACACTCATAGTGTCCAAGCATATTGGTAGAATATCTTGTACTGCAAAGGCAATTACTAGTACAAAGTGTGCCTTTGAATTGCATATCTCCAACAGTGATACAGTACCCATGCTTGCATAGAAAACACAAGAAACAGGCCGTGGTACGGTGTAAAGCATCGACTAGCTGTGCCTCAGCTAGCAACTGTTGCTCCTCTGCTTCACCACTGAAAAATAGGGGAGTGGAGTAGGCAGAAAGTATTGTGTGAAGGCACATGGGGGAGGTGGTGTGGGCGTCAAGGTAACAACGGCAACGGCAAGGGCACATGATGAAAGCATGTATGGTGAGACAGTGATGGGTGCACATGCATGGAAACTAGAGCGCGGAAGGCGAGGAGTGGGGGAGAAGGGGAGGGCATGAAAAGGAAGGGAAGGGTTGAGAAGGGATGGGGAAGGGTTGAGAAGGGATGGGGAAGGGAAAGGCAGGGCAGGGAGGGAAAGGCAGGGATGGGGAGGGCAGTTAGGAACAGGGCAGAGGGTGGGGGGAAGGAGGGAGGGGGATGGGGAGCAGCAGGGAAGGGGATGGGGGGAAGCAGGGAAGGGGATGGGGGGAAGCAGGGAAGGGGATGGGGGGAAGCAGGGAAGGGGATGGGGGGAAGCAGGGAAGGGGATGGGGGGAAGCAGGGAAGGGGATGGGGGGAAGCAGGGAAGGGGATGGGGGGAAGCAGGGAAGGTGGGGAGAAGCAGGGAAGGGGATGGGGGGAAGCAGGGAAGGGGATGGGGGGAAGCAGGGAAGGGGATGGGGGGAAGCAGGGAAGGGGATGGGGGGAAGCAGGGAAGGGGATGGGGGGAAGCAGGGAAGGGGATGGGGGGAAGCAGGGAAGGGAATGGGGAGAAGCAGGGAAGGGGATGGGGGGAAGCAGGGAAGGGGATGGGGGGAAGCAGGGAAGGGGATGGGGGGAAGCAGGGAAGGGGATGGGGGGAAGCAGGGAAGGGAATGGGGAGAAGCAGGGAAGGGGATGGGGGGAAGCAGGGAAGGGAATGGGGAGAAGCAGGGAAGGGGATGGGGGGAAGCAGGGAAGGGGATGGGGGGAAACAGGGAGGGGGATGGGGGGAAGCAGGGAGGGGGGGGATGGAGGGAAGCAGGGAAGGGAATGGGGAGAAGCAGGGAAGGGGATGGGGGGAAGCAGGGAAGGGGATGGGGGGAAGCAGGGAAGGGGATGGGGGGAAGCAGGGAAGGGGATGGGGGGAAGCAGGGAAGGGGATGGGGGGAAGCAGGGAAGGGGATGGGGGGAAGCAGGGAAGGGGATGGGGGAAGCAGGGCTGGGGATACGGGGAAAGAACGAGGGCGACAGGGAGATAGGGAGACGGGGTTTGCGAGGGGACGAGCGTGATGGGGGGATGAGAGGACGGGGGGATGAGAGGACGGGGGGCTGAGAGGACGGGGGGACGAGAGGACAGGGGGACGAGAGGACAGGGGACAGGGGGATGAGAGGCCGGGGTAATGAGAGGACGGGGGGATTTTTCGCGGGAGGGGAGGGAGGCCGGCGGGAGGGGGGATTCCCGGGCGACAGGGAGGGCGATGGCAGGGGAAGCGTGGGCGACGGTGGGGGGAAGCGTGGGCGACGGTGGGGTTAAGCGTTGGCGACGGTGGGGAAAAGCGTTGGCGACGGTGGGGAAAAGCGTTGGCGACGGTGGGGGGAAGCGTGGGCGACGGGGAGGAAGCGTGGGCGACGGTGGGAGGAAGCGTGGGCGGCGGTAAGAGGAAGCGTGGGCGACGGTAAGAGGAAGCGTGGGCGACGGTAAGAGGAAGCGTCGGTGACGGTGGGCTGAAGCGGGTGTGACGGTCGGAAGAAGCGTGGGCGATGAGCGTGTGTGAATGTGGGGGAAGGCGTGCGCGATGGTGTGGGGAAGCGTGGGTGCACCCACGGAGCAGGAGGCAGCGCATGCGGCGGTAAGGGGAAGCGTGAGCGACGGTGAGGGAAAGGGTGGGGGGAAGCGTGGGCGTGTGCGTAGGGTACGCAGAAGGCGATAGGGCCAAATGTGATGTTTGAGGAAGGGCGATGCCAGGGCGACCGAGTGAGGAAACGCGATACACCGTCGCGTTGCTGTCATACCGATAAGCTACGACTGAAAAATAAGTTTGGGTGTCTATATTGGCCGAGAGATTGACGGCGGAGGCGGAAGGCTGGGCATACTTTCGCGACGCGTGAGTGTGTGCTTCTTTCTACGCCTGAGACTACTACTCGCTGCAAGGACAAATGGAGAGAACGTGGCGGTTGCGGTAGAGGAAACAAAGTGGCCGCGGATCGGTTGCAACTAAAGTCGCCAAAGGTCCCTGATTCGTGTCTTTGAACAGAGCGCTTAGACTGAAGATTGCCCATTTGTGACGGGAGAACTACTACTAGTGTGCCTCATAATATGCGTGTCCAAGCGTTCCCGATGGTTTTCAAGTTTACTCAAGGTGAACAGTGCTTTCCTCTGAGGCCTTGTTCCTGCTGGTTGTTCTAGTTTATCGCTGGCCAATCACGGATCACCTCTGCTGCTTGAACCCGACGGATTGTTCTGAACCAGCTGGTAACATGGTTATTCACGAAATCAACTTCAAGAACTTGAATTTGAAACATACCATGTGATACTCGGGCTTTAAGCCCTAAACTTCTTTCACATAGTTTGAACTAGGACACACGATTTCTTCGCGAACGTTTCTGCGAGATTAGCGAATAGGGTTACCAGCAAAAGCTCGATCCCTTTTTTGAACGTCTACACCAGAAGACACGCGCCCTTAGGCGCTGATATTGGAAAACGAAGCAGCTTGTTTGGCGAACGTACAACGAAACAATCTTATGTGTGGTTCATAAAGAATGAGAGTAACAAATGTGAAAATGTTACCTGTTTCGCGGTTCCGTAATTCGTTAAGCAGCAGATTTTGGCACGTCAACTTCAAGGTCAGCTTCCCATGCCCTAGGCGCCACTACTCGTGTGCGCATAACAATGATCTGAGGTTTCCAGAATAAACGAGTTCGCTTTACCCAACTAAACCGTTAATAGAACAACCGAACCGATTATCTAGTGGTTGTTGAAAATGACCGTCGAAGGGACAAAGTACAAGCCCCAAATCCACGTCCCCCCAAGCACTTCTTCAGTTTCCCTCCGCCTTTCGCCCGTTTCCCTTCCGCTCCGCTTGCCTTCCGCCCACTTCCCGCTGTCCCCGTTTTCCGTCTCATGCTTCTGCTTTCACACATCCTTCCCCTCCAGCCTCTAGGTTTCGCTGCTTCACCTCGCTTCCTTCCCTAGGGCTTCCCTCGCTCTGTCAAGGGAGAGGCTAGGGTTTGGATCCCTTCGACCCAGCCCTCGCGCAATCTCAAGGAAGTTAGCCAGCTGTAACATACGGTTGTCCCCCTCCGTACTATCCGCCGCTTCTTCCTGTGTCGATTTCTAGTTGTAGTTTTTTTCGCTTTCTTTTTTTGGTGGGTCGCTGTGTCGATGCTTGTGGTCACTTGAGCTCGAAATGGCGCCAGGTGACGGCTTTGAGTTTGGCGGGGAACGAGTCGTTGTCGGAGTTAGTAAGGACCCATCGTGTAAAGAAGCCATTAAATGGGCCATTACGAATAAAGTTCGCAGCCCAGACGACATCCTTATATTGCTCCATGTGGTCACTAAGATCCCCAGCCCAAGTAAGCAGTTTTAAGTCGCCCTTTCTCCTAAGCTGGATGTATTTATTTTCTGTAGTGCGCATTCGTAAGTCTGTGCTTCTATCATTGCTTGCACATTTTTAACTAGTATTCCTGTTTCACGGATCAGGTATGGGTGCTTATGGAGGAGCGGGAAGGCAAGTTGCAGGTACTTCAGTAGTTAAGATAAAACATTTCCGCGCGTCTGTTTTTGTCAAAATGCAGTCATTAAGACATTCAAAATTGCAATTTGATCCATTTTGACAAAATTTACTGCATTGCCGGCGTGAATATGTGCCATATCCGCAAGCTCAGATACGCTGGATTTCTTTCTGAGCTCCTTACGAGGCGGTATACAGTCTCCGCTTGCTCAGTGTGCTGAGTCAAAAATCATGAACAATCATCTATTTTGGTTGCGTCGCTTTTTGAGTCGACAGAGAAAGCGAATCATGAATTTTCGTCTTGAGTCTGGCTGCAGGAGCGGTGGAGATGTATCAGAGCGAGGTCAACAACACCATGTTCGTGCATTATGTCCGCACCATCGTGCAGCCCATGATGCTCTCCTTGAAGAAACTCGTCGATCCCAAGGTATATCAAATGTTTGCTTTCGCACCTGATGTCTTCTCGTGGCATTGATACGAGTGACTGCAACGATTCTGTTGCGAGTCTCGGCTTTCCTGGTTGATGACCCGGTTTTAAAACAGGAAGATAAGAGAACCTTTTTGTCTCGTTTTTGGTCGTCCGTTCGTTACGCCAGATCAAGTTAGAGCTCAAGGTCGGCCGGAACAACTCCAGAGAGAAGGGCATTGTGGAAGAGTCGAGCAAGCTGAAAGCGACGACGCTGGTTCTAGGAACCAATGCTCGAGGAATGTTCAGCATGTAAGCATCGTGCCCATTGTTTCACTACTTTTCAAGTCTTCTTTGGGAGCCTTTTGATTACTTTAAGCATTTTTTAAATAGTATCTGGGAGTTCTTTGACTAGAGGTGCTGATCTTTGTGACTTGGCAGGCGCGGCAAGTCGTCGAGTACCGGAGCGTACTGCGTTCGTTATAAGCCTCACGGGCTCTCCGTTTTTGTGATTCAAAAGGACAAGGTCGTGCTGTATAAGGAATCGGAAGGCTCGCCCTTGTCATCCGCTTCGGGGAGTCCTGCTGGCTCGGGTCGTCTGATGCCAGGCTCGGGAGGGTCCGGCCAAGGCTCGGGATCCCTCGAGCCGACCTACAGCGGCGGGTTCAACGAATCAGGTAAGCGTTGCGTCAGTGGCAGTTTTGCTGTTTGTTATGATATCCCTTCTGATCGTGCAGGTGACATTTTGTAAAGGAAATTTGAGCAGATCAAGCCCTTTTTCTGAGTTTGGAGATATAAAGAGGGCGGAGGAAGCAGAATTGGACAACTTGAAGCATCCGGCATAGTTGGCCGCATCGCTCCACAACCTGTGGTGGCAGTAGACGAGACTGCTCAAAACAGTGTGAACAATGTCCCAAGTTCTTTCTTTGTCGCCCTCACAAAACCAATTTACAGGAGGAAGAAGCGGCGAGTATGACGAATCTGGCGGAGGGGGATACGGAGCTCCCATTGGCACATCCTACGGCCAGTACCAGCAGTACCCTGCGCGCGGGGGAGCTCCGCAAGGGGGCTGGGGCGGCGGCGGCGGAGGAATGAACGCGCCGTACGGGGGAATGATGGGGGGAGGAGTGGCGCCGAGAGGCCAGTACGGCAGCAACGACTCGAGCCCGCAAGGCTCGGGACCCATGCAGCCCTACATGCCCGCATCCGGCGGCGGCGGATCCGGCAGCCTGCAGTCGCGATTCTCCATGGACGGGGGGAGCATGGACAGCTCCCCCGGTGGCGGAGGTCCCAAGGGCGGGAGCGACATCCAGCAAGCCGCGGCGCTGTCGGCGCTGGCGTGGTCGAAGCAGGCGGCGAACACGGCGGAGGGGCAGAAGCTCCAGTCGGACTACCTGGCGGAGTTCGACGCGTGGAAGCGCGCCAATCAGGCGGCGACGTTCCAGCAGCAGCAAGACTTTATGGTGGATCTTCAATCGCGCATGGCGAAAGCGCGCGCGGCGCTCGCGGGGCTGCAGCTCGGGGAAGGCGGAGGGGCAGGCGGAGGGGGAGGGTCGCCCGCGGGCGGTGGAGGGGAGATGGGGGGTGATGGTGGCGGTGGGGGAGGGATGCAGCATTCGTATCCTGCGGCTATTCCTGCTCCTGTTCCGGCTGCTTCAGACGTTTCCGCTGTTGGGAGTGGTGGCGGCGTTGAGGTGAGAAGCTTGAAATATAAGTCTGGAATTCTGCGTATTGTCTTTGTCCATTCGGTCTCCTGAGCCCCCTCGCCCTCCTGAACCCCCCCTCGACCTCCTGAACCCCCCCCTTGGTTTCCCGCGCCCTCTTTGTGTCCCAAAACATTCTCTCCGTCCTCCCTCAATCGATCACTCGCCCCCTTTCTTTCCCACACAGCCCACATGCACGCACACACAACGCACAACTTTCGCTGTCCAGTTGATAATTTTCATTCCCAATGCCCACAAGACTTGATAATTACGCCTTTCTTTGATAGTTTCCCGCGCCTTGCTTTCTGGGCCATTTCATCGCGAGTTGGAGCTTTCAAGGCAACGCGCGCCCCTTCCTTCCCCTCCCTCCCCTTCCTTCCCCTCCCTCCCCTTCCCTCCCCTCCCTCCCGTTCCCCTCCCCTCCCTCCCCTTCCGTCCAACTCCTCCCCTTCCCTCCCCTCCTTCCCCTCCCCCCCCTACCCTCCCTCCCCTGCCTTCCCCTCCCCTTCCCTCGCCTTCCCTCCCCTCCCTCCCCTTCCTTCCCCTTCCCCACTCCCTCCCCCCTCTCCCTCCCCTCCCTCCCTTCCCTCCCTCCCTCCCCTCCCCTCCCTTCCCGCCTCCTCTTCCCCATTCCTACCCGAAACCCCCGTCAGAACGACCTACGGCGCGAGCTGGAGCTGATGCGGCAGCGCGCGGCGGAGGCGGAGAAGGCGCGCCTGGAGGCAGAGCAGCGCGCCCAGCGCGCGCTCTCCGAAGCGGACCGCTCCCTCCGCGAGGTCGAGGCGCAGAACAAGCGGCGGGAGTTGGAAACGGCGGTGCGCATCGAGATGGCGTCGCAGGAGGCGGCGCGCGCCATGGCGGCGGCGGAGGAGGCGCGGAAGCAGGCGGAGCTTGAGGCGCAGAAGACGGAGGTGGCGATGAAGCAGGCGGCGATGACGCGCGCGGCGCTGGAGCTGGAGGAGAAGCGGCGGCAGGAGGCGGAGAAGAAGGCGAAGGCGGAGAAGGGCGGCATGCGCATGATGGCCAACTACCGCGAGTACTCTTACGACGACATTGTGGTGAGTAAAGGGCGCTTGGATGGATGGGTTGGTGGGTGGTGGATGGTTGGTGGATGGGTGAATGGATGGGTGAATGGATGGGTGGGTGGGTGCATGCGTGCGTGCACGCGTGCGCATGATGGCGAGTTACCGCGAGTACTCTTATGACGACATTGTGGTGAGTAGAGGGGGGAATGAGCAGGAGCCGAATGACTGCCGAAATACCCAAATCGCCACGAGCGTAGAAGGTGGGTATGTGCATGCACGCATGCAAATGATGGTGAATTGTCGCGAGTACTCGTATGACGGTGAGTGGTGGGTGAGTGGGTGGTTAAGTGGGTGAGTGGGTAGGTGGGTGGGTGGGTATGTTTGTGTTGGGTGGAGATCTTCAAGTTGTAGCAACTTCCCTGTCACCTCGAAGCGCAAATCCGTACCGTCCAGAGCTCGTCTCCTCCACTTGCATGGCATGGCATGGCATGGCATGGCATGGCATGGCGTGGCATGGCATGGGATGGCATGGGATGGCATGGGATGGCATGGGATGGCATGGGATGGCATGGCATGGGATGGCATGGCATGGGATGGCATGGCATGGCATGGCATGGCATGGGATGGGATGGCATGGCATGGCATGGCATGGCAGGGCAGGGCAGATGGCTACGGTACGGAGAACTTCAAGGTGAAACAATTTCTGACTTTACTGAATCATCGGCTCGTTTCCTTCCTTCCCCGTCCGTGGCATGGCAGTTCGCAACGGAGAACTTCAAGGCGGAGCGCAAGCTGGGCGAGGGCGGGTTTGGGACGGTGTTTGAGAATTCTCAGAAACCACCTGCTTCTGTTCCCCCCTCCCCACGCATGCCAATGCATGGCATGGCAGATGGCGACGGAGAACTTCAAGGCGGAGCGGAAGCTGGGCGAGGGTGGGTTCGGGACGGTGTTCTCCGGCACGCTGCACCACACGCCCGTGGCCGTGAAGGTGCTCAAGAACACTGACGCCATGCAGGCCGCGCACGAGTTCCAACAAGAGGTGAGAATGTGTTTGGGTCAAGGCTGATGTTTTGGTCAGTGGGCAATGTCGGCAGGCGCTGGGGTGGTTTAGCACACTGCACAACACGCTGGTGGCCGTGAAGGTGCTCGCGATTTGCAACTTGAGGTGCGCAGCGCAGACAGGGGTGAGGGCTAGGCCACGTGTGTGTCTTGGGAAGTGTTTGATGGTTGAGGGGTTGAGTCAGATCCAGCATTCTCATCCCTCTTCTCCCCCACCATAGCCCCCCACTGCAGCCCCCCCACACACCAATCTCTCCCTTCGTTTTTCAGTGCCCCTGTTCCCCTGTTCCCCTTTCCCTCCTCCCCCCCCTCTTCCCCCCTCAACCTTTCTCCAGGTGGAGTTGCTGAGTCAGATCCAGCACCCGCGCGTGGTGTGGCAAGTCATTGTCCTCACTCACACAATCCTCACATCATTTCCCTTCCCATCCTTTCTCCCCCCTCTCATACAAACCCATACAATCCCATCAGGTGGAGGTGCTGAGTCAGATTCAGCATCCCCACGTCGTCATGCTGCTGGGCTGCTGTCCCGACAGGTACTGCCTCGTCTACGAGTTCATGGCCAACGGCTCCCTCGAGGACCGCCTGCTCTGCGCCAACAACACCCATCGCCAAACCCCCCCTCTTCCCTTTTCCCGGTTTTTCCTTGCCCCTTCTTCTCTATTCCCCCTCCTCCTCCTCTTTCCCCCCTCCCCATTCTCTCTCCCCTGCGCCCTCATCAGGTTGAAGTGCTGAGTCAGATTCAGCACCCACATGTCGTCATGCTGCTGGGCTGCTGTCCCGACAGGTACTGCCTCGTCTACGAGTTCATGGCCAACGGCTCCCTCGAGGACCGCCTGCTCTGCGCCAACAACACGCCACCCCTCCCCTGGTACACCCGCATGCGCGTCGCTGCCGAAATCGCCTCCGCGCTCCTCATCCTCCACACGCGCCCCGTGCCCATCGTGCACCGCGACTTAAAGCCGGGGAACATTCTCCTCGATAAGAACTTCGTCGCGAAGCTCGGAGACGTCGGGCTGGCGAAGCTCATGCCTGGGCTGTCCATGGACCAAACCTACATGCGGGAATCGGTCCCCGTCGGCACCTTCGCGTATGTCGACCCCGAGTTCCAACGCACGGGCGAGTTCGGCCCGAAATCCGACGTCTACGCGCTCGGAATTGTGCTCCTGGATCTCCTCACCGGGCGCAAGCCAAACGTGTACGAGGGGCTAGAAGAAGCAGTGGACGACGGCGACGAGGAGGCTATGAGGGAGTTTCTCGATGAGCGCGCGGGGAACTGGCCGCTGGATATAGTCATGGAGGTGGCGAAAATCGCGGTGAAGTGCTCTGAGATGAGGAGGAAGAAGCGGCCGGATCTGGAGACGCATGTGATGCCGGTGCTGGACAGGGCGAGGGCGAGGGCCGTGCAGGCGGAGGAGGAGGCGAGGCGGACGCCGGTGAAGCGGTCGCTGGGTGATGCGCCCAGCAGCCTGTTCTGCCCCATCACTCAGGCAAGATTGGGTTTCTGTGTGACACCCGTCCCTCTCCCTCTTCTTCTCTGTGGTTCCCCACCCCTCCCATTCCCCCCCCCCCCCTTTTCTGTGAGCCGGTTCTTCTTTTTCCCTTTCGTAATTGTATTGTATTGGTGAGTGGAGTCTGCAAAAGGGGTCTGGAAAAGAGGAAGACGCTGGTGAAATGGGCAGCATTCCAACAGGCAGCACTCCAACCCTGCTACCTCTTTCACAGAGTATTGCAATAGTGAACCCAGTGCTGGGGGAGAAGGGGTACACCCACCCATTACGAATAGCCCTCTTGCTTTTTTTAACCCTCGCCGCCTCATTCCTAGGTTTTTTTAGAATTTTCTGAAGTTTTTTTTTACGTCTCAAAAGTTTTTTGAGAATTCTCAACAAACATACGCTGCCTTCTCGTTTTGGGAAGGGGGGATAGATTTTTTTCTGGGTTCACCCAGAAGCGCGAATAAGAAAAAGTAAAAGAAAAAACGATACTAAACAAATTATAATGCAGGAGATGATGGTGAACCCGGCGCTGGTGGCAGACGGGCACACGTACGAGAAGCCTCTAGTAATTAGCTTATCTACCCTCTCACCCCCTCTTCCCCACCTTGGCATCCTCTTCCACCCTCTTTCACCGCTCTCAACCACACAGGAGATGATGGTGAACCCGGTGCTGGCAGCGGACGGGCACACGTACGAGAAGGAGGCGATAGAGTCGTGGCTGGAGAGCAGCGACCGCTCACCCATGACCAACGAGAAGCTACCCTCCAAGGACCTCGTGCCCAACCATGCCGTGCGCACCATGATCAACGACTGGCGGGAACGCAACCTATGAGTGATCTATGAACCACCTGCTGTATGAGCACGCATTGTTGATTTTCGAGTCGACTCTCAAAGGTCAAAGATTGGCGGGAAGGAACGCTAAATATGAGCAAGCACTGTGCACCGTTTGATTTTATTTGGGGAGGGCGGGTTGGATGAGGTTGGTGGGTGGGTATAACCACGATTGGGCCTTGCTGAAAGGTACTGCATACTTTCTCCCTCTCTCAAGGTTGGTTGCTGGGAGGGGTGAGGCAGGGTGAGGCAGGGCTACCCTTATGCTTCTCTTTTCGTTTTGAGAGACTCATGCCTGCTGTTTGTTCTGCATCAGTTTCAGCGGCGAAGCCCACTTGAGACATTCAATGTAGGCTCTCACTCAATACCTACGCTTGGCCATAAGCTATTTTCTGCAGTGGTAGTGTGATTGAGAGGTGTGGTTACTGTCAACGTTGAATGTTACAGGGGGGAGGTGGCAGATAAGCTTAGGTTCTGCAAGGAATAGGTTTTGCAGGGAAACCCCTTATAGGTTTATGTCTAAGAAATAGGATGTGATGTGATGGCATGGGAAGTGTCAATAAACTTATCTCCTTACATGTTTATGTCTTTTATGTCAAAACGAAATTGGATGTTCTGTTCACCTTCTTGGATATAAACACTGATGCAATTTTCAGGTTACATTAAAAGCAGTTCTCATTTCACTGTTGCGCGAGATGGCCTAACTGTACACAATGAAACTTGATATCATACTACAACAGGCAAACTGTTGTATGTAGTTGAGAACGGAGGGAGGGTGGGAATCAATGTTGGGAGATAAAAGGTTGACGGTACCAATTGACAAAATTGGTGTCGCCCCTCAGCTCCCTCTGTTGATGGATACATAGTTCAGAACACTGATACGCGAAGGGATACCGCCGTACAACAACATACAGCTGTGCCAAGTGAATACTGCTTTCACAGATAGGAATAGTTTTATGGTAACAACACCATTACTTTCTATCAGTGCCACCCACACATGACTTCTCAATTGCTTCAATGCTGAAACCTGCAATGTGAGACACATACACATACACATACACATACACATGCACATATGCACACAGGCACGCGCCCGTATGCCCCGCACTCACACGCACCCACCCACACACGCACTCATGCACACCCCACATAAACAAGCACGCACGCATGCACGCACGCACATAAAATAGAAACCACAATTGGCGGCTTAGACAATTTCAAATCATCAGGAAAGAAGCAAAAAACACACACAGACACACACACACACACACACACACACACACACACACACACACACACACACACACACACACACACACACACACACACACACCTCCAAATAAGACACCATCTTGAGTGTCATCCCCAACGCTGCAGCAATCTGTGAAAAAATACAGGAAAACGAACGTCAAACACAGTGCATTGTCAGATGTCAAGTGGTGCATCAAGAGAAGTGATGCACTCCAAACCAAAGCATCCACTCACCTCCTCTTGCGAGACTTGGCGAGACCCCCGCAGGCCAAACCGAAGCTCCAGAATCTGCTCATTCAGGGTGCAGAAACGAGGGGGGCGAGGGCGGTCAGAGAAAGGGAGAGAAGGGGAGGGCGAGATTACAACAAGTGCGGGGAAGGGGCACAGGAACAACACATGGCACAACGCAAGATCCCCTAAGACCAAACCGAAGCTCCAGAATTTGCTCATTCAGGGCGCAGAAACGAGGGGGGCGAAGGGGTGCAAGTCAGGGAGACGGACGGCGAACGTCGTTGCGACGACCTTAGGGTAGGTGCAGAACACACACATGCACATGCACATGCACATGCACATGCACATGCACATGCATAGAGAATTGCAGCTGACCCTGCCCATCCGCTTTGTCCATTATACCCCCATTTGTACCTGCCTCTGCTCATTTGTACCTGCCTCTGCTCATTTGTACCTGCCTCTGCTCATTTGTACCTGCCTCTGCTCATTTGTACCTGCCTCTGCTCATTTGTAACCGCCTCTGCTCATTTGTACCTGCCTCTGCTCATTTGTAACCGCCTCTGCTCATTTGTACCTGCCTCTGCTCATTTGTACCTGCCTCTGCTCATTTGTAACCGCCTCTGCCCATTTGTACCTGCCTCTGCTCATTTGTAACCGCCTCTGCTCATTTGTACCTGCCTCTGCTCATTTGTAACCGCCTCTGCTCATTTTTACGCACCTCTACCCATTTCTACCCGCTGCCTCTGCCCATGTGTTAGCAAAAAGGTGACTTCTTAGTCGACTCAAAAGTCATTTCTACCCGCTGCCTCTGCCATGTGTTAGCAAAAAGTGCACTCACGAGGCGACGGTGTTAGCAAAAAGTGCACTCACGAGGCGACGGTGCGGGTCGAGGGAGGAGAGGGCGTGTGAGAGGAGGACCAGATGCTCTGAGTCCAGTAGAAGCTGTTGAGCAGAGAAGAGGGGAAGCGAGGGAGGGAAGATTTAGAGGATACGTGGAGATGGATAGATGGAGAGAAGCCAGGAGAGAGCGTGTGAGAGGAGGACCAGATGCTCTGAGTCCAGTAGAAGCTGTTGAGCAGAGAAGAGGGGAAGCGAGGGAGGGAAGATTTAGAGGAGACGTGGAGATGGATAGATGGAGAGAAGCCAGAAGAGAGCGTGTGAGAGGCGGACCAGATGCTCTGAGTCCAGTAGAAGCTGTTGAGCAGGGAAGAGGGGAAGCGAGGGAGGGAGATTTAGAGGAGACGTGGAGATGGATAGATGGAGAGAAGCCAGGAGAGAGCGTGTGAGAGGAGGACCAGATGCTCTGAGTCCAGTAGAAGCTGTTGAGCAGGGAAGAGGGGAAGCGAGGGAGGGGAGATTTAGAGGAGACGTGGAGATGGATAGATGGAGAGAAGCCAGGAGAGAGCGTGTGAGAGGAGGACCAGATGCTCTGAGTCCAGTAGAAGCTGTTGAGCAGGGAAGAGGGGAAGCGAGGGAGGGAAGATATAGAGGAGACGTGGAGATGGATAGATGGAGAGAAGCCAGGAGAGAGCGTGTGAGAGGAGGACCAGATGCTCTGAGTCCAGTAGAAGCTGTTGAGCAGGGAAGAGGGGAAGCGAGGGAGGGAAGATTTAGAGGAGACGTGGAGATGGATAGATGGAGAGAAGCCAGGAGAGAGCGTGTGAGAGGAGGACCAGATGCTCTGAGTCCAGTAGAAGCTGTTGAGCAGGGAAGAGGGGAAGCGAGGGAGGGAAGATTTAGAGGAGACGTGGAGATGGATAGATGGAGAGAAGCCAGGAGAGAGCGTGTGAGAGGAGGACCAGATGCTCTGAGTCCAGTAGAAGCTGTTGAGCAGGGAAGAGGGGAAGCGAGGGAGGGAAGATATAGAGGAGACGTGGAGATGGATAGATGGAGAGAAGCCAGGAGAGAGCGTGTGAGAGGAGGACCAGATGCTCTGAGTCCAGTAGAAGCTGTTGAGCAGGGAAGAGGGGAAGCGAGGGAGGGAAGATTTAGAGGAGACGTGGAGATGGATAGATGGAGAGAAGCCAGGAGAGAGCGTGTGAGAGGAGGACCAGATGCTCTGAGTCCAGTAGAAGCTGTTGAGCAGGGAAGAGGGGAAGCGAGGGAGGGAAGATATAGAGGAGACGTGGAGATGGATAGATGGAGAGAAGCCAGGAGAGAGCGTGTGAGAGGAGGACCAGATGCTCTGAGTCCAGTAGAAGCTGTTGAGCAGGGAAGAGGGGAAGCGAGGGAGGGAAGATATAGAGGAGACGTGGAGATGGATAGATGGAGAGAAGCCAGGAGAGAGCGTGTGAGAGGAGGACCAGATGCTCTGAGTCCAGTAGAAGCTGTTGAGCAGGGAAGAGGGAAGCGAGGGAGGGAAGATTTAGAGGAGACGTGGAGATGGATAGATGGAGAGAAGCCAGGAGAGAGCGTGTGAGAGGAGGACCAGATGCTCTGAGTCCAGTAGAAGCTGTTGAGCAGGGAAGAGGGGAAGCGAGGGAGGGAAGATTTAGAGGAGACGTGGAGATGAGATAGATGGAGTAGAAGCTGTTGAGCAGGAAGAGGGGAAGCGAGGGAGGGAAGATATAGAGGAGACGTGGAGATGGATAGATGGAGAGAAGCCAGGAGAGAGCGTGTGAGAGGAGGACCAGATGCTCTGAGTCCAGTAGAAGCTGTTGAGCAGGGAAGAGGGAAGCGAGGGAGGGAAGATTTAGAGGAGACGTGGAGATGGATAGATGGAGAGAAGCCAGGAGAGAGCGTGTGAGAGGAGGACCAGATGCTCTGAGTCCAGTAGAAGCTGTTGAGCAGGGAAGAGGGGAAGCGAGGGAGGGAAGATTTAGAGGAGACGTGGAGATGGATAGATGGAGAGAAGCCAGGAGAGAGCGTGTGAGAGGAGGACCATATGCCCGGAATCCAGTAGATGCTGTTGGACAGGGAAGAGGAGTAAAAGGAAAGGAGGAGGGGGGGTGGAGGTTGTTGATTCTGTCGGCTCAAGAAGGGGAGATTATGTGAGAAAAGGACCGAGTGTTCTGAGTCCAGTAGATGCTGTTGCAGAGGGAAAGGACTCCGCATGCTTGCAGAGGGAAAGGACTCCGCATGCTTGCGGTTGGGCAGGGAAGAGGGATAGGGGGTTGCATTGCATCACATGCTCTCAAACTGAGAAACGGGTAGAAAGCTGCAAGCTCGGTTTGACCGACCGGTAATGGCTAATCTAAAAGGGGGTTGCATTTTGAGTCGACTAAAAAATAGAAAGCTGCAAGCTCGGTTTGACCGACCGGTAATGGCTAATCTAAAAGGGGGTTGCATTGCATCACATGCTACGGACATGCTCTCATAACACGATGTCTCATCCGTATTCGCATCCCTGTTATCATCCCTCCTCTCGTTCCACTCTCAAACTCACCTGCCAGTGGTCCACTATATCGGGGGAGAATGTCTCAGTGTGTGTGCGGTTGGGCAGGGAGGAGACGTCTCAAGAGAGAGGGTTCTTCACTCGTCACATCCCCATCCCTCTCTCATACCCATTCCACTCTCGTCCCTCCTCTCAAACCCACCTTCCAGGAGTCCGTTTTGTCAGAGGAGAATGTCTCAGCATGGTTGCGGTTGGGAAGCAATGAGGAGCGAGGGAGGTTGTACCACGTACCGCCTGTGTGCTCCCAACTCAGCCATTCATTCTCATCCTTCCCCTCAGACCCACCTGCCAGGGGTCCGACTTGTCGTTGGAGAATGTCTCAGCATGGGTGCGGTTGGGCAGGGAGGATACGTCGAAGGAGAGAGGGTTCTTCACTCGCCTCATAGCCCTCGATACAGTCACAATCTGGTGAGTGGGGGTTACCAAGAGACATACAGGAGGTGTACTCCCATCATGGCCCTCGATACAGTCACAATCTGGTGGGCAAGAGGAATGGAAGGGAGGTGAGAGCGATGGTAACTTACAGCAATTCGTGGGCATATTACTGAACGTACCAATGGATTTATGAGCACAATTTGCAGCATACCCACTATGTTTGTTGCCATTCCATAGCTACCCTAAGGTTCATGGGTAAATTCCGCAACATACCCGTTGGGGCGAGAGGCTGGTAGCAGCTGAGAGGTCTGCGAGGGTGGGTTCCCGAGCGTGCTTCTTGCGGAATGACTGGGTGAGGGAAGATGGTGTGGGGGCAAGGGAAGATGGTGTGGGGGCAAGGGAAGATGGTGTGGGGGCAAGGTAAGAGAGAGGGAACGGAGATGGGGGAGTGAGAGCATGGAAACGAGGCTGAGAGGTCTGCGAGGGCGGGTTCTTGGGCATGCGGCTTCCGGAATGATTGGGTGGGGGCAGAAGGGGAGAGGTGATGGGGAGCGTTGAGGAGACAGAGTGAGTGATCAGGGAGCGAATGGAGGGGAGAGGATGGCTGAGAGCAAGAGTGCTTACAGCATAGGCAGCAGAAATCTCAGCGTATTGGAAGTAGGCGTATCGTGGGAAGGAGAAGACTGGAGAGCGACGCCACACCTCCTGCTGTAGGGTCTGGTGAGGGGAGAGCGGAGAGTGGAGGGAGAGGGGTGTGAGTGGAGGGAGAGGGGTGTGAGTGGAGGGAGAGGGGTGTGAGTGGAGGGAGAGGGTGTGAGTGGAGGGAGAGGGGTGTGAGTGGAGGGAGAGGGTGTGAGTGGAGGGAGAGGGGTGTGAGTGGAGGAGAGGGGTGTGAGTGGAGGGAGAGGGGTGTGAGTGGAGGGAGAGGGGTGTGAGTGGAGGGAGAGGGGTGTGAGTGGAGGGAGAGGGGTGTGAGTGGAGGGAGAGGGGTGTGAGTGGAGGGAGAGGGGTGTGAGTGGAGGGAGAGGGGTGTGAGTGGAGGGAGAGGGGTGTGAGTGGAGGGAGAGGGGTGTGAGTGGAGGGAGAGGGGTGTGCGTGGAGGGAGAGGGGTGTGAGTGGAGGGAGAGGGGTGTGAGTGGAGGGAGGGGTGTGAGTGGAGGGCGAGGGGTGTGAGTGGAGGGGGAGAAAAGAGTCGATTTTTGAGTCGACTCATAAGTAGCGTGGGAAGGTGAAAACAGGTGAGCGGCGCCACACCTCCTGCTGCAGGGTCTGGTGAGCCAAGGGGGAAGGGCGAGTGGAGGGCGAGTGGAGGGCGAGTGGAGGGCGAGGTAGGCATGGGTGTGGGAGAATCGAAGGTGAAAGACGTGTGTTTGGGAAGACAGAGGGTGAGGGGATTGGTGAAAGGCATAGGAAGGGTTGACCGAACAGTGGATGGGGGAGCGAGACGGGGAAACAAAGGGGTGTGGGGAGGTGAGGAGAATTGCAAAAGCTCAGTTGATAGACGAGACGGTTGGGCCATGGTGAGGTGGTTTTTGAGAAGATTTTTTAAAATATATCCTACTAAAAAAAAAAAAAAAAAAGAGAATTCTCAAAGCCCACCTGCAAAGACAAGACAGCTAACCTGATAGACAAGACGGCTGGCCCACGATGAGAACGACATGGACTGCTGCTGCTGCTCCTCCTCCTCCACCACCCCCTCTCCCTGCTTTGCACTTGTGTAGACGGCCAATTCCGTTATCTCCTGCTGTCCTTCCTTCGCCTGCCTTTGCATCGCCTGCCCCTGTTCTGCCTGCCCCTGTTCCACCTGCCCCTGTTCCACCTGCCCCTGTTCCACCTGCCCCTGTTCCACCTGCCCCTGTTCCACCTGCCCCTGTTCCACCTGCCCATGTTCCACCTGCCCCTGTTCCACCTGCCCCTGCTCTACCTGCCCCTGCTCTACCTGCCCCTGCTGTAGCGCCGCCTGTAGCGCCACCTGTGGGACCTTCGCCCCATGCTGCATCCCCTCCTGTAGCTTGCCCTGTGCTGCATCCCGTGGCATGTGCGCTGGCCGTTCACCCACCCCTTGGCCTGTCCCCTCCCCTTCTTCTACTCCTCTCATCCCCTCACCCTTTCCCTTCTCTCCCTCAACAACCCTTGTACCCCTCACTGCCTCGCCCCGTACACTCTCCACACCAGCACGCCTCCTCAACCCAGGCAACGCCCACAGCCGACCCTTCCGCATCCCATACTCGTCCTCCTGCCATGCCTTCACCTTACCCTCCTTCTCCTCCTTCTCCTCCTTCTCCTCCTTCTCCTCCTTATCCTCCTTACCCCCTTATCCTGTTCATCCTCGGCTCGTGCTCTCGAATGGGCGGTTTTGGAAGCACTGGTTGCTGCGAGGTGGGGTCTGAGGCTTGAGGGGCGAGATTGGGGTTGTAGGTTGCTGCAGCTCGTAGCAAAGCCGTGACTCCCGCCTGGTGCACAGATAATGGAGGGAGTAATGGGTAAGAGAGAAGGAGGAAAATGATTTTTCTTGTCGACTGAAAGATTGGTCTGAGGATGGGAAGGCAAGGAGGCTGGAGGCATATGCAGGTGGTGGCTGCTCGAAGCAGGGCCGTCACTCATGCCTGCCTGGTGCAAACCTAACGGTGGGAGGAGTGGGAGTGCGAAGAGAAGGCAAAGGAGGAATGGTGGAAAAGAAGAGCGAATGAACGAGGAAGAGGAGGAAAGGAGGAAGAGGATGGGGTAGTGAGCGAGGTGGGGGAGAGCGGAGGAGGAGAGTGGAAAGAGATGTTCATGGCAAGCAGGAAGGTAAGGGTTGGGATGAAGGAGAGGTGGCAAGCAGGAAGGCAGAGGGCAGGCAGGCAGAGGGCAGGCAGGCAGAGGGCAGGCAGGCAGAGGGCAGGCAGGCAGAGGGCAGACAGGCAGAGGGCAGGCAGTCTGCAAGAAGGGGAGGGAAGGTGCAACAGCAGCTGCTCTGATCTGAGGGCATTCTAACCCATCCTCCCCATTGCCCCCTACCACCTAGTGCATCCATCATTTCATCCCATCGCGCACATGGTAAAGGTCGGACAGGGAAACCCCGTGTCCGAAGAAGCGGCGAGCAATGGAGCGAACCAACCCTGAGTGAGCCGCCACCAGGCGCTGCTGGGCTAGGGGTGCCTGGGCCGCACTGGGGAGAGGGGGGGGTTGGGGAGACGAGGGGGAGGTGGAGGATGGGAAAGGGTAGGATGCTGGGCCAACGCGGCGAGGGGGCGAGTTCGGATGGGTATAATCCAAGGAGTTCTGAACAACCCTAAGGGCGTCGCCAAGGGGGTCTGAGAGCGAAGGGGGTATGCACATAGGAGGACAGAGAGCAGAAGTAGCAGCTGATGCTTACAGGTGCACCAGGCCCCGGGAATGGTTGTTGTCGCTAGCTGCTGCAAGATCCCGCATCACTGATTTCTGATCCGAGTGCTCTGAGTTTTGAGACGTCTCAAAGCCCACAGAATGAACGTCTGCAGCACTGATTGCTGCATGCAAGCCAGACTGCTCAGGTGGTGATGCGTGCCCGCTGCTGCTGCTCTGGCGGCCATTGCTATTGCTATCAATGGTGCTGGTGCTGCTGCTGCTGGTATTGCTGCTGATGGCACTGCTGCTGCTGCTGCTAGTTGTGCTGCTGGAGCTGGTAACCACTCTGCGCTGGTGAGCATTGAGTTGCACAACCGCCTGAACATGGGAGGGAGCAATGAATAAGGAAGAAAACATGCCCCACACATGCACACACAGAGGAAACCGCATGTAATGAGACTGCTTTTGAGTCGACTCAAAAAATGAATAAGGGAGAAAACAAGCCCCACACATACACACACAGAGGAACAGAGGGACATACTAAGCTACTGCGTCAAGGCAAAATTGGAATCACATAGAGTTCTCAGACATCACCCACTCATTCACTCACACTCACTCACTCACCCACCCACTCCTTCACTCGCACTCACTCACTCATCCACCCACTCCTTCACTCGCACTCACTCACTCATCCACCCACTCATTCACTCACACTCACTCACTCACCCACCCACTCCTTCACTCACACTCACTCACTCACCCACCCACTCCTTCACTCACTCACTCACTCACTCACTCACCCACTCCTTCACTCACACTCACTCACTCACACCACCCACTCCTTCACTCACACTCACTCACTCACCCACCCACTCCTTCACTCACACTCACTCACTCACCCACCCACTCCTTCACTCACACTCACTCACTCACCCACCCACTCCTTCACTCACTCACTCACTCACTCACTCACCCACTCCTTCACTCACACTCACTCACTCACCCACCCACTCCTTCACTCACACTCACTCACTCACCCACCCACTCCTTCACTCACGCTCACTCACTCACCCCACCCACTCCTTCACTCACACTCACTCACTCACCCACCCACTCCTTCACTCACACTCACTCACTCACCCACCCACTCCTTCACTCACACTCACTCACTCACCCAACCACTCCTTCATTCACCTTCATCACACGACTGTAAGCCTCAGCTTCCTGCTGGCTCAACCGACCCCCAGATCCTGCACCTCCCCTCTCCTATGCCACACCACTTCCCCCAAAGCTGCACGCGCAGCCTTCAACTCTACACGCCCCTCACTCACACTTACTCACCTTCATCACGCGGCTGTATGCCTCAGCTTCCTCCTGACTCAACCGACCACCCGACCTTGCAGAATCCCTCTCCCATGCCACGCCACTTCCCCCCATAGCTGCACGCAAACCATCCATCCCCAAACGCCCCACACTCGTACTCCTCTGCTTGTTGCTGCCCCCTCGCTTACTTCTCCCCCGTTTCTCTCCTCCCCACGCCTCACTCCCTCCCTCCTGCTCCTCCCCAGCCCCTGCCTCCCTTCCTGCTTCCCTTCTGGCCTCCCTCCCTGCCTCCTTCCATGCCTCCTCCATGCCTCCCTCTCGTCTTCCCCAATAGCCAATTCTCCTCCTCCCCATACCTTCACATCCGTATCTTTCTTGGCTTCTCCGTTGCCCCATCTCTGACTGGAAGCACCACTCCTCCTCTGCCGTCCACCTTCAGCCACTGCATGCCGCCCACTTTCTGTGGCATGCTGCCCGCTTGCTGCTGCCTGCCACACACCAGCTTCAAAGCTCGTACTTCTTCTCCTCATCCTCACCCGACCCATGTTCAAACCACCAGCACCAGCAGCAGCAGCATCACCAGCAGCAGCATCACCAGCAGGAGCACGAGTAAACGCTGTACCAGAGTTACTAGCAGCACCCTTTGCAGGACTGGAAGCAGGAGCAGCAGGAAACAGCCAGGCGTCATCGTGAGCCGTCCAGGGCAGGACCGAGCGGCCAAGCTCGGCAGCTAGCGGGGAAGGCATTACCTGGCGGCAGATCTCTGCCACAACATGGGCGGCGCCTGCCGTCCACATCTCCCTGGCTACAGCTGACGCTACAGCCGACCTCTGCCCTTCCGGTATCTTCTCCACCTCCAAAAACGGCACTTGCAGAAACGAAGGACCCTTAGACGGGAATACATCTGCTGCTCTAGGTGCTGAGACTCTTCCTGCTGGATCTGCTGGTGCTGCTGCTGCTGAATCTGAATCTGCTCGTACTGGTTCTGCTGGTGCTGCATGTGCTGCTTCTGCTGCTGATTCTCCTGTGGATGCACCAGCCTTCCCTGAATCCACAGCATCAGCAGAATCACCACCAGCAACGCCATCACGAGCACCACCCCAAGCACCATGGGCCTCCGACGTACCATAGACATCAGGAGCCCTATGGCCATCAGGGGCAGCACGGGCATCAGAATCACCTTGGGCATGAGGAGGGCCATGGGAGCCATACAGCAGAGCGTACCCTTCCTCCAGCCACTTGTGCAGCGCAGCTGCCCTTGCTCTCGCACCTCTTTCATCTGCATCCCCCTCTTCCCTCCCCCCTCCCTCCCCTGACCTACCACGCCTCACCCACGATTTCTCCTGTCTGCCCATGTGACCTACCTCTCCCCTCCCTCTTTCCCTCCCCATCCCACTCTCCCCCACCCTCACGCTCCCCCTCCCTCTGCCCCTGCCCTTTCCTGTCCCCCTCGCCCTTCTGCTGCTCCCGGTACTGTCACAAACACCACCTTCGGACCCCTTATATGGAGTGTGACGGGTTCGAAGTGACTGTAACGGGAGGTTCTGCAGGGCCTGATCGTCCATCAACAAAGAGGGTTTCTCCCCGTGACTATAACGAACGACCGTTTCTAAGGCCCTCGCCCTCTGTGGCGAAGACGTGTCCCTCTGCGGGATGCTTGCAATGGGACCAGATTGTGCTTGTAACAAATCTCTTGTGGCGGGTCTGGCAACACCACTGACGCTCTGCCTCGTGCCGGAGCCCAAGGAGGCTGTTCCACTACGTGGGGTGCTTTTAAAGGAGATTTTCCCAGTGGATAGTCCCCTGCTCTCGCTGCCACTGCTGCTGCTGCTACTGCCACTGCTGCTGCTACAGCTGCCGCTGCTAACGCTGCTGCTGCTGCTCTTACTCCGGCTGCTTCTATTGCTGCTGCCGCTTCTCCTCCTGCTACCTCTGCCCTTGTTCCCGCCGTTGCAGTTGCTCCCGCTCACGCTGTCACCGCACCCGCCATCCCGCCCCGAGCTATGGGGATTGCGCCATGCTCCTGTGTGACGAGACGATCTTTTAGGCGCATAATAAATGCTTTCAGTGTTTCCATCTTGCGTCAATCCATCCATAATCCGCCTGGATCCTTGCACAAGAGAGCAATCGCGCCTCAGTGCATCCGAATTCGGGCTCGATTCATCCGGAATTTTACCGGATTCTGGCCCTTCTGCGGGCCTAGTACCCTCGATATTGCCGGCTGCATCTCTGCCCGAAAGCATGTTAGGTCCCTCAGAAGAGTTTCGACGCACCTCAGGTCTGTTTCTGCCTCCCAAAATTCGCCCAGTGGATGTGGCAAACACCCGACCCGGGTTCAAAACCTGGCTGGTCAAGATTTCGTTCTGAGGGGCGGAAGCAGTGAGCGACCTTGGAGAGGCAAGGAGCAGGCCTGGAGAGGACGGAAGCTTCCCGAAAAATACTGACGATTTGCTGGAAATCTTCCTGGGTTGTGCGAGTCCGCGAACGGCCACGCCGGAGAGGAGAAGCGGTGGGGTAAACGCCGCCATGGTTGCAGATTTTCCGTGGTTAACTTACCGTGGTAGTAGTACAACAGTGGCGTTACCATGCGGATCAGCGAGAGTGATACGATGAGCAGGCGGTGAAGCAGGGGAGACGAATCTGAGACAAATCTCGTCAGAATAGGCGACGACTCAAAACAGGTCTGACAGATAACCTCAGGGTACTGTCCGGGCTAAGACCTGAGATGACAAAAAGTCGCGAGACGAATCGAAACGGAGCGACAGACACCCTCAAGGCAACTGTCAGGGCTAGATTATGATGTAGGGAACCTTATCCACGATCAGACGGCATACCATACGGGAACGGTACAGTCGCTCAGAACGAGAGCATTTGTTTACTCTTCCGACGGTTCTAGTGAAGCACGGATGACCACAGACTCATGCGATAGACTTCACGGCTGTCTCTGGTCTTAGTCACCCATTGTTGCGACCTCCTACCGACGTAAGAAACATCCCACTGCTTTGCTCGCAACCGTAAGATAGGATGGGACTTCTCTCTTCGCCAACCAACCACAGAATAACCCCAAGTCGAGCCAGCTAAGCTGTTGGGGCCCTGAAAGTGACACACATCGCCAGTGAAGTACTTCTTGGGATTGCCAATCTCTCTGCTGACGCGAGACCTGCTGCCGAGACTTCCACTTCTTGCGGCTGAAAATCCTCCATAAAAGTGCCTCCTCGCTAGAGGTACAGCAAGAAGAATTATACACGTTCAACTAGCTTTCCCCTCGTATAATAAAACGTGCACATGTAGCTACACGCAATGACTGCTTGTTTGAAAAGTGTAGTCGGAGCGCAGATGCCAAGGCTTCTCACTCACTATTGATGGGACGCCGTTGGACCAATCAGAGCACCCCGCGAGTCGTTCAGCCAGGTGGTTTACCGACCGAACCACACACTTCGTTTCCCATTTCACGCCCTCCTCTACCGCTCTCCTTTTGCCCTCTATCTCCCCACTCCACCCTATTTAAACCCACCCCATCCTACCCCACCCGAACTCGCCCTCACCTCTCCCTTCCTCTCCTCTCCTCCCTTACAAGTTCTATCCCTCTCATCTCCGCACCTCTCTCGTCATGTGTGGCGGAGGAACCGACACGCATTTCCAACAAAACCAGTTCTAGGCAAAGATAGATTCACACAAAGCTGGCGGTTTTGAGTTTAGGGCGGGTCAGGTCACGGAAATGTCGATCGGAGCAGCGGCGGCCCATCCCGCTTCGCAATACGCGCGCTGTTCGTAAAGCTGGTGCTACTAACGGGGGGGATCTTAGCTCTAGCCTTCTGGTTCAGTCCTTTCGTTTTAATCGACGGCGAGGGCCCCGGTTGGCGCAGCCTCGTCGCTGATTCCGCCGCAAATTCCGCCGCAACAGCCGCTCAGCCGTGCGAAAAAGGCGCCGGCACTGATGCTGCCACTATCGGCGCGCGCGATCTTGTCGACGCATCCGCCGCTGCATCCGCCCGCCGCGTTTGACGCTCGCGCCGTGCAATTCGGCGGAAAGCCGCTTTGCTGGTGGTCCGGCGACCACGGCGGGTTACGCCTGGGACGACGACGCGAGCCGCGATCGGCGGCGGAAAAGCGGAAGCACTCCGATTCCGCCGCAAATTCCGCCGCAACAGCCGCTCAGCCGTGCGAAAAAGGCGCCGGCACTGATGCTGCCACTATCGGCGCGCGCGATCTTGTCGACGCATCCGCCGCTGCATCCGCCGCCGCGTTTGACGCTCGCGCCGTGCAATTCGGCGGAAAGCCGCTTTGCTGGTGGTCCGGCGACCACGGCGGGTACGCCTGGGACGACGACGCGAGCCGCGATCGGCGGCGGAAAAAGCGGAAGCACTCCGGCCAGCGGCGCGGGGGTGTGCTGATGTTTGGAAGCGGGTGCGCGGGGTGCGTTGCGGGGCAGTGGTGTAGCTTCGAGATCGAAATACGACCCGCCCGCGAATGGGTGTTTGCGGCAACAGAAGCGTTTGTGGACTTTCTTATAGTGGAGCTGTGGGGGCCTTCTATCGCGTACGCGGACGTGAAGCGTATTGGGAGCGACAGCAAGCGGTGGAAGGTGTCTTATCGAGTCTGGGACGCCGGCGAATACACGTGAGTGAACTCTTCTGGTGTGAGTGAGTTATTCAGATGTTAGTCACCACTCACACACACCTGAAGTAACCCTCCACCCACACCCGAACACCTCCACCCTCAGCCTAACACCCTGTTCCCCTCGACCCAACATTTTTCTTCAATCTCAGCTCACTTGCTACCTTCTTTCCCTCTCACTTTACTTTCCCTTTCCCTCCCACCTTCTATCCACCCTCCCTCCACACCTACCCCCCCCAAAGCAGAGGTAGCCTCATGCGCAAGAAAGTCCCCTCCCGCTTCTCCAACCCCCTCCTCTTTCCCCGCCAACCACCCACCCCACCTCCCCGTTCCGGGTGCAGCGTCACAGTCACATCTGGCTGCACCGATCTCAACTCATCTGCACCACGAGATTTGCCCAACAAGTTGTCAATCCTTTGCCAAGCGGACCTTCCTTTCAGTTGACTCAAAGATCCCCCTCGCATCCCCCTCGCATCCCCATCGCATCCCCTCGCATCCCCCTCAGTGCAGCGCCAAGGTCATTTCCTGCTGCACCGATCTCAACTCAGCTCTCTATCTCCACCCTACTTCCACCCTCCATCCCCTTGAGCGAGTTTTGAGAATTCTCAAAACTCGCTGCCGCGCGGACCTTTTCTTGAGTTCCCCCCCCCTTATTCCCCCCTCGGTGCAGCGTCACAGTCATATCCGGCTGCACCAATCTCAACTACACCGCCAAATTCGCCAAGCAAGGAGTCGAGCCCTTTGCCAACTGGACCCTCACCGTCGCCCACCCATTCGCAAACCTCCCCACCTCGAGATATTTCTCCCAGTCTCCTGCGGAATCTTCCCCAACACCTGGCAACGGGGCAGGGAAGGGGGGGAAACGGGGGAACACAGGAGGGGAAGTGGAGCGGGTATTAGCAGAGAGGGCGGGGAGGGTGCAGGCGGGAGCAGAAACAGGAGTGGACGGGGGGAAGGATGGGGGGGGGAGGGGGGGGCGGAGAGGGGAGCAGAGGGGGAGGGGGGGGGAGATTGGCTAGCGGAATCAGAGGCGGAGTGGCATGAAGCGCCATGCGACCAGGCTGTTGCTGGCAGATGGCTCCACGTGGACAAAGCCTACGGGTGACGTGGCCATGGGTGTTGCATGCTGACGTGGCTTTTGAGGAGCTACTCCCACTCCCCACTCCCATCTTCTCTCCCTTGCGCCAATGTGAAAGCTTCCCATGCGCCTCACCTCTTCCCATGCGCCTCACCTCTTCCCATGCGCCTCACCTCTTCCCATGCGCCTCACCTCTTCCCATGCGCCTCACCTCTTCCCATGCGCCTCACCTCTTCCATGCATGCGCCTCACCTCTTCCCATGCACCTCACCTCTTCCCATGCGCCTCACCTCTTCCCATGCGCCTCACCTCTTCCCATCCGCCTCACCTCCTCCCATGCGCCTCACCTCTTCCCATGCGCCTCACCTCTTCCCTTACTCACGTGCATTTCACCCCTTGCCTCAAACCTCTGTCGTCTGTTCTCTCCCTTCCGTACTTTTCACCCCTTGCCATCCGTCCTCTCCCTTCCTCTCATGGCTGGTGGCGTCTCTTCCCGTGTGCTTCACCGCTTCCCCCCCCCCCACTGCGGTGGGTGGAGGCGCTGGCGGCGCAGGGCATTCACCTCTTGTCTTATCCGACCCTCTGCCCTCCCTCTGCCCTCCCTCTGCCCTCCCTCTGCCCTCCCTCTGCCCTCCCTCTGCCCTCCCTCTGCCTCCCCCTTCCTCTGTGTGTCGCAGGTGGCGTTTCTTCCCGTGTGCCTCGCCGGTGCCCCCGCCGTCGCGGTGGGTGGAGGCATTGCAGGCGCGGGGCATTCGGGAGATCAGCTTTGTGGGCGACTCGCACCAGCGCTTCCTCATGCTCTTTATAAACTACCTCGTTATGCACGACGTCGACGACGCCCTCTGGAAGTTCCACGGAGACATTGTCGTCAGCATCCCTCCACCCAAGGAGAGGACGGACTTAAAGCCGCTGAAATTGAATTTCTACTGGGTGGATGGGATGTACCATAACGACGAGTACGGATGCACGTAAGTCATTCCATTTTTCTGAAGCACCCTTAATTTCCCCCTTCTTCTTGTCGTCTTTTGTTTTTTTTTTAGTCGAACTCCTCAAGTCCTATATCATTGGTTCGTCGGCTCCTAACACTGTGGAATCTAGCTTTCAATAATCTTATTGTTTCTGTCCACCATCGCATGGACTCAGGTCCCCCTTCCCTCCCTCCCTCCCTCCCTCCCTCCCTCCCATCCTACCTCCCTCTCTGCAGCCGCCGAGGGTTCTGGTCGCACCGCAACACCACCTTCCCTGATTTGTCCCTTTCTGCCGACGTGACAATAATTGACGGTGGCTTCTGGGCCACCTGCAACTGCTTCCAGCCAGAACAAGCCTTCAGTAAACACCTCCCCGCATACGTCGCCTGGGCCAGACGTCAACTCGACAGGCTGCAAAAGTGGCATGCAAAACACAGCAGCGAAAATGATGCTCCTACGGGAACAAACGGGAAGCCATGGATGCTGTACCGGAGTATTGTCCCTTGGAAGCCGTATGGCGACTGCGGGGTTTTGGTTCCGACCAACTTGCTGATTGAGCACATGAATGGGATGATCAAGACGGAGATTCGGCGATACGGGATTGGGTATCTGGATGGGTGGCCGGTGGAGATCCCGAGGTATTTTGATACATGTAGTGTCAAGGATCGGCACTACACTTGCCATAAGGCGAAAGAAGGCACCAAGAATGGGATGTTTTATGGAGATGTTGGCGAGGCTATGGTGATGCACACCATGTACAATCTTCTATACAAACTCTGGTAGAGGTGTAGTAACGTGTATAATTGCCATAGGGAAAATATGCCACAAGTAACAATCATGTGACCCCGTAACGTCAATGGTAAAAAAAAATGCGTACGGTAACTGTATCGGGTATCGTGACGGGCTTGGTAAGTGGGGTCACGGAATCAGTCACTAGCAACAGCTAAAGAATCACGCGAATGGTAACACATGAAACTCCCGCCTGAAATTCCTGAAACCAGGCCGATTTCCCGCTCGCGCCAAACCGTGCAGAGAGAGGTTTGATGCACGCCTGTACCGTCGAGCCTCCAGCCCACCGTAACCAAACCACGACCCTACATGCTGTACACCCCCCTGCCCGCTACGGTTCCAACCAAGCACAGAAGCTTGACCCCAGCGGAACTCACTCACTTCCCGCCATCAGCTATTACTCACGCGATTACTAGTAGCTATAGCTTTCGCCAGCTGCCTTCCCCGTCACTCATCCTGGGCATTCGTTAGCAGCACCTGACGTCTATCAACGGTGCGTGCCTTAGCCCAAAAGCCTTTTCCCATCCGTTCACGTTTAGTCCCTTGTTACTCGATAAATACTAATAATATACATTACAAAAAAAAAACACAAAAAAAACTCGATCAGACCGCTGTCGCGATGCGCCCAGCGGCTGGCGCGCCGCTCCGCGCATCGCGCCTATCGGGCCCGGTCGTCGCGCGATGCAGTGCGGCCACCTCGCCGCTCGACGCATCGAGACGATCAAAAGCAGCCGCCGCCGCCGCGATGCGCATTGCGGCCAGCGTTTGGCCGCTCCGCGCATCGCGCCGACCGGCCGCCGCCGTCGCGATGCGCAATGCGGCCAGCTTTTGGCCGCTCCGCGCATCGCGCCGACCAGGCCGCCGCCGTCGCGATGTGCAATGCGGCCACACTGCTGGGCGCATCATGACGATCCGCCAAGCCAAAAGCCCGCCGCTCAGTGCGTCGCGCCTCTCTGTCCACTGCCGAGACCAGTGTGCCCATGCACTCTCGTCTAGCCTCCCCTCTCGTGCTCCCTTGTCTCCTACCCATCTCTTTCTCTCGTGCTCCCTCGCATGCCGTGTTATCCCCGGCCAAAGCCTCGATTATGGCAATTCCCTCTCTCGTGCCAGGCCACTCATTCCCTCTCCATCCCTCTCGCACACCCCCTCTCATACACACTCATCCCCTCTCCATCCCTCTCGCACACCCCCTCTCATACACACTCATCCCTCTCCATCCCTCTCGCACACCCCCTCTCATACACACTCATCCCCTCTCCATCCCTCTCGCACACCCCCCTCTCATACACACTCATCCCCTCTCCATCCCTCTCGCACACCCCCTCTCATACACACTCATCCCCTCTCCATCCCTCTCCCCCTCTCATACACACTCATCCCCTCCATCCCTCTCTCGCACACCCCCTCTCATACACACTCATCCCCTCTCCATCCCTCTCGCACACCCCCTCTCATACACACTCATCCCCTCTCCATCCCTCTCGCACACCCCCTCTCATACACACTCATCCCCTCTCCATCCCTCTCGCACACCCCCTCTCATACACACTCATCCCTCTCCATCCCTCTCGCACACCCCCTCTCATACACACTCATCCCCTCTCCATCCCTCTCGCACACCCCCTCTCATACACACTCATCCCCTCTCCATCCCTCTCGCACACCCCCTCTCATACACACTCATCCCCTCTCCATCCCTCTCGCACACCCCCTCTCATACACACTCATCCCCCTCCATCCCTCTCCCCCTCTCATACACACTCATCCCCTCTCCATCCCTCTCGCACACCCCCCTCTCATACACACTCATCCCCTCTCCATCCCTCTCGCACACCCCCTCTCATACACACTCATCCCTCTCCATCCCTCTCGCACACCCCCTCTCATACACACTCATCCCCTTTCCATCCCTCTCGCACACCCCCTCTCATACACTCATCCCCCCTCTCCATCCCTCTCGCACACCCCCTCTCATACACTCTCATCCCCTCTCCATCCCTCTCGCACACCCCCTCTCATACACACTCATCCCTCTCCATCCCTCTCGCACACCCCCTCTCATACACACTCATCCCCTCTCCATCCCTCTCGCACACCCCCTCTCATACACACTCATCCCCTCTCCATCCCTCTCGCACACCCCCTCTCATACACACTCATCCCCTCTCCATCCCTCTCGCACACCCCCTCTCATACACTCTCATCCCCTCTCCATCCCTCTCTCTCGCACACCCCCTCTCATACACACTCATCCCCTCTCCATCCCTCTCGCACACCCCCTCTCATACACACTCATCCCCTCTCCATCCCTCTCCCCCTCTCATACACACTCATCCCCTCCCCATCCCTCTCGCACACCCCCTCTCATACACTCTCATCCCCTCTCCATCCCTCTCGCACACCCCCTCTCATACACACTCATCCCCTCTCCATCCCTCTCGCACACCCCCTCTCATACACACTCATCCCCTCTCCATCCCTCTCGCACACCCCCTCTCATACACACTCATTCCCTCTCTTTCATCCCCTCTCATCCCCTCTCATCCCCTCTCATCCCCTCTCATCCCCTCACATACACTCTTATACACTCTCATACACTCGCATTCACTCTCATACGCTCTCATCCCCTCTCATCCCCTCTCATCCCATGTCACTCCCTCTAATCCACTCTCATACCCTCTCGTACCCACTCATATACACTCATATACACTCTCATCCCCTCTTATAGACTCCCATACACACTCATACACTCTCATGCACTCTCATTCACACTCATCCCCTCGAATCCCCTCACATCACCCCTCTCATCCCCTCTCATCCCCTCGCATCCCCTCTCATCCCCTCTCATATACTCTCACACACTCTCATACACTCTCTTACACACATCCCTCTCATCCACTCTCATACACTCTCATCTCCTCTCATACACACTCATACCTCCTAATCCGCTCTCATCCACTCTCATACACTTCCATACACTCTCATTCACACTTATCCCCTCTTATCCCCTCACATCCCCTCTCATCCCCTCTTATGTCCTCTCATCACTCTCATTCCTTCTCAATCCCTCTCATTCCTATTCATTCCCTCTCATTCCTTTTCATTCTCTCTCATTCCCTCACATCCGCTCTCATTCCCTCTCATCTCTCATTCCCTCTCATTCCCTCTCATTCACTTCATCCTCTTTCAGCCCCACTCTTTCCCTCTCATCCACTCTCATACACTCTCAACGCCTCTCATCCAATCTCACACACTATTATTCCCTCTCATCCCCTCTCATCCCCTCTCATACCCTCTTATCCACTCTCATTCACTCTCATTCACTCTCATACCCTCCCATCCACTATCATATACACTCTCGTCCACTCTCATCCCCTCTCATTCACTTTGATCGCCTTTCATCCCCTCTCATTCCCCCTCATAACCTATCATATACACTCTCATCCCTCCACATACTCTCTTACTCATTCCGTCTCATCCCCTCTCATCCCCTCTTATACACTATCATACACTCTCATACCCTTCCATCCACTATCATATACACTCTCATCCCCTCTCATACTCTCCCATACCCACTCATCCAGTCTCATCCCTCCTCATACACTCTCATACACTCTCATCCCCTCTCATCCCCTCTCATCCCCTCGTATGCACTCTCATACTCTCTCATTCACTCTCATACCCTCCCATCCACTATAATATATTCTCTCATCCCCTCTCATACTCTCCCATACACATTCATCCAGTCTCATCCCTCCTCATAAACTCTCAAACACTCTCATCCCCTCTCTTACACTCTCACACCCTATCATCCCCTCTCATCCCCTCTTATACACTCTCATTCACTCTCATACCCTCCCATCCACTATCATGCACACTCTCATTCACTCTCGTTCCCTTTCATCCCCTCTCATCCCCTCTCATCCCCTCTCATCCCCTCTCATCCCCTCTCATCCCCTCTCAACCCCTCTCATTCACTCTCATACACTCTCTTACACACTCCCATCCCTCCTCAGCCACTCTCGTACACTCTTATACACTTTTATTCACTCTCATCCCCACTCATCCACTATCGTATACCCTCTCATCCCCTCATCCCCTTTCATCCCCTCTCATACACTCTGAAGCACTCTCATCCCTTCTCAACCCGTCTCATCCATTCTCATCCCCTCTCAACCCCTCTCATTCACTCTCATACACTCTCATCCCCTCGCATACACTCTCATAGACTCTCAACCACTCTCATTCACTCTCCTACACTCTCGTACACTCTCATCCCCTCTCATCCACCCTCATACACTCGATGAGACTCTCATACCCTCTCATACCCTCTCATACCCTCCCATACAGTATCATATCCACTCTCACTCCCTCTTACACACTCTCATACAGTCTCATCCCCCCTCATCCTATCTCACACACTCTCATTCCCTCTCATTTCCTCTCACACCCTCTCATCACTTCTCGTTCCCTCTCATCCCCTCTCATCCCCTCTCATCCCCTTTCATATCCACTCTCACTCCCTCTCACACACTCTCATACAGTCTCATCCCCTCTCATCCTATCTCACACACTCTCATCCCTTCTCATTTCCTCTCATACCCTCTCATCCACTCTCATACACTCACTTACACACTCTCATCCCTCTCATTCCCTCTCATACACTCTCAGCCCCTCTCATCCTCTCTCATACACTCTTATACACTTTTATTCACTGTCATCCCCTCCCATCCACTATCGTATACACTCGCATCCCCTCTCATACACACTCATACCCCCTAATCCCCTCTCATCCCCTCTTATTTGCTCTCATACACTCACTTACACACTCTCATCCCTCTCAGTCCCTCTCATACACTCTCAGCCCCTCTCATCCTCTCATACACTCTTATACACTTTTATTCACTGCCATCCACTCTCATCCCTTCGCAACCCCTCTCATCCACTCTCATCCCCTCTCAACCCCTCTCATTCACTCTCATACACTCTCATCCCCTCGCATACACTCTCATAGACTCTCAACCACTCTCATTCACTCTCCTTTCACTCTCATTCACTCTCATCCCCTCACAACCACCCTCATACACTCAATGACACTCTCATACCCTCTCATACCCTCCCATACACTATCATGTCCACTCTCACTCCCTCTCACACACTCTCATATAGTCTTATCCCCTCTCATTCTATCTCACACACTCTCATTCCCTCTCATTTCCTCTCATACCCTCTCATCCCTTCTCGTTCCCTCTCATCCCCTCTCATCCCCTCCCATCCCCTCTCATACACTCTCATACACTTACTTACACACTCTCATCCCTCTCATTCCCTCTCATACACTCTCAGCCCCTCTCATCCTCTCTCATACACTCGTATACACTTTTATTCATGGTCACCCCCTCCCATCCACTATCGTATACACTCTCATCCCCTCTCATACTCACTCATACCCCCTAATCCCCTCTCATCCACCCTCATACACTTCCATACACTCTCATACACACACATTCCCTCTCATTCCCTCTTCTCCCTCATATGCTCTCATCCACTCTTATTTACACTCATCCACTCTCACACACTCTCATACACTCTCATCCCCTCTCATGCACTCTCATACACTCTTGTACACTCTCATCCCCTCTCATACGCTCTCATACACTGTTCCCCATCTCCTCCCATCATCAACCCGTCCCCTTTGCAGCCCTCTATTTCACACAAAAATTTAGTTAGATGTGACATTCTCTCTTGTCTCCTCATCATGCCCCTAACTCTTGTTTGGCGCTTAAATTTCCCCCTTACAATTTCTCTCACGCACAATACTACACTTTATACACCCTGCATGGTCTTATTGTCCAACAGAGCTTGTGGCGGTCGTGAGGAACAACATGTTTCGCCTCATACGTTCAAGGTGGGAGGTTGATGTAGAATACCGATGTTAACCATCAAACAAGCTGAAGTGCATTGTTAATATCAACCATCATTCATTTCCAATCAAGAATTTTTCACGTTAACTTGCAAACTTCCATGTGGTACCCCCCCAACTGTTATCTTTTGGTCTTTTAGCAATTTTGATGTGCAGGAAGATGATGCTGTCAACATTTACAAGGGGAAGCTCTACCCAACTGCTGTAGCAGCAAGGGAGGAGGTGCGGTTGTACTGTAGGCAGCAGACGTTTGCTCCCTATTTCCGCTATAATCGGTCGAATCTCATTGAGGTGTGGTGCAAGTCCATGGAGGGCAAGGTATGGCCTCGTGGGGAGGTGCACAGCGGAGAAGGGATGTGTCCATTTCGTGTTGTCATACGGGGACCGCGCTATAGTAACCTGCGGGTCACGGTGGCTAGTTTGGATCACGCCGATATGTGTGTCACCGAGGCTGCAAGGATTCGGAGGGATGAGGTCAAAGAGGTTGCGCGTGAGATGCTAAAGCATGGCGACGTGAGACCTCATGCGTTGATCAGTCGTGTTAGGGCGGTTTACGTGTGGAGTGCTCGTACACGGTTGCGCGCGAGGTGCTTTTTGAGCTAAGGAATGCGGATCCGTTTTGTGGAGACGATGGGTTTCAATACATGGAGGACCTGTTAGATAAGTTCAAGGATGATAATCCTTCATCTGTCGTGTCCATGGTCAGACGGGGAAATAACTTCTACCGTGCGGGAATTATTTTTCCAGGGGCGAGAGATGCGGTCATGAACTGCCTGCCGATCATTTTCGCGGATGGATGTCATAATAAGACCGCATGGGGGGGATACACTTTGAACATATGCATGTTGGATAGCCAACATAAACTTGTTATGTTGGGATGCGCATGGGTGGAGGGTGAAAACAAGCATGCATGTGCCTTCTTATTCAATCTCCTGTTGGAAGCCGTTCCGGAGGTGAACTCCTCTAACTATGTTATGATGCATGATAGGGGAGGGGCATGGATATCCGCCACATCCACTTGTCTCCCCCTCATACGGGAGTCCTTTTGCATCACCCATTTGGTTCGAAACTTCAAAAATAAGTTCAGGACAGATCTGGACGGACGAATTCTTGCAGCAGCAGCAGCCTTGACACCGCATGTGTATCTCAAGACAATGGAAAAGATTGAGATGGAATGTCCCGGTGGATCCTCCTACCTTGTCGACAATGAATTGGGTGTTAAGTGGGCGACAACTTATTTTGGAGCACCGCGTTACGGATGCTTGTCTTCTAACCCCGTTGAGTCTCATCATGCGTCGCTTTCGGGATTGCGGGATAAGAATCCGCCGCAGGTGCTGCTGGGCTTGGCGGAAAAGCTATCGACGAAGATCGAAAAGAGGCGCCGACTCTATTCCGAGATGACAGCCGCTGACTTCCCTCCTAGGACAAAGCCAATAGTCATTGGGAATCGCGATGAGAGCAGAAGATACAGGGTGGCTGAATCGGGAGAGAACGAGTACATAGTACGCGAAGGGGAGGAGAGGCGAGTCGTGACCATAAACCCCGAGGATCCTGCAGCCACCCACTGCTCATGTGGCTACACCAAGTAAGTGGTGGTTAGGTTCTGTTTCTACCATTGCTAGCATATGTTTCACTGGTATATATACTTGATCCAACTCAACCATGAATATTGCGCTAATTAGGTTTTTAAATATCATGCAAGATCAATCCTCATCATGCACCCACTCTAAATTTCAGCCCCTATTTATCCCAAAAATAGAGGAATTTGGGGACAATAAAGACTGCGTAACTTCCTGCTCATTTATCCCAACATTAGGGATATTCGGAGCGGCCAAAGGGCCATGCAATCCTTGTTCCTGCTGCAATTATTTTGTTTCCTACAACCTTATGCCAATTTATCCCAGCCTTGTACCCTCTCTCTCTTTTGTGCCCATGTGTCCAAGCAATAGGGGCATTCCCCGTGCGATATGGGGAACATGGCGATAGGCGATATCCTGTTTAAACATAAATTTCTAGTTGCCTACGACTCAAAGAACCTTCCCTATCCCTCTGACCATCTACCTTGCCCATGCAGGGTAATTAGGTCGACAAAGTGTCGTGTGTACATTTGCTTGCCGTAATCGTATTTGCTGAATGTGGGCTTCTTTATGCCATGTGTTCAAGTGTGTTAAGAAATGTTGCTGGTTTTAGCAATTCAATGAAGAGTTCATACTCCCTCTTCTATTACCCCTTACGCAGGTCTTTACTTCCCCATACCCTTGGGTGGGCACAATTTCTCATATTTACTGGAAGTATGATAGTTTTAATCATGCGTTAATTCCTTTCTACCTCTTCTCACATTTATCCCGAAAACAGGGAATACGGGCTGCCATGCGTGCACATCTTCGCCGTGTTCAGAAACGATGGTCACAAGGCGCACGCAGTGATCCATAAATATCACACAACGGATGCACTGCAACAAGTGTACAGAACGCCGATTAAGCTCCTGGACCCAACCTCTGTGGTCCCTGACGGCGTTACCCTCCCCCCGGTCTACAAGAAGAAGGCAGGTCGGCCACCAAAGCGAAGAATGCGGTCCACAGGAGAAATGGACCCAATCAAGTTGCGCAAGTGTGGAAAGTGCGGTGAGTACGGTCATAATGCCCGAACCTGCGAGGTCCGTGCAGCCAACAGAGTGTTGTGGGAGGCTTTGCAAACCCCCGCAGGGCAATTGTCAGTGCAAACAATGACGGACGCAGATGGTGCAGTCCATGTCGCCCTGTGCAACGCTTGCAACCGAACTCACCGCAGAGGGATTCGGTGTCAAGTCATGCGTAGACAAGGACAGCCGGGTGATGTGGAGGAGGAGTCGTGCAGCGATGATGATGGGAGTTTCGGTTTGGTGGAAGGGATTGGCGAAGAGGATGAGGAGGGACGTGATGATCGCGATACCGTGACATATGGTGGGGCGCTGATCGAGGTGTTTGGTAGGGATCCCGGAATTGCCGGTGATGTTGGTCTTGATGAACGCACAACCACGAACTCAGACTTGCCCACTCAAACAGAAAATTCCGGGGCAACACAGATAGACATCACACAAGAGAGTCAGGCGGGACGAGTGTCTGACAATTCGGTGGCCGAGCGGGTGGAAGGGCTGAGGACTGCGGAGGACGTGGTTGCAGTGCGTATAAGGCGGATGCAGGGATTACTCCTGCAGCGTGATGTGGCAAGACAGGCAAGAGAGGAACGTGCAACAACTGAAGGTAGGGGCAGAGGCAGGGGACGCCATGCAAGCACAGGGCAACGGGGAAGAGGGAGAGGGAGAGGGAGAGGCAGAGGCAGATATGGATCTCGGTCTTCCACGGAACAGCAGGGTGGAGCTGAACGGATGGAACAAAATGGTGGGAGCAGATTGGAAGGGATGGGAGGTCAGCAAGGGTTGAGAGGGCAGCAGGAAAGGGGAAGACAGCCGGGGTTGGGAGGGCAGCAGGGGATGGGAGGGCTGCAGGGGATGGCAAGGCAGCATGGGATGACACTGCAGCAAGGGGGGGAAGGACAGGCGGGTGTGGGGGGGCAGCATGGGATGGGAGGGCAGCAGGGAAGGGGAAGACAGCCGGGGTTGGGAGGGCAACAGGGCAGTGGAGGACAGGCGGGGTTGGGAGGGCAGCAGGGGATGGGAGGGCTGCAGGGGATGGCAAGGCAGCATGGGATGACACCACAGCAAGGGGGGGGAGGACAGGCGGGTGTGGGAGGGCAGCATGGGATGGGAGTGCAGCATGGGATGGGAGGGCAGCAGGGGATGGGAGGGCAGCAGGGGATGGGAGGGCAGCAGGGGATGACAGGGCAACCGGGGAGCGGAGGACAGTCGGTAATGCGAGGGCAGCAGGGGATGGGAGGGCAGCAGGGGATGGGAGGGCAGCAGGGGATGGGAGGGCAGCAGGGGATGGGAGGGCTGCAGGGGATGACAGGGCAACCGGGGAGCGGAGGACAGTCGGTAATGCGAGGGCAGCAGGGGATGGGAGGGCTGCAGGGGATGGGAGGGCAGCATGGGATGGCCAGGCAGCACGGGATGACAGGGCAGCAGGGGAGCGGAGGACAGGCGGGGTTGGGAGGGCAGCAGGGACTGGGAGGGCAGCAGGGGATGGCCAGGCAGCACGGGATGACAGGGCAGCAGGGGAGCAGAGGACAGGCGGGGTTGGGAGGGCAGCAGGGACTGGGAGGGCAGCAGGGGATGGCCAGGCAGCACGGGATGAAAGGGCAGCAGGGGAGCGGAGGACAGGCGGGGTTGGGAGGGCAGCAGGGACTGGGAGGGCAGCATGGGATGGCCAGGCAGCACGGGATGACAGGGCAGCAGGGGAGCGGAGGACAGGCGGGGTTGGGAGGGCAGCAGGGACTGGGAGGGCAGCAGGGGATGGCCAGGCAGCACGGGATGACAGGGCAGCAGGGGAGCGGAGGACAGGCGGGGTTGGGAGGGCAGCAGGGACTGGGAGGGCAGCAGGGGATGGCCAGGCAGCACGGGATGACAGGGCAGCAGGGGAGCGGAGGACAGGCGGGGTTGGGAGGGCAGCAGGGACTGGGAGGGCTGCAGGATACGAGAGGCCAACTTGGGTCCCAGGAAGCGTTACAAGGGCATAATGGGTACGTTCAAGCCCTTAACCAACGATGGGGACGCGTGGGAATGCCAATGCACGGGAATGTTGCAGGCCTGGCGCATTGTTGGAGCCATGTGGGCATGCCATTGCAACAGGAGGTTGAGGGGTCGGTGCCTGGTATGCACACCAGGACGCCACGCCAACAGGGGGACGAGAACAGTAACAGCTCTGTGCAGTAGAACTTGTGGGCTGTGCTGAATCTTTTACTCATGGTTACTTGATTGACTTCAAGAGCGCACTGCAACTGGTTTGATCGAATGTCCTTTTTTTTTTACCAACCGTGGCTCTGCACTGTCTCAAAAACACTCCCATGCAAGCGTATGGTACCAATATTCAACAGTTGTGTTAATCAGTATCATTTGCTCAACCTCTAGTTACTTATTTCTATTGATAGTGTTGTTGAGTGTGTCCATTTTTTACAGGACGTGAGGCATGAAGGTGAGCAAGGGAGTTGGTGAATGAAGTACCTACCCTTAATCACGGCTCTGGCTGACAAGGCGTGGCATGCACATACCTGTTGTGGCATATTGGAATGTTTTTAACAATACCACACAGTCTTACGGGCATGCCACTCCATCAGTAGGTTGCATATACTACACTTGGGACTATGAGTATGCATGGTTACCGTAGTACGGCAAGTTGACCTCAAGGGTCATGAGCGTTTTTCGTCAAGTTTGATCGTAGTCTGGCAGACCTACCCTCGTCCACTTTGTCTCGAATCATGCTTGGGCAAGCATACCGTACCTTCAGACCGCGGTAGTTTCATGTGTGTTAAACTGCTCAAAATTGTCTTGCCACCCGTACCATTACCTTAAGTGTTGTTCTGTTTCCATACAAGGACACCTTGTTATGGGGGTAGGAAGTGTGTGGCACAGTTGCACTTGCTAGCTTTATGACTTTCCTTCATCCCTGCAGGGGTTGACATGGTACATACGGTAATTGTGTTAATTAATATATGTATGTCCCATGGTCTTGTATGGAGCAGTTTTGCACATGTGCGATTGCTGAAAGCAAAGATGGTGTTTGATACGCATGTTTCAAATCCTGCACGAAAGTATGCAACGATGAAAGTAGTGAAAATGCATACAACGCCAGAAATATATCATGTGTTTTTTTAAATGATCAGATCAGCTAGGTGCCCCACGGAGTAGACACACCTCTAACCGAAACCATGCTCGCAGAACTTTCCAACACTGAACCGTCCAAATTGACAAAAAAAAAAATTCCGCACCACGCTTATCGTCCCATATACCTCATCAACAACACCGTCTAACAAGCCACAGCCGCCCACACCAATTTACCCACCCTCTAACCGTCACTTCAGATAACATTTATAGGTGTATGCACGGAGTCAGCTCCTGCCTTCTCATCTCCTTCTGCCATCCGTTCTCCAGCACCCTCGATATGTGTTTTGCAGCCTTGACCTTCGCAGTCCTCATCCCGCACCTCTCCTCGCCCACCGATATACCCAGCACTCTTGGTGGATCCGTCATCGTCATGGTAATTTACCGTCTCCCTTGTTATCACTCCGACTGCTTTCCTCCTAGCTCTCCTAGCACCAGACGTACATCGGACGTCATGCCTCAAACTAGCTAGCGAGACCTTCATGGTACCGCTATTGGACCCTTGTATGACAATGCGAAAGGGACATAGCGCATCTTTGCTGCCTACCTCTCCACCTTGCCAACTCAAATTCTGCATCGAGTCGCACCGTACATCGATAAGGTTTTTGCGACTATAATAGTAGAACTCCCGAATAAGATTTTGCCGACAATACAACCGAACATCCTCCCTTGCGTCTGCGGCAGATGGATAATCCTTCCCCTTGAATATGTTGCAAACGTGTTAGTCCTGCGGATTGACATAACTAGTACACCAAACAAAATAGAGTTCAAGCAACAACACATTGCAAATTGTTTGTGAGATGTGGCATAACAATGGAGCGTATGTAGCCTCGCAATGTAAACCACGAGATAGGATCTGCAAATGACAACCCTAAATCTATAGGCCAGACCTCACCTGGCTTGCAGTGGGTGAGACATGACGCTGATTACAAGTGCCACGAGCTTTGATGGATAATGAGCACGGGAGGATAACAGGGAATGCGAGGGGTTGATAGGAACGGGGAATCAAGACCAGAGAGATGATGAGTGGATGAGAGTGAATGGGCGTGGATCAAAAGGAATGAGAGTGTATGAGGGTGCACGAGAGGGACTGAGAGTGTGTGAGAGGGTATGAGGGGATGAGGTTGAATGAGAATGTATGAGGATGAGCGTGGATGAGAGTGGTTGAGAGGGGACGAGAGTGTGTGAGAAGGGATGAGAGTGTATCAGAGTGTCTTGGAGTGTGTGAGAGGAAATAAGAGGGGATGAGAGGGGATGAAAGTGAATGAGAGTGTATGAGAGTGTATAAGAGGGGATGAGACGGGATGATAGGGGATGTGTGTGTATGAGAGTGTAAGAGAGGGGATGAGAGTGTTTGAGAGTTTATGAGGAGGGATGAGACTGGATGAATGTGTATGGGAGAGTATGAGAGGGGATGAGAGAATATATGATAGTGGATGGGAGGGTATGAGAGTGAATGAGAGAGTATGAGAGTGCATACGAGGGGATGAGAGGGGATGAGAGGGGATGAGAGTGTACGAGAGTGTATGAGGAGGGATGAGACTGGATGAGTGGGTTTGGGAGAGTATGAGAGGGGATGAGAGTGTATATGATAGTGGATGGAAGGGTATGAGAGTGTATGATAGTGTATAAGAGGGGATGAGAGGGGATGAGAGGGAATGAGAGTGAATGAGTAAGAGAGTGTATGTGGAGGGATGAGAGTGTATATGATAGGTTATGAGGGGGGATGAGAGGGGATGAAAGGCGATCAAAGTGAATGAGAGGGGATGAGAGTGGACAAGAGTGTATATGATAGTGGATGGGAGGGTATGAGAGTGAATGAGAGTGAATGAGAGTGGATAAGAGGGTATGAGAGGGGATGAGAGGGGATGAGAGGGAATAATAGTGTGTGAGATTGGATGAGAGGCGTTGAGAGTGTATGAGAGTGGATGAGAGGGAAAGAGTGGGGCTGAAAGAGGATGAAAGTGAATGAGAGGGAATGAGAGGGAATGAGAGATGATGAGAGGGAATGAGAGCGGATGTGAGGGAATGAGAGAGAATGAAAAGGAATGAGAGGGAATGAATAGGAATGAGAGGGATTGAGAAGGAATGAGAGTGATGAGAGGACATAAGAGGGGATGAGAGGGGATGTGAGGGGATAAGAGGGGATAAGTGTGAATGAGAGTGTATGGAAGTGTATGAGAGTGGATGAGAGCGGATTAGGAGGTATGAGTGTGTATGAGAGGAGATGAGAGTGTATGAGAGTGGATGAAGAGGGATGAGAGTGTGTAAGAGAGTGTATGAGAGTGTGTGAGAGTATATGAGAGGGGATGAGAGGGGATGAGAGGGGATGAGAGGGGATGAGAGGGGATGTGAGGGGATTCGAGGGGATGAGTGTGAATGAGAGTGCATGAGAGTGTATGAGTGTGTATGGGAGTCTATAAGAGGGGATGAGAGTGTATATGAGTGTATATGAGTGGGTACGAGAGGGTATGAGAGTGGATTAGAGGGAGTGACATGGGATGAGAGGGGATGAGAGGGGATGAGAGCGTATGAGAGTGAATGCGAGTGTATGAGAGTGTATAAGAGTGTATGTGAGGGGATGAGAGGGGATGAGAGGGGATGAGAAGGGATGAGAGGGAAAGAGAGGGAATGAGTGTGTATGAGAGGGGGTGTGCGAGAGGGATGGAGAGGGGATGAGTGTGTATGAGAGGGGGTGTGCGAGAGGGATGGAGAGGGGATGAGTGTGTATGAGAGGGGGTGTGCGAGAGGGATGGAGAGGGGATGAGTGTGTATGAGAGGGGATGTGCGAGAAGGATGGAAAGGGGATGAGTGTGTATGAGAGGGGGTGTGCGAGAGGGATGGAGAGGGGATGAGTGTGTATGAGAGGGGGTGTGCGAGAGGGATGGAGAGGGGATGAGTGTGTATGAGAGGGGGTGTGCGAGAGGGATGGAGAGGGGATGAGTGTGTATGAGAGGGGGTGTGCGAGAGGGATGGAGAGGGGATGAGTGTGTATGAGAGGGGGTGTGCGAGAGGGATGGAGAGGGGATGAGTGTGTATGAGAGGGGGTGTGCGAGAGGGATGGAAAGGGGATGAGTGTGTATGAGAGGGGGTGTGCGAGAGGGATGGAGAGGGGATGAGTGTGTATGAGAGGGGGTGTGCGAGAGGGATGGAGAGGGGATGAGTGTGTATGAGAGGGGGTGTGCGAAAGGGATGGAGAGGGGATGAGTGTGTATGAGAGGGGGTGTGCGAGAGGGATGGAGAGGGGATGAGTGTGTATGAGAGGGGGTGTGCGAGAGGGATGGAGAGGGGATGAGTGTGTATGAGAGGGGGTGTGCGAGAGGGATGGAGAGGGGATGAGTGTGTATGAGAGGGGGTGTGCGAAAGGGATGGAGAGGGGATGAGTGTGTATGAGAGGGGGTGTGCGAGAGGGATGGAGAGGGGATGAGTGTGTATGAGAGGGGGTGTGCGAGAGGGATGGAGAGGGGATGAGTGTGTATGAGAGGGGGTGTGCGAGAGGGATGGAGAGGGGATGAGTGTGTATGAGAGGGGGTGTGCGAGAGGGATGGAAAGGGGATGAGTGTGTATGAGAGGGGGTGTGCGAGAGGGATGGAGAGGGGATGAGTGTGTATGAGAGGGGGTGTGCGAGAGGGATGGAGAGGGGATGAGTGTGTATGAGAGGGGGTGTGCGAGAGGGATGGAGAGGGGATGAGTGTGTATGAGAGGGGGTGTGCGAGAGGGATGGAGAGGGGATGAGTGTGTATGAGAGGGGGTGTGCGAGAGGGATGGAGAGGGGATGAGTGTGTATGAGAGGGGGTGTGCGAGAGGGATGGAGAGGGGATGAGTGTGTATGAGAGGGGGTGTGCGAGAGGGATGGAGAGGGGATGAGTGTGTATGAGAGGGGGTGTGCGAGAGGGATGGAGAGGGGATGAGTGTGTATGAGAGGGGGTGTGCGAGAGGGATGGAGAGGGGATGAGTGTGTATGAGAGGGGGTGTGCGAGAGGGATGGAGAGGGGATGAGTGTGTATGAGAGGGGGTGTGCGAGAGGGATGGAGAGGGGATGAGTGTGTATGAGAGGGGGTGTGCGAGAGGGATGGAGAGGGGATGAGTGTGTATGAGAGGGGGTGTGCGAGAGGGATGGAGAGGGGATGAGTGTGTATGAGAGGGGGTGTGCGAGAGGGATGGAGAGGGGATGAGTGTGTATGAGAGGGGGTGTGCGAGAGGGATGGAGAGGGGATGAGTGTGTATGAGAGGGGGTGTGCGAGAGGGATGGAGAGGGGATGAGTGTGTATGAGAGGGGGTGTGCGAGAGGGATGGAGAGGGGATGAGTGTGTATGAGAGGGGGTGTGCGAGAGGGATGGAGAGGGAATGAGTGGCCTGGCACGAGAGAGGGAATTGCCATAATCGAGGCTTTGGCCGGGGATAACACGGCATGCGAGGGAGCACGAGAGAAAGATGGGTAGGAGACAAGGGAGCACGAGAGGGGAGGCTAGACGAGAGTGCATGGGCACACTGGTCTCGGCGGTGGACAGAGAGGCGCGACGCACTGAGCGGCGGGCTTTTGGCTTGGCGGATCGTCATGATGCGCCCAGCAGTGTGGCCGCATTGCACATCGCGACGGCGGCGGCCTGGTCGGCGCGATGCGCGGAGCGGCCAAAAGCTGGCCGCATTGCGCATCGCGACGGCGGCGGCCCGGTCGGCGCGATGCGCGGAGCGGCCAAACGCTGGCCGCAATGCGCATCGCGGCGGCGGCTGCTTTTGATCGTCTCGATGCGTCGAGCGGCGAGGTGGCCGCACTGCATCGCGCGACGACCGGGCCCGATAGGCGCGATGCGCGGAGCGGCGCGCCAGCCGCTGGGCGCATCGCGACAGCGGTCTGATCGAGTTTTTTTTTGTGTTTTTTTTTTGTAATGTATATTATTAGTATTTATCGAGTAACAAGGGACTAAACGTGAACGGATGGGAAAAGGCTTTTGGGCTAAGGCACGCACCGTTGATAGACGTCAGGTGCTGCTAACGAATGCCCAGGATGAGTGACGGGGAAGGCAGCTGGCGAAAGCTATAGCTACTAGTAATCGCGTGAGTAATAGCTGATGGCGGGAAGTGAGTGAGTTCCGCTGGGGTCAAGCTTCTGTGCTTGGTTGGAACCGTAGCGGGCAGGGGGGTGTACAGCATGTAGGGTCGTGGTTTGGTTACGGTGGGCTGGAGGCTCGACGGTACAGGCGTGCATCAAACCTCTCTCTGCACGGTTTGGCGCGAGCGGGAAATCGGCCTGGTTTCAGGAATTTCAGGCGGGAGTTTCATGTGTTACCATTCGCGTGATTCTTTAGCTGTTGCTAGTGACTGATTCCGTGACCCCACTTACCAAGCCCGTCACGATACCCGATACAGTTACCGTACTCATATTTTTTTTACCATTGACGCTACGGGGTCACATGATTGTTACTTGTGGCATATTTTCCCATTGCCATACCATTGTTTTTGTTGTTCTTCAAACTTCGAAGTCTGATCGTGCAAGGTAGATCATCAATAGCAATAGACATTCAACAGCAATGCTTGCTCACTGCTTGACTTATGTATGTACACTGTACAATTAACCCACACTAGCTTCCGATCTAAAAAGAACCCTTGAAAACCGATCAACTTCCCTCCCAACCGCCCTCCTCTCACACACGTTTGTACTCAGAGACCCTTCAACACCAAGTACGGAAGGTGCAGATCTCCACAAAGGAACCTGGGTGCTGTTACTCTCAACCGCACAGCAGCAGCGGCTGTCAGCATCACGCTCAACAGTGGCTTCGTTTGCTGATGTTGAATCCCGGGTTGGCGTCGACAAATCACAGCCATTCAGCTGGGGAGAAAGAGAAATCTCAGAAACTAGAGGGAACGCCCTTGCAGGCAGAATAGGAGTAGACTCTTCGCGAGAGGTCAAGTCTTGGAAGAGAGACAACAGTGAGGAAGAGGGAGCTGGTGGTGGTGTTGCAGGAGATGCCTCAGGCTGAGGGGGAGAATGGAAGGACCCGGGTGCTGAGCGTGCAGGAGGGAACAAAGGCTCATCAGAAGGGCTTCCTGCCGAAAGCTTGTTTGATGGGGAAAGCTGGTCTGAGAAGGAACCAGCACTGAAGGCACGTGCAACCTCGTGCAGTGGGGAGAGGAGATGCGGAGAGGGTGTTGCCGAGAGGAAAGAAGAGGCAAATGCATCGTCGAATAGTTTGAATGCAGCATGGTCCACAGCGTCAGTGGCGTCTGCATTCGGTGAATCATTCACGGATGTTGGAGTGTTGTTGAAGCTGGTAGGGCTGAAGAAACCTTCAAAGCAGCTGGGACCTTCTCCACGTGCTGTCAAGAGTCCAACACTTGGCTCGCTGGTGAAATCAAAGGAGAGATTGAGAGGAGGCGGCATGGTGAAGGCTGGACGGGGATGGTCCACTGGAGTCTTGTTGCTACTGGTTGTCCCTGATGCAGCTTCCCTGGGTTGTATGTTGAAGCTGTCAGTGATCAAGCAGTCTGCAGCATGAGCATCAGCAGCACTGACACCACCCGCCTGGATGAAATCTGCACCCTCCGGGCTGCTGGTGAAGAAATTGAAATCATCCACCAAGGAAACAGAGGCTTGAGCGAACTTCGCATCTGTCACCGTGTTAGACGTTAACTGATCCGTCAGAGCCACGTCACTCTCGCCCGAAGCCACTCGAATGAACGGATGCTGCAGCAGATCCTCAGCCGACGACCGTCCGTCCGGATCGCGATCCAGGCATTTCAGCAGAAAATCCCGTCCCTGAGCGGAAATCCTCGAAGGAAATTCAGGAACCTCGACGGAGCAGCCAATCTTGTACAGAACCGACATGAACGATTTCGGAGATTGCCGATTCTGCGTGACGGATTCCTTGGAAACCCACGGGGGACGACCCGTGAGCATCTCAATAACAGTGCATCCCAGCGACCAGACGTCAGAAGCGGGAGTCGCGCCCTTCTCCGCGACCACCTCAGGCGCCATCCAGCAGATCGTCCCCTTCATCTGCTTCCGCTCCGCCGTTCCCGCCAGTTTCGCCTTCCCCGCAACGTTTGCGTACCCGTCTTCGCGAGCGCGCGCGTCAGTGGCAGCACCCGCTTCGCGATCTCCGTTAACATCCAGCGTTCCCGACGAATCCCTCAACGACCCAGGCGATTCGACCTGAAACGATGCGCCGAAATCGCAGAGCTTCACGCCCGATTTGCACAGCAGCACGTTCTGGCCTTTCACGTCGCAGTGCACGATCCCGCGCGCGTGCAGATCGCGAAGCCCTTCCGTGATTCCGCGCGTGAACCTCCTCACCAGAATCTCGTCCAAGCCGTCGCCTTTGTTGAATTTCTTCAACAGATCGGCCAGAGAGCCGCCTGAAGCGAGCTCCAGGAGGAGGTTTCTTGACCTGACGCCGTTTTCTTCGGACCAATCCGCGCCGTAGCACTCGATCACCCGCGGCGAGCTCACTTTCTGCAGAATCTGCCGCTCATTCTCCAACGCCTGCAGCTCCCGGGACCGCTGACGGTCGCTGTCACCGCTAGCCGCTACCGACTTGACGGCCATCAGGTGGCCGGTTGTGCCATCAATCGCGAGGCTGACGCTTCCAAAGGCTCCGCAGCCGAGAAGGGGACCGCGAAGCCATGACCCCGGGGATGACGGCGAGGAAGGCGGGGAGACGGAGGGGAGGGTGGACGGAGATAAGCAATCCTCCTCCTCTGAAATGTACACCTTGAAGGAATCCATGGCTTTTCGCACTTCAAACTAAACTTCAAGCTTTACTAAAGTGAAGCGATCTTGAAGGCTCCTCAATCGTCGCTGCTGGCCAGAGGCACAGAAGGGATGCAGAGATCCTTGAAGACAGGAAGAACCGCACGAGACATCTAATAGTGACGACTTTCTCAAGAGTGAGCCGCGGGCTGAGTGAAGAGGGAACGGAGAAATTCAAGGTAGCCTTTCCATCAAATTTTCGGAATTGGTCTTGGTATTCCCGAAAAGAGTCACGCAAGCTGAGCTAAGGCGAGAAATCCAGCATCCGGAGATTTTAGAACCTTCTAATAACCTGATTTGTCTCAAAAAAATCAATGATCTTGGATTGAGCCGCGGCCTGCGGATATAGGCGGTGGATACGGAATCCACGACGTGGCTCAACGGAATAGGTCTGGGTGTCGTCCTTAGTCCTCTGCCAGCTAGATTAAAGGCACGGAAATAATAGCACCTGGTGTGCTGGACCTCCAACGCATAGATAAAAAGGATATTTGGATCAAGACCCATTGTTAATCGGACCAAGGAGCGCCGTTTCAGGACACGGTCGCCGCTGTCGCTTGGTGCACACGATTTCGCTCCTTTTGTCGACAGCAGGATCTTCTTGAAGCTGGTCGAAGAGGTTCGTTTTCTCCTGGGGCCCACTGGCTGGCTCAATGACCAGTGGCCTAAGGCGGAAGGAAAGGAATCGATCAGGCAATGATGCGGCTAGCAATCATAGGTGATGGTCGCGGGATTGGGGTGGCTTCTAGGTGTTATTACATCGGAAGGAACAGTCAACGCCTGTCAAGGAAAAAACGTTTACAGTATTGCGGCTAGCAATCAAAAGCGATGGTCGCGGGATACGGGCGGCTCCTATGTGTTACTCCGTCGAAGGGATCAGCCAGCGCCTCTCAAAAAGCTCGGGGACAACGGCTGAGTGCTTCAAAGGGTGTCTGTTTGTACATGAGTTCTGATGACAGCTGACGTCGAGAACGGATGACGACAGCTTCTTGCAGCCAAAGAATTTAGCGAACTGGAAAATGGATAGCCTGACGGAGAGCTCCATGGTGCTCAATTCCCAGCCGCTGCAGCCGGATTTCGAGTGCTGGTTTCGTTAGCCGTCCGGAAAGAACCATCATAGGTAAGTTCACTGGATGCAACGCTTAGGCGAACGATGAACTGGAGAGTCATGACATTTGGCCAAATGCCGAGATGTGTTAGAATATAAGGGCGGGTGAGTTAATGTTCAAGGTGCACGCCTACGCGTATCTGGTTGCACTACTAAAGTCGTCCTGGCTTGCATCTAAAAGCCTCGCCGGCATTGTCATCCTATCCGACATTTGCGCGACTTGGCGTTTAGTTTTTCTCGCTGTCAGCAATATCAGTGCTCAGTTCAGATGCCTTCAGGGCGCATTCTCAAGTTCCCCCACCAGCAAAAGTTCCCCTACGCGACTCGAAATGTTGACGTGACATTAATTCACATTATGAAGTTCCCCCACACGGTTCGACTTCTCAACACGTTGAGTCCAATCGGCCACGGTCGCAATGCCCGGCCTGTCCGTCAATGTGCGACCATGGAGATCGTGCCACGTTTGCTGGGTGTGGGACTATGGTGTTAGACATGACAGTTTCGTGCACCTAGCCGGTAACATGTTTTTTCCTTCCTGCCCACGCAACCCATTTCTGCGCTGCTTGCGTGAATCTGCCAATATCAACCAAGTTGACTTGATTTGACTATGTGCCAAAGTTTTTCGTCAGGCGCAACCATCAGGCTCGGCCGTTTAGGTTTTGCCTGACGAGGTTAGTCCAAAACTTGGTATGCGAGCTGGCGCGTCGATTTCATTGGATGTTAGACATACGACGCTGGCGACATCTGTCGCACGCCAAAATGGGAGCATTCCCAGCACAACCCCCACCAGCTTTGAAAAATACGGGCTGGTGGGGGAGCTTTGATGGTGGGGGAACTTGAGACCGCGGTCTCGGGCACACTCACAGAGTAGAGCTTTCAATGTTGTTCCCCTGAATTCCGAGATGTATTTACGAGGCGCGGTCGCTGCATGCACCGAATTTCATCCCAAACAGCCAGTTCCAGCTGTGAAGCAGTCAGTCAGCCGTCCCCATCAAGAGTACACTCGTTATGCTACACCTCGTCCTTGGATGTGTTGTGTAAATGAATACCAAATATGGGGGCGCTAAAGATTCTTGAAACGAGCCAAAATGCGTCGCGACTCGCGAAGGTAACTGAACGAATGGTTTTGCGAATACATCACCCTTTCCTTTCCCGCCAAGGCGGAGAAGCCGTTGAGGTTCAAAATGGATTGCGAATCGCGGCACATTCTTGGAGACACTAGTCGAAAACACGTTTCTGATTGGCCGACACATGTCATTTTGACCCCTCTCTCAACCAGCTGTTACGTCACACGTGCATCCGTTTCGAAATGTAATCTCGAGACGCGGCGAATTTTGAGTTGAGCTGAAATTGGTGATGGAATGGAACCCCTTCGGGATTTCCAAGCAGGCCGCAACACTTTCGCAGCTGCCGGTGCGTGAAATAGTTCCCGCCATTTCCTTCCCCCAATTCCTCCTGTTGAGAGTCCACCAGCTCCTAATCATTTTCCTGCCTGCACCTTTATCAGCTCACCAATTTCTGATGCCTCTCTTCGTTGTCAGGCAAAGTTGATTGTACCTTGAGAATTTAGTCGGGGACACGAACGAGCGGTAAATGCTCTGCAGACTAAACCTTGCAGACGGAAAAGAAGCTGACGAGTAGTATCACATTCCGTGAGGTAACATGACTCTCACCCTCACCGAAACCTGGTCGTTGGTTCCGCCCACTTTATTCCCTTTCTCCTTGCCTTCTATCATCCCCTGCTGCGGGGGCTCAACAGAACTGCGAGGCGACGAATCTGAATCTGGAGCCACAGCGTGCCTTGATTTTCTCGAAGCAGCTCATTCCTACAACGAAGCTAACTCCCCAATCCTTGTCGACGCGATGCGACCTTTGATAGCGCCCGTTTTTGGAAGCAAGGCATGTTCAGGAGTGATTTCGCCTGTCTTGATCGCGAGAGCAGCAGCAGCAGCAGCAGCAGCTTCGCTGGAAGGGGAGGCTCACGTGAAGAGTCCTCGGCAGAGGAAGCTACGATGGCGAGATGAGCTTGGCTTGGCGCTCACATCAGTGCGAGAGTACGACCCAAGGTACAATTCACACTCCAGTCAGCTACAGGATTCGGCGCTCCCATCAATGTGACATTACTGACCCAAACTTGCCAGCACACACAGCGTTTTTCTAGCAGTCAGTAGTATCTTCAGATTCCATTGCGGGAACACTTTTAGGCACACGACTTCATTTCCAATCGCATTCTTCCATTGCAACGTTGTCTGCCCCTTTCTCCCTCCAGTGACGGGAAATGTGACATGGAGGATTTACACGAATGCAACTATCACGATGCGTGTGCCATGCAATGAGGCTACAAAGGGCCTGGCTGTGATTTTTAAGGTGAATTAGGTCTTCCGATACTAACACGTAACACCAGGCCAGATAACAGGCTGGGCTGCTCGCTGACCCCGTTCGGTGGATTATCTGTCCGGTTTCGGTTCCTTTAGGTGTCCAACCTACTTCCAAGCCATGTTCTGCAGATAGCCAAGTGCTAAGGCTCCTTGCAGAGTCTCTGTGAATATTCAGCACTGTCGTTTTGTCACTTAGATTGTCAGCACGGTCGTGAACTTGACGGGATTGGTCGACGATTCAGCACAAAGCCACACTTAAGCTTGTGCAGCAGGATGCTCTAGCCATGCATAAACAAGTCTGGAAATCAAATTCGTTTTTGCTACTCCTTTTTTATTTAAGGCTGGTTTGCTTTCTTCTGGGAACTACGTGTGCGCATATGTATCACGTAACTCAATTATGGTAAGCAACCTTGTGGCGTGCATGCATACGTGCAGTAATACGTATTGGACGAGAAGCGAGGAGCCCATATGAAGGGAAACAAACCTCTGAAGTTGTGAACTCAGCTGATGACTGCAGTGACATAATAAACCCTCCTTACAGCAAGCCAGTTCCTTATGACTACAATCACTGTCAAAATGAAGAATGGATGGTGCATTGATGTTGGTTGGGGTACATATAGCTAACCCTAAGTTTTGTACCCCCTAAGACAAACCTCACTATAGGCTACAACATTTGACACACCCCCATAGCCTAAGTGAGGGGTGTCTAGCAGAACCAAACGAGTACGGTCACAAGACCAGTCCAAGAAACAAAGCTCAGGGTGGATCACAACGTCACCACACAGTCTGAGCACAAACAACAGTGGCCACAAGGCCAGTCCAAGAAGTAACAGAGGTATATAGAAAGCAAAGTAAACAGTACACTCAAGTCTAAGCAACACGAGAACCAGTGTCAACAAGGCCTAACTGCACACAGCACCTCTGGTGGTCACAAGGCGGAAGCGCCTTGGTGAAGATGTCTGCAGTGTTGGCCTCGGACTCCACAAACTCAAAGCGAGCCTGTCCACGCCTCTGCAACTCTCGCAGAAGAAAGTACCTGACGTGAATGTGCTTCACTCTGCTCTCGAGTCGAGGCTCTCGACAAAGGAGAATAGACGCCTTGTTGTCAGTGAACAAGGTCGGTGCAGAGCTCGGCCGCTCACCAAGGTCGGTGAGCAAGAAGGTCAACCAACGCAGCTCCTGTGCCGCCATGGCACCAGCGTAGGTCTTAGCCTCAGCTGTAGAGGTCGAGACCGAAGAGGAGCGCGTGGACCGCCAGGAAACAGCTCCAGAACCCAGGCTGAAACAGTACCCCTGAGTAGACCTGTGAGTCT